TTCCATTATCCCACTACTATCAGTAAATAAAAATAAAAAATCTTTTTGAGGAAGAAAGAATCAAGAGTATTATTATATTTATCCAGAATCCATAATTTATGCAAATACACGTGGTCTATTTCCATTAATTAATTTATTTAATTTATTTCATATCCAAAAAAGTTAGGATATCATTTATCTATAATTAGTTAAACGATGTAAATTATATTTTGACAAGCCAAGACGCTTGAATTTCTTTTATGTATATTAGCAAATGACCTCAATGACCTCAAATGACCTTTGAAATGACCTTATCGCGTGATGAATAGTTAAAATATTTATACATAAAAAAAGATATAAATGCGCACCCTCAACGACAAAAATTCCGACGAGAATTTCTAAATTCTCTAACAAAAGATCAAACAAACTAAATTTCTAACAATTTAGATAAGTAAATTGAATAACAAAATAAATAATACAAAATAACTTACTATTACAATTTCCTCAACATATATATATAAAGATCTTGATCTATCCTTTCAGAAATTCCAAATTACTCTCAAATATCTTTCATTTTTAAATTACAAATAATTTTATAATTCTTAAATCACATCAAATATGAATTCAATTTCGTTATTAGAAATGAATGAAAGAGACATTACTCACTATATGAGAGGAAACAAAATATTAATAAGCGCTAAGAACGCTTTTTTTATACAATTGGAGTTTTCTTTAAAGATGGGGTCTGTAACACTTACACCTAATACATCATTAAAAGATTATTGTCACGATCTTTGGATTTCCGCATCCCCAGATAAAAAAAGAGAATTTGAGGTTTTAGCAAATAAAGTTAATTATACTAATAAAAAAAGCAAAAGGCGTTTATATAGACGACCTAGTAATAATAATTATGCATTTGACCTGATCAATGGAATAAGTTTTTTTTAGAGATTTTTTTTTTTAAGTATAAATTCTATTTTTTAAATTAAGAAATTTTATTTATAAATTTAATTGTAAATTATATGTTTCAATTAAGAAAACTTTAGTTATTCTTTGGTTTAAAATTATAATAACGTAAGATATTTATGTTAAGAATATCAATCTGAATAATTTTTTTTTAATAATTATATGATCTTATTTCTATTTTAAGAAATAATAAAATTAAATTTTAAAGGTAGTAAACCAGCATCATTAATTATCACAATTATTCAAAAACTTAAAATTCAATATGCATGTAAACCATTTTATTATCAGGAAATGAATTTTTGAATTTTCTGAAAAAGAAAGTGGATGAAAATCAAGCTACTAATAATAGTAAACAATTAAAAATTGTCACAGTATCAATCTTGACATAAGTTTAAAAAATATAATTTACTTTGAATTATGGGAAGAAAGTTTTGAAATTTTTATTTCAATTAAATAAAATGTCTTTATTTGATGAAAATATATGAAATTCTGCAATTGAAAAATTATATACTTTATATAATGGAATTGCAAATAATCAAGTTAAATTATTATAATTCGTTTATGAATTTTATTTTTAGCGAACTTGATGAAGCTAAAATAGAAAGATTGAACATTATCTTGATCTTCATTTAACACCTACTGCTAAACTAGCAGAAAATTAATGGCAATAGTAAAATATGCAAAAAAAAGAATTTTCAATACTTTCTCAAATTGCATAAAAGTATTTAGCAATTCTACTACTTCAATACTTTCAGAACAACTTTTTAGTGAAGTAAAAATTAAATAAGTGCAAAACACTCAAGATTAAGTTTAAAAATTGTAGGAGAAAGACTTTTTTTTTTAAAAAAAAATAAAAATTATATTAAAATATTGATTATAAATAATACAAAATAATATCTAAAATAACAAATTTATAATAAATCTAATTAATTTTTTTAACAAATTTAATATAATTAACTAACTAATTAATCAGTTAACCAATAAATTATTTAGTTAATTAACCAGTTAATAATCAATTAATTAAAAAATAAATAGTCAATTAAGTGGTTAAAGGTTTTTTTGGACTTTCTCAAAACCTCCTCTAATAAATAAAACCAATTAGAGTTAAAAAAATTTCATATAAGGTTGTTAAAGCTAAATTAATACTTATATGGAAAATGAAATGAAAGATGAAAATGAAGACTAAGACGAAGACAAATCATTCACCAATTTTTCAAGTTTATAAATTTCAGTTTTAGCATTCTTTCTTAGATTAGTATTTTGGCAATGTTCTCACATCCTGCTCATGCTTTCAATTTTTGCATGAAGTTCATCACCAAAATTAAATTAAAAACAAATTTTACTTAATTCAATATAAAATTTGTGAATGTGTTCATATTTAACATTAGCAATAGCTTGAAAGTTTGAAAGAATTAATTGATATTTGCTTATATCATTGTATCATTGTTATATTTTTGTTCTAGTTGGTTTGTATTATCATATCATGTTTTCATGTCTTCATTAACTCTGTTAATTATTTTGGTCTCTTTAATTAATTTGATTTTATTGTAAAAGTAACTATATAAAACTATCAAGATTAAGAATTAATAAAGATTAAATAAATATATAAAAATAATAAAATTGAATATAGTTAACTTCCTTTAAAAACACACCTCTTGGAACTATCTAAAGGTGTGATTATATAGAGGTGTTCTTATAGTGAGATTTTTTTTATATAGTTGTATATATATATAATTTCATAAAAGTGTAATTATAAAAATTAATATTGCAAAAAAAAATTTTATTATATTTTATTATAAATGTATCAAAAATATTATATTACTTAAGATAAACTAATAAAAATAACAAAAATTATTATATCAAATATTAAAGAAAATTATCAAGAGACTGTTATTTTTTTGAATTAAATTTAATAACTCTAGATATTTGTAAATATTTTTTAAAAATTCTCAAATCATCAATATTAAATTCAGAGTTATCATTATCATCTTTTTCAAGTAAATTTTCAACCAGTGCAAGTAAATCTATAATTTTATCATTATCATTATCATTATTTGATTCTATTTCATTGTCATCTGAAGATAGAAGTATATCAGTTTTGATCTAACAGTTTGAATGGTTTTTTAAGTGACATTGTTCCATCCTTCAGCTATATAATCAATTGTATCTTTAAGATTTAACTTATTTCTACAATTAAAAAAATGAAAATCATAATTAATCAAATAAATTTAATAAAAATTTTATAACATAAAAAAAGATTATTAATTATAAAATTTAAAAGATTAATAAAAATAAACTTACTTTACACAATCAATTTCAGAATCAAATTGTTAAATTAAATGTTTACAAAATTCTTGTTTGTATTTTGGTTTAAAACTATGGATAATTCCTGCATTTATAGGTTGCAAATGGGCTGTTGTCTTGGATAGAAGATAAATAAGTTTAATATTGAAAAGTTTGAATATTTTTTTTGAATTGTTTTGAATTGTTCTTTTATTATTATTATAATTCTGACTTAATCCTTGCTCATTATCAAATTCACCTTCACTGAAGATATCAGAATTCTCTTTTTCAAGTCTTTTTGTATTAAAATGAAAAACTGCATTATCAATAAGTAGTATAATTTTTTTATCCATTATACAAAAATAATTATTAAGGTAATTAACTATATCTGTACATATCTATACTTTAGAGTTAACACTATACCTGCCACCCAAATTCAAAATCCAAATGCCGAAATCCCAAATGCTAAAATCTCAAATCCCAAATCCCAAATTATGATTAGTATTTTTTGCCAAAATCCCAAATCCCAAATCCCAAATACTAGTAATTTGGAATTTGGGCAACACGTATAGTTAGCACAATAAATAATAGGAAGTAATACTTTATTAAAATTTTTAAAGCAACGAGAATTAAGTGATTTTCCAATTACAAGTAATCAAAATTTATGAGAACCTGAAGCATTTGTACAAAAAAGAATAGATACTTTACTTTTATCCTATAAAATATAATAAAATAAATTTTTAAATTAGTTATTGAGATGTGTAAATCAGGTAGCACAACATAATTATTAATTAAATTAAATAAATTAAATTAATAAAATAAATTTAAAAAAATAATAAAATAATTTAAAAAAATAATTTAAAATCCATTATCTTTTTTTAACCTGTAATTACTTATGTACTAAGTGTTTGATTAGGTTCCATTTGAAAAAAAAATTTCATTTTGTCAGTATTATAAATATTATCATTATTATATTCATCTAAAATTATGTATGACTTTATACATTCTTTTGAAAAAGTATGAAGTGATATATTATTAGCTTTTTTCAAAAATTAAATTTTTGTAATTTATTTCTTAATTTGAATTTATAAATCCAACTATTTATACATTTTAATTCATTTTTTATATTAAACATTCTAGCAAACTCTAAACCTTTTTCTTTCAATATCATATTGGATATAAAAAGTTCTATTGCTACTACTTGAGATGTTCAAATTTGCATTGCTTTATCTAGTTCAAAAAACTGAACAGAGCATTACCAAAAAGTTTGTGAAGTTTAAAAATTTGAAAATATTACTAACTATTTTTACTGATTTTTTCATATTTTACTAATAGTTGTTTGATTGATATTTGATTCTATATATTTGGTATTAAAAAAAATGTGACTACAGTTTGATTTAGGTTAGGATTTGTTGACATATATTCACATATTTCTTTTTTTATATCAACATTAATAGCAGTACAATTTTGTTTTATATTTTGAGTATTTTTAATATTGACAGATGATCTAGATGATTTTTGCATTTTTAAAAGTATACTGCATGCACAATGCATCATGTACTGCAAAATTGCATGATATAGATTTTATAGGTTTCAAAAATTATACTAAAAAACACTGTGATTATATGGGAGGATTTTTTTATATATTCATATAACATCAGAACTTACAAGTGGTGTAATTATATTTATATATAATATTGTAACTGTAAAGAGGAAATTTTATATATAAAAAATTGGAACTAAATATAAGTGTAATTTAAGGAAAGGAGTGATTATATAGGAGGTGACTTTAGGAGATCAACTGTATTATGTATTTGATTGACATCCACATATTCTACACTTTCTATTTGGCTTCATACAAATGTAATTTCCAAAGGAATTAGTTCCAGGAGTATTTTCAAACTCAGGTTTACAATTTTTGTGACAAATAATATTATCCTTCAGATAAAGGATACAAACAATACTATAATGATTAACTGGAACAATTTTCTTAAATTTAATTGATTTGCTCTTTGCATAATTGGCAAAAGAGTTTTTATTGTTTCTTGATATCTGTAAAGTTTTTTGAACAGCATCAAGTGAATTCTGTACTTTTTGAATATTTATTATATCTTGAGTGACTTTCATAATTTCAGATTTGATTTTGTCTCTATACTCTTTCATCTTCACAAAAGTTTGTGTTGAAGTAGTGAACATTTCAGTGATTGCCTTTAACAAAATATCAATTTTTTTAATTGATTTATCCCAATGATATTGAACTGTAATACATTCTTCAAAGTTATTTTTCCAGATTTGGGGATCAGTACAGAAAGCTTGATTGTTCATATAAAAAAATATGCTAAAATAAAAACAAAAAAAAAAGTAAAAAAATATTATATATTTAATTTATTATGAAATAGAAGGATCATAAATAATATATTAACCTTAGGCTTTACAAATTCTCTGGTAAAATAAGCTTCTGAAAAACATGTACTACTTTTCATGCACTTGTTAAAACAAACAATAGATTATTGATTATCGCATCAGGAAGATTATTTGCTAATCGAACTAAAGTATTCTTGATTGATGGTGTTACTCTTGCTTCAGTTCCATTTGCAATGATCATAGTGGCAGATAGAGAACCTGCAGAAATTTCTGTATTTATTATCTCTGAAAATTCTTTTCATCTTGCTTTACACCTTTCATATCACTCAGTTCAGGAGTATCAATGAAGATGAATTTATATGCAGAATTGTTAGGATGTTTGAAATTGTAATTGTAGTATTTTTTAATTTGGCTTTTAGTTATATCATCTAATTTTACTTCCGAATGCTCATTAACAAATTCTGAATGAATAAATCAAGTTAAAATATTTGAATCAGAATTTTAAGGACAATTTTTATCAAGGTTTCAATGTTACCTTTTTCAGTAACTTTATAATACTTTGATGAAATGACAATCTTTGGTTCATCAAGTGAACGGCTTAAAAAGTAATTTGTCACCATATTGATAATGGTAAACTTCCCAGTTTCAGTTCCACCTAATAAAAGGATTTTGAATTTGCGTTGTGCTTGACCGAATAGGTTGAACTTGTTTCATCTTTGGGAAAAGTCGTAGTATTACACATGAAGTTATCAAATTGATTATTACTATGTATGAAGTTATCAAATCGATCATTACTACACGTGAAGTTATCAAATCGTTCATTACTACGCGTAAAAAAATCAGATTGGTTATTAATATGCGTGAAGTTATCATATTGACTATTACCACGTGTAAAGTCATCATATTGACTATTACTACATGCGAAGTTATCATATTGACTATTAATACGTGCGAAGTTATCAGATTGGCTATTATTATGTACTAAGTGATCAGGTTTATTATTATTTTGCTGGGGAGGTGGTGAATTAGAATAATAATCATTAAAATAATTGATGCCCTTTTGGAAATTTTTTCTTTTTCAGACCCCACCTTTTTGCTTTTAGCATTATTTGAAGAAATTTCTTCTTCATGATACTCAAAAGTCAAGTTACTCATACGAAGGATCACATCTAAAAATTAGATGAATTTAATGAGCAACATGGTAAATTATTCATATTTGCAATATTTAAAATTTATACTATAAACTTGCCCTCGGCTCTTTGCATATCGTGCATCTGTTGCAATCGCATGGCAAATGCATAGTCATCATTGTCAATGACTTCTTGCAACGGGCTTATTACTATCTAAAATTTATTTGAAAATATTGCTTCATATAAAATACATGCATACCATAAGCATGTAAGAGAATGCATAATGTATTATTTTGGAGTTTTTCTATTATTCATTTAAGATTAATTCTTGAAGTGGATTTAACAAAATCTATTTAATGTGAATATATTTGCTTAACCACACAAACTTGCCTTTAGAAATTATACCATGGTTACGAAATTCTAATTCTTGCAAATTTACTGAAATTGGTAAATTCGTGATCGTCACTGAATCCATAGTATTAGTTATAGCCAAACAAAAATAAAACATTTGTGCTTAACGCTCATGGTCAACAGGGACTTTATATCGAAAAATTCGATAAAAATTATCGATTTTTGTTTCCGCGTAGAAAATGTTATTGTTAACTCCAAATATTGATCAGAACCTTTTTTAAAGAAAAGGTTGGGTTGCTGAAAGATCGTATAAGAATGCGATAAGCCTGAAAGTAAAAGAAATTTGTAACGATAAAGTTTTTTCCGAGAATTATTTATTTGATCGGCAAGTAATTACTTATTACTTATAAAAATTTTATGTTTTTACTATACTTTATCTGGAAAATTGAGAGCGTGTGAATTTAACTCCTGAATTTCCAGAATATGCTTTTAGTTGGATTCTTGCCTTTTTAACAAATAATATAAAGTAAATAATTATGACGGCTTTTTAACGAGGGGATTGATTACGAGTTTAGTCAAGTATAAAATTAAATATAATATCAATTAAAGGTTATCGATTTACATTGGTTTAGTTAAAGATAAACATAATATTATTTTAGAACCGTAGCAAAAATTACCAAAAGAATTAAGAAAATAAAGAAACTGAAGAAATTAAAGAAATTGAATAAATGAATAAAATTGAAGCAATTGAAGAAATCAAAGAAATTGAAAATTGAAAACTGATAAAATTGGTAAATGCATGTATGTATGCTAAATGTCAATAACTTTAATTTCTGGTACAGTCGACCTCCCCTATAAGTACACCCAACAAATGATGTGACTAAAGCGGGAAGTTCTTATATCGAGAGAATTTTAATATGGTTTCTTACATATAGGAACCAAGCACTGTGTGATTATATGGTCTTTACTGAAATCATGTGATCGTACCTTTTTTCTTTTTTTTTTTTAACTGTAACAAACATACTCATATAGAAATTTAAATAATTTATTTAATTACAATTTTTCATGAAAATTTCAATTATCTTTGTTGGATGATTTTAAGCTAGTCCAAAAATAATTATACTACAAGAATAAGTTTATCTATTCAACCAACTATTTTGCGCATAATCAAATCATAAAATTTTCTTGATATATTGTCAAAGTACTAAATTTTTCTTTAAAATATCTTTTGCTTATGACTGTATAAATACATAAAATTTGCTTTTATTTACTGTTATTTCCTGCTGCGTACCAATATTCCGTGCATCTAATCCTAATGTACTTTCTTAAACCTTTAACTAGAATTTTAAAACAATATACAACGTGATACTGGCTAGTTAATGTACTAATTTCTAAAAATAGTATGCTAAAGAATATTTCGTCAACATAAATCCTCTATATTGCAAGAATGTTAATAATTGTTTTCTGCTGGAATTTTCTTGGGAATTCACTATCAATTGAAAGTATAGAGGGATAATAGAGTTAAAATAAGAAAAAAAAATACCTCCAATTTACAAATTCTATTGACATTTCATCTTTGGATGAAGACAAATTAAATACACATTTATTATTTGCTGACAACATTACTTTTCTTTTATCATAATATCCCATATATTCAAAGAGAGAATTCAAAATCTACCTGATAAAATATATAATTAAAAAAAAATTAAGAAAATAAATGCTTCTCAATAACAAACTCAACGGAGACTTACATTGCACTCAGATAATTGAGATTCGCTATAATCTCTAATGGGAATGCGAAGCGTATATAGACAATATCCTGATGGCTATCCTTTTATTATAATGCAAGAATTATTAAGCCATTTGCTAATTTGAATTTTGGATATCTTCACACTAATTTTAATTGATCCAAACAAGTAATTCTCGTATTCTGTCATCCATTATATTTAGATAACATAATAATCGTTTGAATTTATAATTTCTTCACTATCTTCGTCATTTGGAAACTCGAGCAGCCTTATTTAATCAATAGACATGTGCAGTCCTTTTTGTTATATATACAGGTTTTCGATTCCTATAAATAGATTGAGCAGAAAAAAATCGAAATCCTCAATTAAAGAAAAGTTTTGTCTTGTCCATCTGTAAATTTAATAAGAAAAAAGGTATTTTCTTGCATTTGATGAGGCGAGGCTTTGGATTTTTATTAAACAAATATTACTGGCAATTGTATTAATGAAGAAATTTTAATAAATGCAAAACGCACAAGATTAAGTTCAAAAATTATAGAAGAAATGCTTTTTTTTTTAAAAAAAAAAATGAAAATTATATTGATATATTTGATTATAAATAATACAAAATAACATATAAATAACAAATTTGTAATAAATTTAATTTTTTAATCATTCTGACAAATTTAATATAATTAACTGACTAATTAGCCAGTTAATAATCGGTTAATTAAAAATTAAATAGTTAATTAACTGGTTAAAGGTTTTTTTGGAGGTTCCAATATATACACTAAACCATCCCTTGACTGTTTTTAATAAATAGAACAAATTATTAGAGTTAGAAAAATTTCATGTAAAGTTGTTAAGGCTAAATTAATACTTATGCGGAAGACGAAGTGAAAGATGAAGGCTAAGATTTTGACAAATCATTTGCCAATTTTTCAAGCTTCTGAATTTCAGTTTCAGCATTCTTTCTTAGATTAGTATTTTGCAATGTTCTCGCATCCTGCTTCATATTTTCAATGTTTGCATGAAGTTCATCAACAAAATTAAATCGGGAACAAATTTTACTTAATTCGGTGCAAAGTTGATGAATGTGTTTGTATTTAGCGTCAGCAGTGGCTTGAAGGTTTGAAAGGGTTGATTTATATTGGTTTGCGTCATTGCTATATTTTTGTTCTTGTTGGTTTGCATTATCGTATTGTGCTTTCATGTCTTCGATAACTTTGGCAATTGTTTTGGTCTCTTTAATTAATTTGATCTTATCGTGAAAGTGGCTATATAAAACCATCAAGATTGAGAATTAATAAAGATTAAATAAATATATAAAAATAATAGAATTTTAATATTACTTAGTTGGTCCACATCCACATATTCTGCATATTTTATTTGGCCCCATACACGGGCAACCTCCAAAGTGATCAGTTCCAGAAGTGTTTTTAAACTCAAGCCCACAATCTTCGTGACAAATAACGTCATCCTTCAGATGAAGCGTACAAACGGTACTATGATAATTAACTGGAACAATTTTCTTAAGTTCAATTGATTCATTCTTTGTGTAATTAGCAAAAGAGTTTTTTTTGTTCCCTGATATCTGTAAGGCTTTTTGGGAAGCATCAAGTGAATCCTGCACTTTTTGGATATTTGCGATGTCTTGAGTGACTTTCAAGATTTCAGATTTAATTTTGTCTCTGTACTCTTTCATCTTCGCAAAAGCTTGTGTTGAGGTAGCGGACATTTCAGTGATTGCCTCTAACAAATTATCAATTGTTCTAATTGATTTATCCCAATGATGTTGAACTGTAACACGTTCTTCAAAGTCATTTTTCCAGATTTGGGGATCAGTACAGAAAGCTTGGTTGTCCATATAAAAAATATGCTAAAGTAAAAACAAAAAAAAAAGTAAAAAAAAAAAATGGTACATATTTAAATTTATCATGAAATAGAAGGGTCATGAATGATATATTAACCTTAGGCTTTGCAATTTCTTTGGAAAAAGAAGGTTCTGAAAAACATGCGCTACTTTTCGCGCACTTTGTTAAAATAAGCAATAGATTACCGATTACCGCATCGGGAAGGTTATTTGCTAATCGAACTAAAGTATTCTTGATTGATGGTGTTACTCGTGCTTCAGTTCCATTTGCAATGATTACGATAGCAGATAGAGTACCTGCAGAAATTGCTGCATCTGTTATCTCTTGAATATTCTTGTCATCTTGCTTTACACCTTTCGTATCACTCAGTCCAGGAGTGTCAATGAAGATGAATTTATATGCAGAATTGTTAGGGTGTTCGAAATTGTAATTGTAGCATTTTGTAGTTTGGCTTTTAGTTACATCATCTAATTTTGCTTCCGAATGTTCATTAGCGAACTCTGAAATGAATTAATTAAGTTAAACATTTGAATCAGAATTTAAGGACGGATTTTTTTTTTTTATCAAGGTTTCAATGTTACCTTTTTCAGTAACTTTATAATACTTTGATGGAATGACAATCTTTGGTTCATCAAGTGTGCCGCTTAAAAAGTAATTTGTCACCGTATTGATAATGGTAGACTTCCCAGTTCCGGTTCCACCTAATAAAAGAATTCTGAATTCGCGTGGTGCTTTTCCGGATGGGTTGAACTTGGTTCGTCTTTGGGAAAAGTCGTTAGTATTACGCGTGAAGTTATCAAATTGATCATTACTACGCGTGAAGTTATCATTATTACTACGCGTGAAGTTATCATTATTACTACGCGTGAAGTTATCATTACCACGCGTAAAAAAATCGGATTGGTTATTATTATGCGCGGAGTTATCATATTGACTATTACTACGTGCGAAGTTATCATATTGACTATTACCACGTGGGAAGTTATCATATTGACTATTATTATGTACGAAGTGATCAGGTTTGTTATTATTTTGCTGGTTTTTTAATGCTTCTAATATTTGGAGTGTGGATTGCATGTCAGGTTGATTAAATGTGTCTTGTTGTTGCTGTCGTTTTGGTAGTGGTGGTGGTTGTTGATACTGTTGTTTGTTTTGTGGTATTGACTGAGGGTTTTGAGAAGAATAATAATTATAATTATTAGCAGGCATTCGAGAAGAACTATAGGGAGATGGTGAATCAAAATAATAGTCATCAAAATAATAGTCATCAAAATAATAGTCATCAAAATTATAGTCATCAAAATAATAGTCATCAAAATTATAGTCATCAAAATAATAGTCATCAAAATAATTGGCGCCCTTTTGGGAAATTTTTTCTTTTTCAGACTCCTTTTTGCTTTTATCATTATTTGAAGAAATTTCTTCATGATGCTCAAAAGTCAAGTTACTCATACGAAGGATCCCATCTAAAAATTTCACTTTTTTTTTTTTTTAAAATATTAGTGAGCAACATGGGTAAATTATTCATATTTGCAATATTTACAATTTATATTATAAACTTGCCTTCGGCTCTTTTCATATCGTGCATCTGTTGCAACAGCATGGCAAATGCATAGTCATCGTTGCCAATGGCTTCTTGCAACTCAACATCGGGCTTGTTACTACTATCTAAAATTTATTTGAAAATATTACTTCATATAAAATACACGCATACCATAAGCATGTAAGAGAATGCATATTATACCATTTGGGAGTTTTTCTATATAAAAAAAATTATTCATCCAATATTAATTCTTGAAGTGGGTTTAACAAACCTTATTTAATGTGAATATATTTGCTTAACCACACAAACTTGCCTTCAGAAATTATACCATATTTACGCAATTCTAATTCTTGCAATCTCATAGCAAATTCGTGATCGTCACTGGAATTGGTGCTTTCCATAGTATTAGTTATAGTCAAACAAAAAAAATAAAACGTTTGTGTTTAACGTTCACGGACTTTATATCGAAAAATTCGATAAAAATTTATCAATTTTTGTTTCCGCATATAGACAATGTTATTGTTAACTCCAAATATTGATCAGAACCTGTTTTTTAATGATATCCATTAAAGAAAAGGTCGGGTTGTTGAAAGATCGTATAATAGCATGCGATAAGCTTGAAAGTAAAAGAAATTTGTAACGATAAAGTGACGTATTTTTTCCGAGAATTATGTTAAATTTGTTTTTACTATACTTTATTAGGAAAATTGAGAGCGTGTGAAAATATGCTTTTAAAGTTGGTGCAACACAATTAATATAAAGTAAATAATTATGGCGGTTCAACGATATGCAAAATGAGTTTAGTCAAGTACAAAAATAAATAATTGTTAATTAAAGATAAATACAATATTTATTATTTATTATAATTATTATAATAAAGTATTAAGTTTTCATAGTCACTAACTGATTTTTAATATTTGATTCAACGAAAATAATAAATATTATGTAAAACTGACCATTTATCTTTATCTTAATACGTCTTAAGTCATTAAAAACACTAGTTTTCGAAATATTTTCTAGAGTAAGCCAAAGTTGTGTATTCATAAGAGATATAGATTGTTCATTCAATTGTGCTGGCGTAATTAAGATTAATTTACAAAAGCTAATGAGTGTTTCGCCTAGGTTCTTGTTTTCTTTATTACGACAAAAGGCAGCTTTTCCTCTTCCTGATCAAATATAAAGATGGCCACCTTGTTTTTCAAAAAATGACAACATATATAATGGGCCTTTTCATAGGATTTTGTTTTATTACTATTGAATAAAATTCCTGAAATACTTTCCTTTTGAGTTCGTTTACCCTCCAATTCTTTTACCTGTTTGTACTACTGCTTCATTATCTAATTGTCATGTTCCAATCAATTGCTGAACTCCCTTTAAATTATATCAAATATCAAGAACTATACGAATTTAAATTTTTTACTTTTGTACTATTTCAATTTCATTATTTATTTCTTTCTAAACTATAGAAATACAAAATATAAAAACGAAGTTGTCTTTGCGCTATCATTGTTTAACGGTTGAGTTATTTTACATGACTTCATTTTTTGCCTTTGTGTGATATATATATTTATTTGTATTTTTTTAGAAATAAACCCTACGAAGAACCTCTAAATGTATATGTAAGAATATGAAAAAAATAATGCTTCCGTGAAAGGCCATGACTAATAATGATGATGAATATGACGGCAAATTAATCATGCAACGATAATGATTAAGTTGAATCTCTTTTAAATTACTGAATTTTTCCATTATTAACAATTGGAAACTGTCGCCTTGTTATTGGCTGACATTGCATACAGACAGACGGGGAAAATATATAATATAATATTTTTTCTTTTCGCTTAATCGATCGCGAAAATCGTATATTCATTTTTTTATTGGGAAACTAAAAAAAATAATAATGATAATAATTCAGTTAAGATGAATTTATTAAAGATTCGATCCCAGTTTTCTTACCATTTGTAATATTTGAAAGTGCTTTCCTTTGAATATCACGTTTATTATTTGTGGTTTTTTTACGCCTTTTTTGCTTTGGTGTATTCCCCAGATTCGAATACTTTGTTTCTTCTAATGAATATGTAAATGGATCCCCTTGACGTAATTTACTATTTTGTTATTGTGTGTGAATGTGGATAATTTTTATTATTATCGAATGTTAAATAATTTTATTACACTGAATGTAAAATAATTTTAAGTAATTCATATAAAATATTCACCTTCGAAGACTTGGTTCAGCATAATTCACATCACATCTCGTTCGTGTGCTTTTTCTTGTAACAACATCTGCATAAAGATAAAAAAGAATAATATTAACCAATTTACCTAAGTCGTTAATTATATCAACTTGTTTACTTGTTAAATGCGTACCTTCGTTCTCGAGATTCACAGAGGGTTTTGATACAAGACATAATTCATCATTGCTACCATCGTTATTATTAGATGATGATATTAGATATTTTGTTAAATTTTTAACTGGAATTCGAGATTTATATTTTTGACCCCAATAAGTCTCTTCATTAACTAATTTCTGTCGTCTTGCATTAAAATAAAATCATTATTATTTAAATTATAATAAAAAATGAAATTACTAAATTGTACAGCATACGAGTTTTTTTCCTCTAACTCTTCATTCGATTCATTTATTGTCAGTAGAGCTTTAGGTTTTTCTCGATAAATTGTAAGCTAATGTTTATTTGATATAATTTAGAATATATTTATAACTAATAATCATAATTCGAAAAATGAAAGAACGTAAATTAAAAAAAAAAAAAAAAAAACCAAATTAAGTGGCTTTCTTTTTTCTGGAAGTTTTTCAAATGCAAAATCGACTTCCTGAGAAGTTTTTGAAATATATTGATAACATTCATTTTCAACATAATCATCTTCTATGTTCGGTTGATCAAGCAAAGAATCTTTTAAACAGAAATTTAAAAGTAGGATTTAATTTTAACATTTAACTAATAGAATTTTATTAAGTGAAATTACTTGCCATCAGAACAAAAACTTGAATTTTCTGAATTCCTTCGATGATTATAATCCATCAACGAATTTAAAGAATTAGTAACCTCATGAAGTTGTTGAATTATTTCTGTTAATTGTCCACTAGTTGACTATTATCAAAAAAATATATTCTTTATTATTATTATTATTATTATTAAAAATTAAAATTAAAAAAAAAAGTGAATTATCGCAAAACGTGTCTTTTTATTTTTACCTTGACACCATCTTTGAATCTCTCATTTTTATCACTTTCCAACTTTTCGATTTTATTATTTAAGTTTACAATAGTTGCTCTTGATTCAATATTTTCAATTGAAAGCCTTGAAATTTCCAATTCCGCCTTACGAAGTTGTAATGCGTATAATGTGTTTGATCTAATAAAATATGTATTTTATTTTTTAATATAATATAAAATATTATTTATACACATTCGATCGAATGAAAGTATTTACTTTATTATGGCACGATTTTGACTAATGTGTTTTCGTTTAACTTTTTCAAACAGATAAAAATTATGAATTAAATTTATTAAATTTATAAAATTTGTAAAATTTATCTATCTATTTTTATTATTAAAAGAATACCAACAAGATTCCAAAGTTTCCATGTGCTGCTGCGAAATAAGAAAAAAAATGAAGGTAATATTGAAATGTTGTTTTTTAAAGTGAAGACAAATTATTCATTAATTATTCATTATTATATAATCATGATTTAGACTATAAAATTCGTGAAATTAGAAATCCGAATACAAAGAGAAACTCGATAAGTTATGTACGAATCACTGATAATACATTTAATACATTGTCAATTATTTAATTGTAAAATAATAAACCCGATATCTGTACTTAAATTTAATATTGAGGAAACTCGTCCAACTCAATCCTAACCTCACATGTGAACATACACATGTCATGAAATATAGTTAAAAACAGTTATCTTCAAAGTAAACACATAAAATAGATCACTTCTAAATTCATTTATTCTCATTTAATTTTATTATTTTTTTTTCTTTTAGACAAGATATTCATTCAATCAATTATTGGTATTATTCTAACCATCTGATTCAGAATCAGACTCACTTGTAATATAAGCCTTTATATCCTCAGTACTCGAAATGATCATATCCTAATATATTCAAGAAAATTCATTTCATTAATACAGTAATTTACTTAATAAATAATAATAATAATAATAATAATAAAAACACCTACTCGCATCACCCACAAGTTTGATGCAAATATTGGCAACTCTTTAAATAACAAAAGGGTTATTATCGGATAAGGAAAACACATTTCAAGTTTAAAATAATAAACTCCCGCGAAAGGCATACACAAGCTATAAACATAAAAGAAATGATCTAATAGAATTTATGAATAGAAAAATTTGAATATTATACACGTATGTAATAAATGTTTTTAATAACAACTTATTGTAGAACTTACTATAAATTTGTACACCATAAACCTTTATCCGTCTAAAAAGTTCGAGAGAACCTGAATAATTTTTCTTAATAAAATTAAGAATTGTCTTCAACATATTAGCAATTCTATTCTTGTTTCCTAAATAACGTGTAGGTTCAAGGCTTGAGGGGGAACCGGAAACTTCAAGAATTGAAAATTCAAGATCCAGTTCTGACATTGAAATAATTGCATCGATTTCGTGATCCAAAAAACGTTGATCATCATTTTTTGATACTTGATTCATTTGATTAAAAACATATTTGGAACATTTTAAAGTTCTTTCGCCCCTATTAAAAATACAAAATGAAAAGAATAATAATTAAAAGGTATTAAAACCATCATCAATCATTAATTAATCTATTAAATTTTGATATCAACTTACCAACTACAATTTAAAAATGTCAAATCTTTGAATAATAAAATAAAGACGCGGGAGACGAAATTAATTACATAATTAAATTTACTCTGGTTTTCTTTAAAACAGTTCCTGTCATTTAGAAACTGATCCCGACTAAATAATGAAGAAATTCACATTTAATATAAAATTTCATATAAAATTTAATCCAAAAAAAAAAAATAAGAATATATATGTAAAATACTTACAAAATCTTCAATAAATTCAAAACTTGTTTTTTCCATTTCACATCGCCACTTGTTCTTAATTTTAAACGTTCCATTTTTATTACTTCACATAATTTCTCTACATGATTCTAATGAAATATAGCCATCAAAAATAAATGACCAAATCTATTGTTTTTTTTTTTTTTAAAAAAAAAAATAACAACTACTCACCACATCCTTTACAATTTTTTTTGTATATCTCCTTACTACTCCAAAATTCCCATCTTGATCGATGTTTTGATCTGAAGTAGATGTAGAATCTGAAGTTAACTGTTTTTCCGGAGGATTATATGTTAATCTTTCTATAGTTCTAACTATAAGTTTCCAGTGATCTTTAAAAACCTCTCTTGCTTTTGTTGCAGGACTTGTTGTATCAATAATATTGAAACATATTAAGCTATAAAAATCGGAATTTATTATTGAATAAATAAATATCAAAAAAAAAAGAAGCATATAGCAAATAATTCTTGTTCTTATAAAATATTTACTCGTGTTTATGAAATTCTTCTCTATATATTGGTGATAAACGCCATTTCTCCATTTCAGTCCGAATACATATATCGTTTATAATGAGTTTGTAATCTTCATTTACTTTTCTTCGTTTTTTCTGTGAAGGAACGTTTTGCTTAACCTGACTCCGGCTTTCCTCTTCTAAATGATGTTCAGATTGATTTTCGGGTTCTTTTATTGCGCGTTTTGACATTCTCTTGATTGAAAATTTATTTATTTTGTCAAAAAACATGATTTTTATTTATTTAAACTCAAATCTCCCGTTTCACGTTTCACAATGTTAATCCCGATATAGAAAGAAATACCATTGTGTGATAAAACCTTAAAACCTTAGATCTAATCAAAAATCTTTTTGTTGTAAAAATGCATTCCGAAAAACCATTTCATCACAGACCGACCCTTAAACAAGTCAATAAACCTTTTAAATCAAAACATAAGACGAAAGGTTCTCTTAAAGATCAAGAAAAGGGTTAGGATATATTTAAATTTCGACAAAAAAAAAAAAGTAATAGAATTTCAAATTATTTATTTTCAATACGGGAATTTTTTCTTTTCGTGAAAACAGGAAAAATTAATCGAAAATCTATAAAAAAATCAACCTCTAAACCTAATTTCATTTCAAAAGCCGATCGTCATAATGCTGCTAAATTGGAACAACAGAAAAAGAGAGCTGAAGTGATAAAAACTAATAGATTTTTTGAAGGACGTCACGGTGCTCCGAAAATTGTGGTATGAAATATGAAAGTTCATAATTATTAGAAAATGTTATAAAATTTTTTTATAGAATTTATATAAATGTAATTTAATTGAATTAATTTCAAATTTCATAATTAATATAATTAATATAATTAATATAATTAAATAATTAAACCAAAAATATATATAAATATATATATAAATTTTATTAGGCAATTGTTCCCCTATGTTCGGATGTGGATTCGTGTAGTGCAATGAAAAGCATTTGTTCAAGTATCGAACAGCCAATCCCATCAATGACTAAAGGCATTTCTTTGTTAAAGTATGAATTTATATATAATGTGTTTAATATATATAAATATATATATATTGAATATGATTATTGAATTAATTGTAAATCAAAAAAAATTTTTTTTTTTTTTTTTTTAGTGTCGAACGTTTTAAGCAAAAAATACAGTTTATTCTGTTAGAACGTAACTTTATCGATATTATGGATGCATGTAAAGTGGCAGATATTATTTTATTCGTAATTTCTGCAAAGGAGGAGGTCGATCAATTTGGCGAATCATGTCTTAGATCTATACAATCACAAGGTTTTCCATCACTAATTACAATGGCCATGGTATGTGATTCTATATATATTTATATATTATTTTCACGTAATTAATTAATTTCATTGTTTATTTATTTTTCAATTATCATTTATTTTATTTATTTATTTTAATTTGAAAAATAAATAAAAAATAATAAAAAAGCATATGGAACAAAGTTCACAAAAGAAACGAAATGATATTAAAAAATCACTATTAAGTTTCATCAATTACTTTTTCCCCGAGGAAAAGAAAATTAATGCTGCGGATCAAACTCAAGTATATTTATTATAATTTATTGTTCTTTATTATTTTGTGTGTGTGTACTTTTTTTTTTTTTAAGATATTTAAATGTTTTTTTGTCTTTAGGATGTTCTCAATATTCTTAGAACAATATGCACTCAGGGTCCTAAACAAATATCATGGAGAGAATCTAGACCATATATGCTTTCAGAGGAGTTAGGTTTTGACATGAACGATGATAAGGTAAAATATTTCAATTATATCAATTTTTTTTTACTTATTCGATTTTGTGAATTTTCTTAATTTCCTTGATTAATGAATAATTTCAAAATTTGATTTTTTTTAAAAATATAGAATACAGGAACTCTCAAGGTTACTGGATATGTTAGAGGATTGGCATTTTCCGCAAATCGACTGGTTCATTTGCAAAATTTTGGGGATTTTCAATTAAATAAAGTAAGAAAATATTTTCAATAAATTTTTAAAGATTTATCACCTGATATTTTGATATTAACATATTTTTCATTTTTATTTTGTAATATAATATTAAGATTACTTCATGTCCAAAAAAATATGATAATAGTGATAATAGTAAAGAGATGGTAAATAATTAAATAATTATGTTAATTAAATCTATTAAATTTTATAATATTTAGATTTTATTTAAGTGATATTTTTTTTTTAATATTACTTATTATTTATTACTTTTAGGAAGAAGATATACAAGTTTTGGAAGTTCCGAATCCAGACGAACAAGTATATATATATATATTTTTTTAATCCAAATAAAATATTTTATCTAAATAAAATATTTTAACTTAGCAGATAAGATATAATTTATAATAACTTGCTTAAAAAATTATTAGGATTCCTTGGAAGCAGAAAATGAACCAAATTTAATGGAAAACGAGCAAACTTGGCCAACTGAAGAAGAAATGGCTGGATATGAAGGTAATATTTATTATATTCGTATTATTTAAATTAATTCATTCAAATTTATTATTTTAAATTTAAAATAATTTAAAAAATTTAAATTTTAAGATCGAATTAGACCAATGGAAAATATATCAGATATACCAGATGCACCTCTTGGTACAACACCAAATAAAATTGTAAAGCGAGTTCCTAAAGGAACATCTACTTATCAAGCCGCTTGGATAGTTGATTCGGAATCGAATAGTGAATATTCGTATTATAGTGATGATGAAGATGGGGATGTTAATATGAATTATGAGAATAACGAAGAACAGTTAATTAACGAAAAAGAAAAAGAAGGAATTAATATTAATGAAGAAGAATATGAAGAAATCGAAATTGATGATAAAAGAAATGAATCTATTCATTTGGATCCAGAAGAAGAAAGCAAACAGTAAAATAAGCTTTTTAATTAGATTATTATTCATTCATAATTTTATAATATAATTCAAAAACATAATTTTATTACAAAATAGATTAAAAGAGTATTTGGCAAATCGGGAAAAAGAACAAAGAGATGATATTGAATTTCCTGATGAAGTTGACACTCCATCAGATATTGCAACTCGTATAAGGTTTCAAAAATATAGGGGTTTACAGAGTTTCAGAACTTCGCCCTGGGATCCATATGAGAATTTACCAATTGATTATGCAAGAATTTATCAATTTGAAAATTACAAGGGAACAAAAAATAGAGTGATTTCTCAAGCTTCTACTGGGGGAAGTAAAGTGAAGGTTAAAAAAGTTTATTAATTTCAACAACATTTGTTTACATCTTAATATATATCGCGTATCATGTGATGTTAATTTCCATTTTACAATATAATAAGGTTGGATCACGTATTACCTTGCATATAGCTAATGTACCAAAAAAAGCGATAGGTAAAGTGATCAAAATATGTATATATCTTTATATCTTTATATAAATATATTAAAATCAATTTTAAATTAATTTAAACCAGATTCTTATGATTCATCTCGACCATTTACTGTTTTTGGTTTGTTTGAGCATGAACACAAGATGTCCGTATTAAACTTTGTCGTTACGCGGTACAGTGATTATAATGAACCAGTGAAATCCAAGGTACGAGAACAATTGTATTTTAGTTTATCTCAATTAAAGTTTTATATTTTACAATTTATTTAATTTATTTAAATTTAATTATCTTTTATTAAAAGGATCCATTAATTATGCATTTCGGATTCAGGCGTTATGAAGTAAGACCTCAATATTCACAAAATACATTAGGAGGAAAAGGAACAAATAATGTCCACAAATTTGAGAGATTTCTTATCTCAGGAAGGACATGTGTTGCGACAATTTATGGTCCGATCCAATTTGGAAAAGTACCGGTGACTCTTTATAAAGAAACGGAAACGATTAATAATTGTTCGTATTGAATTTTAATATATATAAATATACATGTATATATATATATATACACTTATAATATTTAGATTATATTCGTTGAGGTTAAAATTAATTTAACTAATTAATTTATTAACAGTTCCAATAGCCGTGGCTAGTGGCTATTTCTGGAATGCAAATCCGAAGAGGATAATTGCCAAACGTATTATTCTCACTGGACATCCGTTTAAAATTCATAAGAAGTCAGCAGTTATACGATATATGTTCTTTAATCCAGGTTAGTAAATTATTTATGTTAGTATGTTATTTTATTTTATTTTATTTTTTTTAAAAAAATAACAATCTTTTTATTTAATAAAAAAAAAATAGAGGATGTTTTATGGTTTAAACCAGTTCAGTTAACCACCAAATATGGTAGAGTTGGACATATTCGCGAATCTTTAGGTACACATGGATATATGAAATGTATATTTGATTCACCCATAAATCAACAAGACACAGTCATGATGAATCTATATAAGCGAGTTTTCCCAAAATGGAATACAACAATTTTATGGCGTGAAAAAAATAAAATCCTAAATGTGACTTCGAAAGATGAAGATAATAATATACAAGACATCGAAATGGCGGAATAAAAAATTTAATTTAAAAAATCTATTGAAATGTTATTTATTTAATATATGAAATATATATGTTATATTTATTTATTTTGATACCTATTTTTAATAATAAATTGTTAATGAATTTTTAGAGGGTTTCAAAATAAATTACAAATAAATAATTTATCTAATATTTTTTAAATATTTTAATGAAAATTTTATACCAAATTTTCTTTTATATTCCCTAACTTAGTAATTTTTAAATAAGAATCAGTGCCGTAACCATCCATACTAAAAATGGTCAAGTCACCTCCCAAATATTCGGCGTACACTTTACTCATAGGTAATCCAATACCTAAATTTAAATTTGGAGGTATAATAAATTGCTCATATTCTTGCACAGTTGCAGCCATTTGTGGGACTTTTGAAAAATTCGTAAATATGTGATCAATTTTTTTATCACTATTTTTATGTAAAAATGACCAAATATGGGGATAAATTTTATCAGGAATACCTCCACCTTGATCTGAAATACGAAAATAAATATCAATTGGTCCTGGACAAATTGTTACTATAATAGGTGGAAATGGTTTTTTAGGTTTTCGTATCTCTGATGTTTTAGATATTTTAGATGATTCTGATGATTCTGGTGTAATTGATGTTTGGGATGTTTCAGATGTTACAAATTTTTGGGAGGAATTTGGTGATTCTGAATTATTATTATTATTATTATTATCATCATTATTATTATTAGAATGTAATAGTGAAGGCTCATGTTTTTCTATTGTACCTCTTATAGAATTTTTCAATAATTCATAAATAATATATTCTATGTGATCAGGTATATAAGAAAAAGTTGTATCAACTCCATCTATAATAACATTTGGTGGTTCAACATTATAAGTAGTCCTACATAAATTACTTGTCATTTTTGCACATTTATCAATAATTTCTTTAGCATTACATTGAGTTGATACCACACCAATATAACCATCTGAACCGTAACAATAATTAGGATCATTCCAATTTTCTGTTAAAGTGATTTGTTGTTCAGCCAAAACTCTTCTTGAAATACGTGTTCTCAACATAACATTCATAAAGCGATTAACTTGTTCTTCACTCATATACTCGCCACATTCAATAATTCCCATGGCTAATTGTGGTATAACCACCAAGTGTTTTTTCAATAGACTTTTTAATGTTTTACAAAATTCATCATTATCTTCCATTGTTTTGATAGGTGGAAATTTTCTTAATGTTTCAAATGCAATCCAATATAAATCGTATACCTTCGCAATATGTGGATTCGTTCCCACAACAAAAGGCAAATTCTGAAAATCTCTAATTCTATGAGCTATTCGAATCGTTAATTCGGTTCTAACATAATTTCCACTCTTAATAATTCTTTCTTCAGTTAAATTGCGACCGAAAAAAATTAATTGTCGAAGTGTAATTTGATTAGCAGGCTGAAATACGTATTGATCTAGAATTCTATTTTGATAAAAATGTTGTGAAGAATAAGCACTATGTTGTAACGTTGATTTGAATGACTTGGGGGATTGTAAAGAAAGCTGAGGTGGAGGCGAAATAATTGAATTAGGTGAGATAGTTCTTACATTATGAGATAATGATGTAAATTGTATAGGTTCCATATTAGGAGTCGTGGTTATTCGCTGAAGTGAAGTTTGTAATTTTGAAGTTCCATTTGAAAGTGATTTACAAGTAGTTTCGTGACTTTTTCGAAATATTTTTGGAAAATATTGCCTTACTCTAGTTACTCTAGGAAAATTTGCTTGACGAACAAATAAATTAGTAATAATTTCAGCCATTTCAAAAAATTCACATGGATGTGAGTGTCTGTAATTTGTATACTTAACTTTTGATGTTAACCCGATTTATACGAGATTCGGAACATAATTCAAGATCTACTTCGATATATAAAATTAAAAATGATTGACATAATTTTAGATTTCAGAAGGGCCGTATTGATTATACGTCGTCAAAACTATTAAATTGAGTCAGACGCAATTATTGAGTCAGACGCAATTAAAAATTAGAACATGTATAGTATTGAAATAAGCCCATGAAAGCACTTCAAGTTGGCCTCTGAATCGTTTGTCGTGAACGTGGTATACATGCTTCACAAAAAAATGCTTCACTATTACATACTGCTATAAAAATTCGTACTATGGAAGTCAATGTGCATAATCTGTTTGATATATAAGGAAAAGTGTATTTTCAATTGTTTTTCCTTGATAGAATTTGTCAACGACTTTTGCTGAAATGATTTTATTACTACAGTATGAACGAACAACGATAGCACGCGGCATATGATCTACAATAGTGTTACGCGTGATCTCGCAAACACTACTTCCTTTAAACTTTGGTAGAACGAAACCGATCTCTTTGACCTCCTTAGCGAAGTCCATGTCGCAGGTCCCATTTTGAATCCAATTTTGTTCGGTCAACTTAAAGAATTTCATTGTGAAATCTTTCTTATCAAGTTGCATGTCTTAAAAATTTAATAAGCATAACTTTCTGACCACTTCGGGCTAAAGTAGGTAGAAGTCACCTCATAACAAGTTTTTTCAACATTTAAACATGGAAAAAGGTATGTTGGCATACTTATTATATTAATCTATGAATATAATCTTTCGTGGGGAGGGAAATGATTCTTCCGTTACGAGTTTCACTTTTTTTATCTTCTGTAAACCTTTTGTTCAAAGTTTTTTTGAGTTATCAATTCTGGAGAAGGATTGGTTAAAAGAAACTTGAAATAACAAGTTATTATAGGCCTACCTATAATGACTTGTTATGTTGCGATAAATTGATTCTTCTGTCATCTGAAAGTAGTCCTCCCATTATTGAGAGTAATGATCTTTCTTTTGAGGAGAGTTACGGAATTACAATTTTTGAAAAGTTATTATAGTTTAACTATCTTATATCTAATATAATGCCTTAATTAAATTAATTAATAATAAAGATATTACAAATTGAGTCAATTCAAATTATTATATAAGTTTATATGAGTTAATTGCAAATCAATTTCTTTTATAAATATATATGGCATTTTTTTTCTTTGAAAAATATTGCAACTGTATACACGTGTATTTATTCTTATTGCTATTTTTTTTTGAATTTCTATATTTCTATTTATTTTTTTATTATTCTTTATCATTTGTTTTTAGTTGTTTCCACATCACTGGTCCAATAAACAAAAATCAGAATTTTTATTCATGGTGTGAAATGAATATCCTATCTAAGAAAAAGGCAGAAATTATAATTCCTATTTATAAATCAGAATAAATCAGAAAATTCAACTGCCTAAATTAATAAAACTATGTAAAACTTGTTATAAATTGTAATCTCATTCATAATAAAACCATTCTATTCTTTTTTATTTGACCATTTCATATTGCTATTTTAATTTTTTAATAACACTTCTCTAAGTGCAATCTCAGGAAATAATTTGTATAATCTGAATGACAGGTAAATATACTGAACCATTATGAGAAATTAACTATAATCAATACGGAGTTGATCAAAACAGCATAAATTTCTGTTGCAATCAAGAGTACTCAGCATCTCAAGTTCATAATAATATACTTTCCTTTAATCCATGGTATTGGTTATCAGCAATAATAGCAATGATATGTACAAGATTAATAGGAGCTCTCAAGTTTTCTTAACTAATCAAGTAAAATTCCAATACTTTTGAGTTTTCCTTCTATCAATTCTTCTTCAGTAACCTTATTTTTTCTAATTGTCTCAATAAAATAATCTTAATATATAAATTATTTTTCTTAGATTTTAAAAAACCTACCAATTTGTGCTGTACCATCGCTTGATTTTTTCATATTGTGGCTCAAGTTCCTTTTTTGAAATTATCTATAATTTTGTAAATTGACTAGTAAGTCTTTTGTTAGCTTTGAATCTGAAACCAATATTATTACACTACAACACACAACTAGTGTCAGTATTCTCAAACGTAAACAATGATTGTATGACATGGAGTTATGAGTAGTGTAATATATGAAGAACCATTTCCGGATTTCAAAGAAATGTTGTATAACTTGGGGAGTCAAAGGTAAATTGACAATGAGCAGATTATCTATATTAATAACGGATATTCATGCCAATTATATAGGAATTAGAAAATAAGTAATTACAATGAGACATTTACAAGCTATTTTTAGCATTCAATAGCGTTTATTGCTTGAATGCTTGTATTGTTATTTCAATTCACGTGATTAAATTCAAAAGTTTTCGATTCGAGTTTAAAGAATTGATTATCTTGCCTCTCCCAGGAGTACATATATGACAGCTGTCAAAATTCATGGATTCCATGTGACTTTAAACAGTCCATCCTTCAGAGTATAATAAATGATAATAATAACAATTAAAAAATGAACTAAATTATGAAATAAATTCAATTTTTTGATCTCAAAAAAAAAAAAAAAAACATCTCAAGCATTGTCCACATTTATAAGTATTGTGTTAAGACAATATAATAATATACATGAACAATGTGGACTGACCGAATAGGAACTTCTCCGCCTATCAAAAAAACCGGCATACACGTGAAAATTAAGCAAGAATGTGCTTGTTAAGTAGTAACCGAATATAGAAGTATAATTATAATTCTCCAGTCAATGCTCTATTGTTTCAAATCAACCGGTATCTGAAAATCAACCTACATTATCTGGCATTAGAAATATTATATGCACAATGATGAATTTAGTTAAAATCTCAGTCTCATCTAAATGTTTCATATGTGAAATCACTTTTTAAAGGTCTTTTGGATAGCACGAGTGCTTGGCTGCATGCCTAGAATATGATAACAAAACGAAAAAATTTTCCGAACATTTTCTTTTGATTTATTTATAGCATACAGAAATAATTGAAATAGTTAAAAATAAATGAAATAATAATAATCATAATAATAATCGATAATAATATTATTGTAACTGTTCATAAAAATGATTGACAATAAACAATTGATAATAATAACAACAATAAATATAAATTTATATATGTCGATCATAAATATGTTGAAAAGATTTAAAGATTGGCCGCGAATAGAATATTTATACAATTGACGCCATTTGCATTTGAATTTCCAAATATCGTATTTTAATTCTTGAAAGTTTACAGAAGGTGGTAATTGCGGCGTTGCGCCAGTTAGGATATTTTTTTGGGAGGGAGGGAAAATTTTAATATCAAATTTGAAGATTTTTCTTCGTAATACACTTTATTTTCATTAAAGCATTCAAATTTGATAATTACAATTAATCAAATTAGTTTGCAAGCAGTTATATTGAATAAATAATAAACATTGAATAAATATTAAATAAATATTAAATAAATATTAAATAACTATATTATTAAGATTACAGTATTATTTATTATCAAAATAATCAAAATATATAAAATATATATTGTTCTTATTAACATTACCCGATTTAATAAATTATCGTGTAATGCGGATCCACCTCTTTTACTTCTTTTACTTAAAAGCCACAATAAAATGTAATTACACGTGAATTTTTATGAAATGAATTTTAAATAGATGAAAAGTGTTACAAATCAACAATGCAGAAATGTTTTTTTTATAATTTCATCATTGGTCAATTGAAACAATGATTCTATAATAAAAAAATAAAAAAATAAAAAAGGAACAAGTGAATGGATTATTACCACCAAATATTGAAAATCTGATTATTGTAATATACGTTTTTGGTCTTCTGAGCCACGAATTTTCATCTGTCAGAAAAATAATTTTTTTTATCGAAAGATTTCAATTTTTTTTTTCTCATTGTGGTTTCTATGTGGAAATCTATTTAACTGTATCATGTTGTCATATTATAAATAATTATAAATAATTAAATGTGTAACATGATGTCATTGAATTTAGTTAGTGCGATGTTTGTTAAAAATATCTTTCATAATAATCTTTCACGTTTGTATTTAATTAATCTCTTGGAATTTCTCAAATAATATCAAATAATATTAATTATTATAATAATAATAATTTGTAAGCTTCTTTTAGCTGAAGTTTCTTACCTAATTTGTAGAGTGGCTCGTATATTGAAATTTTTATTATTGTTACTTCGCATATTTCGCATGGTGGCAATTTTCTTCAATAAAGAGATGGTTATTTTCAATCAAACAATTCTCCAATTCAAGCGGTTAGAAAATCCGCCACATTGCCGGGTACCGAATTATTTAATGGTCAAAAAAAAAAAATAATTTAAAAGTTCATTTTATAATGATTTAATTAAACAATAGATTATTTTATTGAATATTTTAATTAAATATATATAACGGCTGCAAAACCTCACGTTGTGTGACATACAATTGTGTTTGATGCAATATATATCTTGTTTACTCCTTAATATAGTCAGCCAAAAAATTTTTTATTTTTTAAAGAAATAATATCTATTTATTTTCTATTTAGAAAACTAAGAGAATCTGAATTTCTTTTTATCACAAAAGCATAAATACGCCAGAATGTCGTTTATTTTATTTCAGTTCATCTGCAACCAGAAAAAAGCTGTTTTGCAATTAAATTTTATTGAGAAAAATTAAAGTCCAATTGAGGATTCATATTTATTTTATAATGAGTAATAGAAAAACCACTTTGGTCAAAAAGAATCAATCACGTGCATGTGTCTTTATCGACTCTAGCGACCCTTCTTTACCTAATCAGGTGATTAACGACGCACGACCTTTCATTAAACTTCCCTTTCCTCCAACAATTGATCCTCGTGACTTAATTACCATACTTCCTGATGGTCGTGTGCCAACTCGCGCTCCAAATGCCTTTATTATTTATCGCAGGGCATTCATCGAAGCTGCACGAGCTGAAGGTTATAATCTTCCTATGACTGTAATATCATCAATGACTTCCCAATCATGGGAACAAGAGCCTAACTTTGTTAAAGCTGAATATAGAAGATTAGGAAAAGAAGCCTATAATAGACGTAATGAAATGTGTCCCGATTCAAACCAACGTAGAAAGAGAGAAAAATGGAATATGGTTTCATTTGGCAATAAAAAAAATTCTCGTAAAATTAAGAAATCAATGCGAAAATCAAAAAAACAACCATCTTCTTTATCATATTGTGGTCAAAATAATAAAATTCAACAAGAGAAAAAATTCCAACAATCCCCACCATCTCCTGTACCATCTTTCTCTTCTGATTTGTCCGAATCTGATTCAGTGGTGGATTATAAAGTAGTCTTTACTCCTGAAATGATAAATAATAACAATAATGATAACAATAATAGTCATCTTGAAGATGAAGAAGCTTTAGATTATCAGGAACTTTATTCAAATTCTGAACGGGATTCAAATGATTATTATCCTACTCCTAAAGACACTACTACTTTTACCGACACTACCAGTAATTCTCCTGATATGAACAAGTCTGATTATCGTTGCGAATTCCCATTTGTAGCTCCCGAAAATTTTTCTGAAGAGTTTTTGCCATCACCAATTCAATCGCCCATAAGTGAATTTGAACATCCATTTGAATCAACAGCTCTGTATAATAACGTTTATACCCTCAATCATGATGAACTTTACGAGTATACCACTACTACGGCTAATACTGCTGCTACTGCTTCTACAGCTAATGCGACAGCCGCCGCTAACATTTCTGATGATGGTCCTCCTTCGCCATCTACAGTTGGTATTTATGAAAATCTTTATGCTACTACAGGTGGTTTCTCTGATTCGGATGAGTTGTCCAATTATTCTCCTGAGCTCTCACCTGTAATTTTCGCTGATAATTCTGGTACAACAATCTTCCAAGATTTATCTGGAAATTATTATTATTACTGAAAACTTTCCTTTAAAAGCTATTAAAATTGGTCTTTACATTTAAAACTACCTTAAAGAGTATGATACCAACGAACATTTTGTAAATATTTATATAAAAATTATCTTTAGTAAATATTCCAAAAAAAAATTTTACATATATATATTTCCTCAAAAAATTTTAAGAACAATTCTCTTTTACTTTTCTACTTTATATATTTTATTATCAGTTTTTTTTTTCTCATTTCCTAGAAGAACATAACCTTTACTTTTTTTTTTCATTTTTGGGTATTATCTTTATATTTCTATTTGTCTATCCTGGGATTCAAAGTTCTTCAGCTAGCTTGAATGAACCTTTTATAGATCTATATATGACTAAGGCTTGCTTCTTTTATTTTTAAAAATTCCTTTGAAAAAGACAGCAATAATGTTCAATTATGTTCAATTATATTCAATTATATTATATGATAATTCTCCCTAATTTGAATTATCAAAAGTATTTACTGTACATTTATTGCTATTACTTTTTTCGATAATTTGGATATATCTCCATAATTAGTTATATACAAATTATAAAATTTTCACAATTTTTACAATTTTCACAATTTTCACAATTTTCACAATTTTTATGCATTGAAAACTAAATTTTATCTTTGCAAGTCAAAGATAATATTTATTTTTTTGTTAAATTTAAGATTAGATTAGATTATTTAATTTCTAGAAATTTCTAAAGTATGATAAGAGTTTAGTTAAATTAAGGAAATTTTTAATTATATGTATGATAAATATTTTATAGAAAATAAATAAAAAAAAAAAAAAAAATCCAAAACATAAAGTTTGGATTTTATAAGAAATTTATATTATGACTTAATAAAATTATAGTGATTTCAAGTGAATTATCATAATTTATATATATATCAGAACGCGTTGAACGCGCGAAATCTGCAAATGTCGTGACTTAGCTTAGCAAATATATAATACCACATGTGATTTGTTTCCTCTGAGGAAAACAAATCTATTTTTGGGTTTTATGAGTTACATTACAGAAAAATTAAAAAAACATGTAATGTATTTATTGATATATTAGATAATTTATCTGTTTTAAGATCTGGTGAAAGACTATTTTTTGAATATTTTTATTCAAGTTTTTACACACTTATAATTAAACTTCCAAATTTCATTTAAGTTGTCTCATTAAAATAGATTTCAGGCAATACCATATAATATCTTTCACATATTGAATAAAGTAAAAATTGATATTTCCAAAGATGTTATTTTTATTATAGAGAAAAAAAAGGTACAGGTCAAATAAAGAAAATATGTTTTGTTAAATAGATCATAATTTATTTTTTATCAAGATTCAATAACGAATCCTATTTTAAATACAATTTTTAAAATAATGTAACTGTAAAAAGATAAAAGTTAATAAATGAGGAATTTGTAAAATAAGTAATACGAGATAAGAAAAAATGTGTGAAAAGTAACTATATTATGTAAACAGAATTTGAAAATTCGAATTTTTTTAGTCAATAATTTTTTAAGACCTACTTAATTTTCAAATTAATTTTTCAAAAATGTTATTTTTTTCATATAAACTACAAATATTGATCTGAAAATAAATTGAATTCAGTAAAGTATGTTCTTCTACTTGAATTAATTAATTGGAGAAATGAAATAATACTTGGGAATATATTATATGTGACATTTAAAAACCGAATTGAAGTTTTGTCTGGTCTATTTTAGAATGCCCATATACAGCATAGTTACGGAAATGAAATGAAAAAATTTTTATCGGAATGATTTGAGACAATATGCTACTATTTTTTTTTAATTTATATTTCCACATGAGATGAAGAGTCATGATTTTCTTTTTTTCCTGTTTTGGTTCGATTTTTTTTTTCTTGTGCATTTAGCATGTAAACAATATAAATATCTTGATTAATGTGAAAAAAATGCAATATGCATGCTTTCTTCTTGATAGCAATCGTGGGATCAAAAACAATGTAAAAATTATATTCAAAATTCCTGCAGCATATGATTTCCTTCCCTATACTGATGAATAACTTTTCTCGACAAAATTTTAGGAAAGATCGAAATATGGGGTGCATTGTTATAATTTTAGCATTTTGATTTTTTTTTTTTTTAAAAAAAAAAAAGAATTTTTTAAAAAAAAAAATTGTTATGTCCGTTGAACATCAAAAAAAAAAATTAGGGTAAGAAATGACTAGTCTAAAAAAAAATTATAAAAAATGCAAACGTGAAACAGGTAATTATTGACAGTTTTTTCCTATTCTTTGTGATTTTTCATTTTTGGTAACAAGTAAGGCTTTACCACACCACCAACGTGTGTACGATCTTCTGATACAAAAATAGCAAACTAGAAAATTTTCTCGGCAGTTTCGTATGTTCATGCATTATACAGAAAAAATGTCTTTAAAAAAACTGTGGCTAAGAATGTCACTCCATTTGTGGCGTCAAATTAAAAAAAAATTCTTGGAACCAATAAAATAACCTCTTCCAAAAAAATAAAATACATATCAATATGAAAAAATACCGAAAATAGAATATGTTTATTGAGAAGACCAGTTAACTGTCCTAGCATATGAAATACAGAAATTCATTTTTCAAAGTTATTATTCCATCCTAAAAGAGAAAATCCCGTTCAATAACAGCCTACCAATTCATGCAAATATCTCCTTTATGGTATTTTGTGCCTCCTTTTTACAATAGAAATAAAAAAATATTAAGAACAATGAGAATTTAAGATGAACAATGATTAATTTTTTAATTGCGCGTGACGTCAACTACACATGTGTTCACGTGAGAAAGTTTGCAAAAAAAAAAAAATCGCAAAAAAAAACTGAATTCAAAGTTTCAGATCAAAATCAATCCAAAAATATTAATCAATTTCCTTAAAGATTTGTTGATGCATTCAATAAATTAATTGAATAATATTTATAAAAATAAACTTATAGAGATTCAAAAAAAAAAAGAATGCATAATGCACGCAAAAAATTTAGAATTTATTTATTCGTGTTTCTTTCTCAACATATTACATTGCCGCCACCATTAATAACGGACCAATAAATCCGGATACAACCAAAGGAAAATTCAAGAATCCCAAAATTTCATTCTTAATCATCCGCTCTATTAACATTTACTTCAAATGGTCATAAAACAATATGTATTGTCTAAACATTACAACCCTCCATCAACACATTGCTCTTTCCTTGTTACATTCGTTTGTCAAAAAGATTGTAATCCAAATACTCTTCTTAAAAAATTTCACAATTACTTTACACAATGAATCAAAGACCACTGGAATTATAAATAACCAAAAGTAAAAACTGAATATACAAACAAATTACCGCGGACTTTATGTTTTGGAATATACCTTTGATATCTCAAAGAATATGTCTTTATTTTATCTAAGAATTGAAACCGAAGGCGTGATTAATAGTGGGATGTATACTGTTTAGGTGCGACTGGTCCTTTAATCATCCGGTCACATCCGGAACCATATGATTGTCTGGAAGAGGGAGAATATTTTCTTGAGAGATTTTACGAACAAAATGATGGAATCCTTAGAGCAGGAAAAGATATTCTACAATATAATGAATTATGGCATTTAAATATATATATGTCAATGTATAAAAGAAAAACTTTTACCTCAAGATAATCCAACGATCAACTGCGGACTCAACACTTCTCTGAAATCGCGAAGAATTTTCTTTAGCGTCATCAGCTACAATTTCGAGAGAAACAAATATTAGCAATATCATTTTTTTTACAAGCCTACAACAAAAAAAATGTAATAAATATGTAAACAAACATTCAGAACAAGTGTTAAATTTTTTATTTATGAAACAACTTAAAATTTTTTTACATTTGCAAACGTTTTCAACGTGTTAGCACGGTCCTCGGTCATCCAAACACCGTGAGTTTCGGGCTGTTTATAATCTATTTGAACAACTTCCAACCCCAAGTTTTTCAAGTTCTCTCAAACAGATCATATTATGTCCAATCGTCCAGACCAATAATTCATTTCATCATCATCTTGAGTGGTAATTGCTGAGCTGCTTGACTGTTGAAAGTTTTTTTGGGGGATAAAAGTAGAGTTCTTGACATTGTTAAAAAATAATTTAAAAAGAATGTAGATATTTTGTTACGAATCAATGCTTTGTGTATTTATATATATTATTTTAATTTAATAATTTTCAAAAAAATTATGATTTATTAAAATCATAAAATGTTAAATTTGTTTTTACTCGTAGATTCAAAATATAATCATACTTTAATCATATAATTTCTGGGTTCTTTTGAAAATAATGAAAATTGTTAAAGAATTGCCTTCCATTAAGAGGAGATGATATTACAGTAATGCTAAATTACAAACTCCGGGAGGTTTTTAAACATCACATGTTAATATTCTTGTTATAATTGGAATATGCTTAATGGCTGATCATAAAAAAAAACAAGACTACAAAGAACATTATTCTTTCAAAAAGAAATGATGAAAACTACACCACTTGTATCATGACCTTACCAATCTTAACTTATCTCGTACACGTTCAATACGATGCAATATCCCGAGTGCCAACAGATCTTCAAATACTTTTTTTTTCCTTATCCGCTATTAAAATCTCATTTTTCTCATATGTCTCGTCATTACGCTTTTTGGAATAAGTGACAAAAAGGAAGATATGTTTTCCGATATTTTTACACTTATTATGCTCTTTTTTACACTTATTATGCTCTTTCTCCACAAGGCCTTTATCTAAAATCTTTGATGAATAGCCTTTAATCACATTCTTACGACTAGTCACTAGTTGCTTGCCTTGGATGAGGATAGGTGGGTCTGTAAGCAAGAACGAGTCAGGGAATTTGACATTCTGCAAGTTGTGGTAGGCAATACATTTTGGTGTAGACTGGTTTTTAATGTTAATGTCATTAACAACTTTGGTCAAGTTTTTTTCGTTGATCTGTTTAGGTGAAACTTGAATAACATATCTTCCTGATCTTTTCTTACTGGGACAAAATCAGAAAGCAGACAACTACGTGGTCATTTTTTCTACGGGCAATTGATCTCTGATAGATTTCCCATAGTCGAAATACAAGCACTGAGATGGTCAACCTTTCATTTTGATCCGATGAGGTCGCATCGTCTAGGGACTCGAGGACCTTGATAGATGGAAGCATATCAGAGTTCCGCTGAGAGTAGATCTCATGAAAAGTGAGAAATGGAAGCTTGAGCCTCATATTTCCATCGAGATAATGAGTCCAAATTCTGTGAAAATAGTATAAAAATTAAATATATTTAGAAAGTATACAATAATTATTAAGATTTTAAACATCAATTTTATGCTTCTTATTAATACCAATTGTGTCTGTTCGATCAACAGGCCACCCAAACGAAGTGTATGCCATCAAGAAGGGAATTATTTTGCGGCTATCATTTGATCTGAAGTGTTCTAAGTTATGATATTTTTCACAAATGTGTAGTTTCGTTCTCATGAGAGGCTCATTGCAACGGCCTGATTCATATTGACATTTTTGCAAGAAGTAACGTAATCCACTTTGGTAGAATGTGTTACCAAATACACCCTTATTATTAGCAACACCCAAACAAATAACATTCATTTGGAAAATCACAACACCAAGTAGCTTAATTATGTATTTCAGATGTTCAGAGAGACCATTGATCCTACCAAAAGTAAATTCAATATCAAAATAATATGTAATGTTACAACATACACAACCTACAATTGATACTTACCTTTCTGTCTTATTAACCGCTTGACAAATATTTCAGGCTAGGTTAGCTCAGTATCAACTAAAAACAGATGTCAATAATTATAACTTAATCCCCAGTTGGCTAGTTCAAGTATAACTTCGGATTTGAGTAGTGGTAAAGATATGTCTTCAGTTTTTGCATTACTTGACTGTATCAAACAAAGCATTTGCGTGAGTTCCTGATAAGACAACGAAAAGAAAATATTCCCTTGAGATAACCCTCGCAAGAGACCTAAGCCAGTTATCATTTTGTAAGTCAAAACAATACATTTGTCTCGTCGATGTTGATGATAAAAGAGGGGTTTTAATCTTATTATTTGAACACGGAATATAATGTAGAATTACATCAAGAATGCTCTCGAAAGTAAATCTACTTCCTAACATTTTGTTAAATTTTACTCCGACTACAAGAGCAGTTACAAATAAGTATAATAATAATATCACAAGCATTGCAAATTGATGAAGATTAAATATAAAAAATCTTACTTCAGCCGATATTTCAAAGCCTCATATAACAAAATTTTTCCCAAAGATGCCTCAAAGTTCTCCATAAGCTCTGTATCTGATAAATCATCACATGCAATTCGGAAATTCCGACCCGCTTTCTGACATTCTTTTATTTCGGATTTTACAACCTTATTGTATACTTCTGAATTTTCATATGCTCGTCGAGAAAATGTGGTTTTTCCTTTTCCAGCCGTCCCAACAGCCGTGGGGAACTGTATTTCTTTTTTTTTTTTTGGCTCAGGGTATTGGTTGAGACGCTTGATGAGTTCATACAATCTTTCCATATTCATCATCAACTGTTTGACCTCTTCACGTCCCACAATTCAAATATTGTGAATGCCATCTGGGGTATTACCCAATTTTGAAATTGATTCACGAAGTGAGTCTAGTGGTTCACTAATATGTGGTTCAAAGAATACTTATGATGGCATCAGTGGATAGTATACCTGATGACGAGTGAAAGTACAAGTTAAAAATGAAATGACAGTGAGAGAATCAGTGTAAGTTAGAAATATTCAATAATATGATACAGCGCAAGAGAAGGAAGCAACGGCTATCAAAAGTCAAGTTGACTAAATTTTATTACAATCCACTCACCAACGGGCGGTTCTATGATAATGTGAATGCGTTTTTTGGGTAGTGTTTGATGATAAGTAGGAAAGAAAGAAAAACACAAGGTTAAGTATTCGATATTATTAACAAATATGACACAGTGCAGACAAAAGTTGAACCACATAATTTTATATCTCTATGCATAATGTGAGAAGATAACAGGATTTAATAACCTTCTCAAGTATTTAAGCCTATTTTTATCGTCTGGCATGTATTTGAGAGATAAAATCCACATCGGCTAATTTATCAGTATAATTAGTGAAATATTTGAATAAGTCAGCCACTTCTTCGTGAGAGAGTTTAGTATCATCATCGATGGTGGAAAGGCGAGAAACCACATCCCTTTTGTAGTAGTTTCCTCCATGTAGGTTTTGTGCGAAAAGAAAAATTTTTTGATAAGAGAAATCGGACGATCCATAAATTACATTTTTTTAATTTAGATTAGAATTCTTTTCTTAAGAAATATATTCTTTGAATGAACCATTTTATTGAATTACTATTTTATGATAATATTAGTTATTATTAATAATTCGATGAGTAAATATGAAATATTTAAATATAACCACTGTATATGAGGTTAAATTGAATATCCTCTATAGAATCTCAACCAATTTCCAATATTTAATATTCCCCACCGTTTTTCTCTTCCACCAACCATCAATTCAATTTCTTCTCTTTCTATATAAATTTCTTCATTATATCCAATTTGAATTCCATCTTTATAGACTTCTCCATAATAACCAATTATATATAACCCTTTATTCAATTCACAAATTTTTTTTATTATATCTGATTCAACATTTCTGCAAGATAATAGGTTTAATACTTTTAGTTTTGGAAATTTCATGTCAAGCAATCTTTCACAAGTTATTTCATTACATCCTGTCATCATTATCTCTTGTAATTCTGGATATAATGTTAAGATTCTATATAAACTCTCTTCTTTCAATTTCCAACACCAATCCAAGTTTAACCAACGAAGTTTTGAATGTGACATTTGATTAAGATTACTTTCTGTGATATTTAAACATTCAGACATATCAAGTGAATAAAATGAATGGTTTCGTAATGACAAACCATGGAAAAATCTATTGAATCTATATTAAAAAAAAAAAGGTAAACGGAATATAAAGAGAATAATGCATTAAAATTATGGAAAAAGAAATCTAGAAAGAAATAACATTTAAATATTATTTACCCTTCTTCAGTAAATTCGCTCCCTTTCCTCAATCTTAAGAATCGTAAATTTGGTGTCAAATACCGTATAATCCCTTCTAAACTATTATCAGTCAAGACATCACAAAATGACATTGAAAATAAATTCAAAAATCTACATTTCTTAAATATCTCTAAAAGTGAATTGTCCTCGATTCCTTGTCCATCAATTGCTAAATATTTTAAATTATTTAAATGTTCGGAAATTTTATATATACCGTAATTAGTTATTCGATGACACCCATCCAAATCCAAATTTATTAGGTTGGGCCCAAGATATTTAAATAATTCTTCAATTGATTCATCTGATAATTCACTACAATGAGAAAGAATTAAGGTGGTAAGATGGGGTGAAAGAAATCTTAGAGGTTGAACTTCGGTAAGATTTCTACATCCTTCTAGATAAAGTTTTTGGAGATTTTGACAATTGTGACCTATTTCAACCATGGCTTTATCAGTAATTTCATTTACCGAGAGATCTAAAACTATTACAATCAATTAATAAAATAAAAATTTACAAAAAAAATTAATTTTTGTCAAATTTCAAACAATAACTAAAAAGAATACGATATTACCTCTTAAAGATTTTCCAGGAGATCTCGAAACCAATTTTCTAATAAAACCATCATCTAATTTACTCGCTCTTGCATCTAAATAACGTACATCTTTTAAGATTTGTAGAGCATTATCTCCAAATCCTCTTGTATTATAAATTATAGCTTCACGCCATAAAATTGATTCATAAGTTAAATTACGAAAAGCTTTAGATACTCGAGAAAGTTTTATTCGGTTTTGTTGGTTTAGATGTGATAAAACTATAAAACTCAATTCATTTGGAAAATTGGGAAACGCTCTATCAGAAATAATATTAGTTACTATATTTTTATCTTCTGTGTCATTATTATTTTTATTTTCTAGGATATTATTATTTTTATCTTCTAGGATATTATTATTTTTATTATTATTTTTATCTTCTGGGATATTATTATTTTTATTTTCTGGGATATTATTATTTTTATTTTCTAGGATATTATTATTTTTATCTTCTGAGATATTTTTAGAATCCTTATCTAATTTCAATTCATCAGAAATAATATTAGTTACAATATTATTATTTTTATCTGCTGGGATTATCTTATAATCCTTTTCTAATTCTCTTGAGGTAACATTCATATTTCTTTATAATACATGAATTTTCAAATCCAAGATTATATTTGAAATACTTATAAATATTTATTCAGAACAGCAAGTTGAGTATGTCTTTTATAAAATAAATGTACTACAAATCTCCAGATTGGTCAATTACCCCCCCAAAAAACAAATTATTTGGATTTCTAAAAAAGGGAAAAAAGCAAAAAGTGAAAGTTATTTTTTAGTTCTTAAATGTAAGAATTACACCCTTTTTTATAATTAAAAAATATATAATTATTAATAGTTCATTTCAATTATTATTAATCATTTTATTTTTATTAATTATTTATTATTTATATTGTTTTATTTATTTTCTATATATAATATATACAATGCTAGTATTAAATATTTTTTTCTAAAATTTAGAGAAATGAATACTTAATTCTAAATTGATTAGGGCTTTTATATTTATTTTTTTTTTCTCTGTTTTAATTTGTATTTATTTATAACAATAGACAATTTTTTTTTTCATTGAACAAAAATGGGAATGTTAAATATGATATGATTTGTTACTGATAGCACCTTTAATATCCTAACTAGATGTGATGTCATTAACACCATTATTAACTATATTTTGTTTATGTTCCCCTGTCGATTTTCATGCTGTGTCGTACTTACGGTACTTACGGTAGCCATCTTTTATATAATTCACATTGTTTTCTTCTTTATTTAGGTGTTCTTCTATACCACTTGTGATTTTTTCTTTATTCCCAAACAATAAAGAATTCTTTTGAATTCTTTGTTACAATATAATATAATTAGTATAAAAATTATTATAATTAGTATAATTATATTATATTGCATATAACGATATTTATTGGGTTCAATCAAAAATTTTTTTCGTCAAAAACTTTTTTTTCTTAAAAAGTGAGACGAGACGCTTCATTTATATATACGAGTATCATAAATTAGGAAAAGTTTTAACGAAAATGTCTGAAACCATTATTTTAAAACAGCAGACTCAATATTTAAATTCGATATTAGTAAATGATAACTTTAACCAAACTGAAAATCCCGAAAATGAAAAAAATGACTATAACGCTAAAACTTTAAGTCAAGATGATGATAATTTTATTATGGTTTGCGATAAAAATGAATATTGCGATAAGATTAATAATGAAAATTTAAAAGATGATGAAACATATGAAACATCTGAACTGAGAGACGTTGATAATTATATTAGTAATTATTTACAACATACTGCTGCAAGTTTAATGGGAATTTCTATAAGAAATTTAGACGATCATTCTATTTCTTTAGTAAAAATCGGAATGAATGAAATGGCAGTTTTTGAATTTTTAAAAAAAATTGCAAACATTCTTCCAATTGGTATTAATATTGAAAATTCTTTTATAGAAAAATATCCTAACATTGATTCTATAACTAAATTCATAATGGATATTGTAAGACAACCAAAGATTAATGATCAAGAAATCCAAGAACAACAACAATTAATTATAGAAGACATTGTTGATAAATATTCTCTTTACATCAAATCAAGATATATTCATTCAAAAAACGTAAGTCGAAAAAATCAACAAAACGAAAAACGGAGTAAAACCTTCTTATTAACTGGTGCGACTGGATTTCTTGGCGCACATATTTTAAATATTCTCTTGAATACAACATCATCATATATATATTGTTTACTTAAAAAGAAAAGTAATAGAACTCCCAAAGCTTCTCTTAAGCGTGTTTTTTTGCGAAATAATCTTGATACTTCTTTAATAGATTCGGACAAATTAATTGCTATTTATGCTAACCTTTCGGAACCTCATTTTGGTTTAATGGAAAGTGAATATGAAAATTTATCGCAAAAAGTAACTACGATAATACATGGTTCCACTTTTGCTAAACCTGGAGCACCTTTATCTGTTTATGAAAATTCTATACTTGGAACTGCAAATTTATTACTTTTTTGTGCAAAAAAAGAATTTCATTTCATATCAAATATTGACGCTTGTGTTAATGGTCCTTGGGATTATGTTCCAGAAGGAATCTTACCTTTGAAAGCATCAATTACTAATATGGATGGTTTTGGACTTTCAAAATTAGCCACTGAAACAATTATTACAAACACTTTTTATTATTTATACCTTGAACGTACAAGCATTATAAGAACAGGTCAAATTTCTTCACATACAGAAACTGGTGTATGGAATCCAAATGAATGGGTACCCTTAATTTTAGGAAATGCTGGATTAACAGGAAAAATGCCAACATTCGAAGCAAATTTAGATTGGATTCCTGTGGATATAGCTTCAAAATCTATTGTAGATTTAATAACTCGTGACACATCTTTTAATATTGAAGTATTTCATATTTCAAATCCAAAACCAACAATAACTTGGGAACAATATTTAGATAAACTTAAAGAATTTGGAATGAAATTTACGAGAGAAGAATTATCAATTTGGTTAGAAAATTTATGGAAAGATGTAGAGAACGATTTATGTGACAAAAATTTATGCTTATTATTAACAAGACATTTTGAAAACATGACCATAAATGACTCTCAAAAATCAAGAGCACTATTGGATTTGACAAGTACTCAATCACGTACATCTTTATTATCAGAATGTCCTTCGTTGTTGGATGAAGATATAAGAAAAAATATTATTAAAATAAATATTGATTGGTTAAGAAGTACAGGGTATTTATCAGAGACGACATTACATCTAAATTCTTTGCAACCAAGATCAAAATTCAAATTACGAAATAATTTAAAGAATGTAGATCAAGGATTATGGGGTTGGTTTACTATTATAGTACCTCTAATGGTATTCTTCTTCGTAATTAATATTTTATGGAATATATTATCCGAGAATTTTTTACAAGTCACTTTTATTTCGGGATTTTTTGTTGCAGCCGTTTTTAGTGATGACTCAGCAAATAATAGAAATGAACCTAGGACTAATAAAAAAAGAGTTGCATTCAGAAGAAAGATTAAAAAATTTTAAATAAATATCTCAATATTTATTTATACTCACGTTAAGAGATATATTATTTAGTTTTTTTTTTTTTGTAATATATGTTTTCTTAAATTCAAAGATTTTTTTTTTTTTTTTAAAAAAAAAAAATATTTTGTATATTTTTGCATACTCGATAGTTACAAACCATTTTCCTATATATTTTGGTTATTAAGACCAATAAAGACTTTATTTATTTATTTTTTTTTTATTTTTTTCTAATGAAAAGCTACCCGATATAAATTTTCGTACATTTAAATTTTCCACTATACAGAATATTCAGAAATTTTATAGAAATTATAAAACAATTTGTTTGTTTAATAATAAAAGTATTTTTTTTTGATTTAATACTGTGAAGAGATTAAAAGATCTAAATTGATTTAAAATAATTAAAAACACGTGCTATAATAATTAAGAATAAATCTATAAAAAAATGTCATATATATATATATATTAATTATTGGATCTAAGAAATATAATAAAGATATGTGATATCTCGCTAAACATTGGAATCAATTTTATGAACATTTTCTTTGTTTTTATCATCATCGTTATTTGCGGTAATGAGTTTTTCAATATGATGATAAGCCAATTCACCAATTTCAGATATATCAAGACCTGCGGTTTCATCCTCTTCAGTAGAACGTATTGAAAGTCCAGGAATCTTATTCATAATAATAAGTAGAAGATACGTTATAACAAAAGAATATGCTATTCCGGCAACAGAGCCGGCAAGTTGATAAGGAACTTGAATCCAATTTCCTTCTATCCAGCCTCCAGGAAGGTCTGTACCGTCAGCAGAGATAACTGACTTTTGAGCAAAAACACCAGTGAGAATATTACCAACAAAACCACCAACACAATGTACGGCGAATACGTCCAAAGCATCATCAAAATCTAAAAGATGCTTTAATTTGACAGCTAAATTGCAAAAGATGCCAGCACAAATACCAAATACCACAGCAGCAGGTGCTCCAACAAAACCAGAACCAGGCGTAATCGCGACTAAACCAGAGACGGCACCGGAACAAAAACCAATAACCGACAATTTTCTTTCAAGCCTAAAGTCAACTAAACACCAAGTAATACCACCAACAGAAGCCGCTAAATTTGTTACAACGCATGCTAAAGCAGCGCGGCCATTTGCAGCTAATTCGGAGCCACCATTGAATCCAAACCATCCAAACCAAAGTAAGGCGGTTCCAATAGCAGTATTAGAAATATTGTGAGGTTTAAATTCTTCAGTTCCGTGACCATTACGTTTTCCAAGTGCAAGAGAATAAGCGAGAGCAGCTGCACCAGAAGCGATATGTACCGGGGTACCACCAGCGAAATCCAAGCCACCTAATACAGAAGACCAACCATTTACATTCCATGTCCAACAAGCAATAACGTCATATACAATGGTAGTCCAGATAAAAATAAACACAATAGTAGGTAATATTCTTCCACGTTCTGCGGCTGCGCCAATAGCTAAAGCGGGGGTAATGGCAGCGAACATACATTGGTAAAGAGCAAATGCGATAACAGGCAAAGTGCTGGATGCTGTTATCTTTTGACCATTGGTATCATCATTCGATGGTAAATTATTAACGTTTCTGAAGAACGCGTAATCCAAATTTCCGATAAATTTATTTGGAGAAGGTCCAAAAGTTAAACTGAATCCCCATAACCACCACTAAATTATAAAATAATAATAATAATGGTAATGTGATAACAAAAAAAAAAATTAGATAACAAAAAAATTTATTAAGAAAGAAAAGAAAACGTAATAAAAAGAAAAAAAAGAATTTACCTGAAAAGATACAACCGCGGCAGAAACAAAACTAAGAAAAATAAGTGATAAAGCATTTTTACTTCTGGCCATTCCACTGTAGAAATAACCAACACCAGGAATCATGACCCATACAAGGGCAGTAGATGCTAAAACCCACGCGACATCACCACTAGAGGCTGTCTCAGGGATCTCGGGGGTACTACTCGTATCGTTTGACATTATTATTTAATTAACTATTAAATGATAAATAAACTATTTAAATAATAAAGAAAGAAAATTTTAAATGTTGAAAGGATTAATTAAATTTATCTGGTGTATTAAATTAAAGAATTAAATGCATTAACTGAATGTTTGATTACTTGAATAGGTTTATATAACTTTTTTTTTTGAATTCGTGAAATTTGGTAAAAATTAATATGTTACATCTAGCAAAAATATTTTGTGCTAGATTGAACAGAATTGTTGGTAAATTATCGGGGAGATACTTTCGCTAAAATCAATTCGTGCGAACCTAATTTGCGTGAATTAAGTAAGACGCGTCATTGGGAATGTCATTAATATGTATTGTTTCCTAGGGGAAAATCAAGTTTTAAAAAAAAAATCGAAAATCGATAAGAAAAATTGGCAGACTATTATGATGAATTCTTAATTCTTCTATATCAATCGACTGATTTTGGTTGGTTCATAATTATCATAATTAATAAAACTAATAAATAATAAACAATAATAATTTATGTACGCTGCATAATAAAACATAAATAAATACTCCCTTACGATAATGTAACACCTCTATGTGACATGACAGTTATCAAAGAATTGTTACACTTTGAAATAGAATAGGGATAAGCTTTAATTGTGTAACAATATACTCTAAGCATGGCACGATTTCGTAAAACGTTCCAATTTTGGTATGAAAAATGAAAAATGAATTTCGTTTAATTAAATACAAGAAAAAAACAAAAAAACAAAAAATTTAATATTTATATTTGTGTTCCTCAATAAAAATAAATTTTATATTCAAATGTTGGAACCCTTAACCATTTCCAATTTTTTAATTATATTATTATTACCAAAAAGATTTTATAAAGAAATCATATGCTCTTCTTCCAATTCACTAAACTCTTTTGACCATTGCCTAACCAAACTAGTATATTTCACTATAACTTCTTTCTGTTGCGTTATTTTACGTTGTAAATCGTCGATTTCCTACGAAAATAATTTTGATAAAATAAATATATGTTATAATAAAATGATATGAAAATGATTATTACTGATCTTACCTTTTGTAAAGAAATTTTCTCACACTGTCTTTCATCAAGAATTATCTTTGACAATGAAATTTCTAATTGTTTTGCTACTCTCATAAATTTAAATGTTTGCATTTCATTTGCTTTTTTTTAAATATATATATATATATATTATATTATTATTATATTAAGATTTGCCATGGTAAAAATTTTTTTTAAAAATGTTAATAATTACCTTTAGATTGTAATTCATCATTAAGAATTTTTTCATTATATTCGGAATCATCAGAAACCTTTGGAACCAATTGTTTTGATTCTTCAATAAATTCCGTGTTTAATTGATTGAGAAGGGATTTCAAAGATATACTTTTAGTTGAAAATGTCATTTTTTTTTTCTAAAATGGAAAAAAAAGAATCAGATTACTGAACAATGATCGGCGCAATTTGCATTAAAGATTACGGATTACGAACCATGTGATCTTTTTCCATAACAATGTATATAAATAAATAAAAAGTTTTATTAGTATTTATAAACATTGATTGAATGTATCACGTGTAAAAATGTACCGATTTCTTCATTGTAACAAATATCAATTTAAATGCATTGTAGATTATGCATTTTTTTCTTAATTAGAAATTACATTCGTACTTTGAATATTTTAGTATTAAAAAGAAAAAAATTTATTTTACGAAAATTTCAACGAAAGAATTCCACTTAGTTATTTAATATATATATTCTTTTCTTCTTTATTCAATTTAATGCAATGCATAAATATTCAATCTTTTATTTTTCTTTTAACTCCCGCCATAAATCTATCAAGGATGAAGAAATCTATCATCTTTTATTGAAAAATTCCTACAAAAATAGTTGGTAATTAATAGAAAATCCAAAACTAGCATCCACCAACAATCGTATCGTCACTTTTATCCTATCACCCTCATTAACCATTAATCCTTTCACAGCAACAAAAAAAAAAATAATAACTTTCAACAATCTTCTCATAGTAAAAATAAAATTTCTAAGTTTACCCATTTTAGTAGTTGGGTCTTATTTGATTATGAATAATAAAACTAGAATCTTAAAAAATGAGAATGAAAAAAGCAACCGAATCATTCTAAGAAAAAGAAAATAATAAAAAAGGAATTTTTAAATATAATGTATTTGTATATTTTTATTTTATAATGATGTAAAGTCTTATTCATTAATATAGTAATAATAAAATAAAATTTACATCACAATTATAATATTTTATTATATTACTAATTAATACAATTAGTACAATTAATACAATTAATACAAGTCATGGTAAAGAATACAATATTTTTTTAAACATAAATGTTCATATTAATTATTATTAATTCCAATATTTAAAATTTTTTTCTTTTCTTATCTCATAATTTCTATAAAATTGGATTAAAAAATAAAATTTAAAAGGTTGGCATTTCAGAATTCTTTAAAAATCTCATAGTATATTCAAACACCATTATAGCAGAAGCATTGGTTGGAAAAGATCTTAAAAGACAAGGAACCAATCCTTTATAGAATCCCCTAGATCCTTCTTTTATTTATAAATAAATAAATGATCAATTAATTAATATCAATCTCTATAATAAGTACAATAATTGTTATTAAGAATCAAATTTTACCAGTTTTATTTATATACAATGCAACACTTCTCAAAGTTGGAAATTTTCTAGGATTAACATCAGGTTGTGTCATATACCTATTTTTAACAGTATCTATTATAAATTTATATGAAAAAGTTTGAATTAAATTTATATAATTATATTGATATGTAATATAAACAAATAGAAATTAAAAAAACCAGCAGGCATTGAGAAAAGCCAAAAAGCATTTGCACTAAGTCCACCAGCCATGAAATTTATTGATGCCTCATTCATGTTGGTATTTCTAAATATTCTTGAAATAACCTTTTTTTTATAATAAAAATTTTCTCATCAGCAATAAAAAGAAAAAGAAAAGAAAAGAAATTTACATAAATTAGAAATTATAAAAAATAAATTTTCTAATATAAATTTTCTCACCTCATATGATCCCCAATATACAAAGAAAAATGATCTGAATGTCAAAGTTCCTGTTAATCCAATCCATAATCCTTTTAAACCATTATTTTGTATCTTTTAAAGAAAAAAGAAAGAACATGAAATAAATTTTAATTATTAAAGTTATATAATTAAACAAAAAAAAAAATATATTATAAACTTACTAATTTAATTGCACAATCGAGTGGCCCCTTGTATAATTTTGTGGCACTATCATATTGAACTTGTAATCGCGCCTATAAAAACAACAAAAAAAAATAATTAGAACAATAAACGTAAAATCTTTTCATAAATGATTTTTTCGTAATTTAAATGACTCACTTTAATCTGTTCAACTGGTGATGCAAGAAAAGAGACAGTCCACCCAGAAGCTAAGAAAAAGAAAAATAGATCCTGTTAGATATAAAGTAATAATTTTTTTATATCAAATTAAACTAACCAGCACCCGCCATGGCATGTTGAAGTACCGTAAGTTTCTTTGAAGGATTATTTCCTTGAAGAAATAAACGATAATTATGAAGAGAACCTAACCTAAAAAAAAAAATAAAATAAAAAAATAATGATAATAATAAAATAATAATTATATCAGAACTTAATCTGTAATTTTCTCTTACATCACAGAATCCAAGATGCCCCATCCAACGAGCGGCGGAGTTGCTCCTATTCCATTGAACAATTAAATATCAATACATATATGAATTTGCGACAAAGATAATGTCATCCATCATAAACTATTTTCGAACCTTTATATAAGGCACGAAATCCTTCCTAAACATAATTAAATTCCTGAATAGAAATAACAATTTTTTTTTATAAATTGGTTTGAAATTAATAATGATAATTACCATCCGAATTGTTTGCCGCAGGCATTGAATTGTTCCATCAAATCTTATATTTATTTCTGATGTCTGCATACGAACTTTGATTGTATCTTTTTTTTTATTATTATTAAAAGTACATTTTTTAATATTTAAAATTAAAAGTTATTTATTCATTTAATCATATCTTCAAATATTATATAAGATTTTCTTACCAAAAGGGTGTCCCACAAGGAGTTTGGTAACTCCAGAAGCCACACCTGCCATAAATCCAATTAATCGGTTTGGTTTTTCTTCAATTGACGAAACAGACATTGTTGAAAATAATTTACTGCTATAAAATAATAAAAATAAAAAAAAAAAAAAATCGAAAAAAATTATTCACGAGTAAACAAGTGATCGATAAAAAAAATTACCAAAAAACTAGTTTTGATTTGGTTTAGACATCTGTCATATATCAAATATTATCAAAATATATATATATGTATATATGTACATATATATATATATATTAGAATAGAAGATATAAATTTAAGAATATATAAAAGCTTGATATAAAATCGTTTGTTACTTCGCTTCGTTTTATGTCAACAATTCGATATAATTTTTATCACTAACTTCGAAACAATGGATGCTATTTATTTGCTTATCTAAGAGAGATTACTTTTTCAGTTGATAGAAAAAATCTTTTTTTTATCTTGTAACTTGTAACACAAATTTTTTTTTGTCAAATTTTAATCGAATGATTATCAAAAAAGGAAATAAATATCATATGTTTGCCACTTAAGGAGATATTAGTAATTTCTCTGATGTACGTATGTGGCTGACGTGGCTGACGTTTTCAAAGAATAGAATTTGTGTATTTTTTCCTTTTTCAAACAGTTCCGGTTGAAGAATGATCTACCGAAGTGAAGAGTAATATTACTTTCGTCCCACGGCTTCGGCTACCTCTTTGTATTTTTATCATGAAGTTGCTTTTACAACCTAAGTTGTCTCTGGATTTCCATCTTCTGTTGAAAATTAATAGGTACTTTTGGTTTTTATGGGTTCATAACTTGATTTTGTACTTGCATTCTTTTTACTTCTGGTTTTACAACATTAGGATATGGTCGAAGTTTGGTCAGCATTACAACTTTATAAAAACACGTTTATCTGGCTATAATAATAATAATTATTTATTAAAGAATCACTTCTTTTTATTTCGAATTCTTTTTGAACGTTCGGATTTGGCATTGAGATTAGTTTAAACTGTACTTTTGCTTAATAAAGTATTTTCCCAACAATGTGCATTTGATCATTGCTCTTTTCAATAACAATTGAATTTTCTCTGTGCCAGCCTAATATGAATTTTGTGAATTATTACAATGCGATTAGAAATTCTAAGTTTCACGTGATAATGTTTTGCTAAATACTAGGGTGATCTGTGTCACTGTCTTCCCATGAAATTTATGCAGATCTCCGATTTTCACATATTCGTCATTCCCACTTAATGTTTGAGGGTAGATTAGTGTATAAGAGAGTTACCTACTGACAAATTTTATGACATTTAGTACGTTATTCACTTTCTTAGAAAATTTTTATTGTTTAAATTATATTACATATTATTATTAATAATACTTTTACACGTTAAATAATATTTTTGCACTCATTTTTAAACTTTAGACATAATAAATACTAAAAAATAGATTTATTTATTACTATTCTATATTGTATTCTATTTTCTATAGTGTAAAAGTATCCATTATTTGAATTAAACCTTGTATTTTTACTGTGCATTATTCTATTTTTCATAATTAAATAAAAAAAAATTTAAATTTTACAATTCCCCTTTCATGAATATATATAATATAAATCATTTATTATGATTTTATTATTATACTTTATTAATTTAATTATAAAATTATCATGTTTCTATTAATACACAACCATGCTAAATTATGTTAGATAAAAATATTTAGATCTAAGAGGAAGTTGATATGTATTCTTAATATAACATAAGTAAACCTTTTGTAAAATTATTAAAAATTTCACTTTTTCATACCACAGTTTTTAGCAGATGGAGTCTTTCTCTTATAAATAAATATTTTTTAAAGAAACAAACCAAAAGTCGTGAAAATATAGATTATAAAATTATCACATTTCAAGGGTTTAATGATTTACTTTTAATTTTGGGGTCAAAAGATTATCTTTTACTCAGTAACATCTATCAATTTTATGCTTTTTTATTATTATACTATCGTGTAACTGATCAGAATAACCATAAATAAGCGATTTGAATGTCTATCCTTTTTTCACTTTTTTCTCACACACTTTCTTTTTTTTTTTTTATCTAACACGCGTACCTTTGGTAAGTATTTAAATGAACCAACTACTTGTTTGTTTGTATGATTTACGTTTTTCTTTACAATATTTTCTTGGCATTTCTTTCAGAAGGTATTTTGAGCAAGCAACTGTGTGTTTCTATTTTTTTTATACTTTCTCAATAAGTATTTTGAATTAAATGTTTATTACTTTGTCACGTGGTAAGTGTTTATGTTTCATTATTTATACTATTTATACTCCATTGAAATATGGATTGAACTTTTGATATAAGGCCAATTGGATGTCAGTACTGGACACCACAAAAAAGAAGAAACAATTGATATCACGACTGATCAAATCCATCCATGTATTTAATTATGCAAGAACTATGGCTCGTGTTTGATCTCTTGCTAAATTTTGGAGCTGATCCTCCCATTTTCCAATAATGACTAATGCACGATCACTTTTCGAATATCAGGAATCTGATTAACTGGGATTATATATAATTGTGATAGAATAGTTTATGCATAATAACTTTAGATTTGTTAAAACATGTCATTAGTAAATTTCCGCTTTCTATATTTTAATCTTTTACAAGATACATTTATTAATGCTATATAAAATCTCAAAATCCTTGGGAATATTGAATAAAGATAAGTAAAATTCCATTATCTTTATTTTGACTTTAATTAATATTATAATTTCTTTTTTAGATTCACGTGATATAATAATTTTACGAATCTCCGAGAACATCGAAATAAAGATAAGTAAAATTCCATTTATTTTATAAAGATATTTTAATTAATATTATAATTTCTATTTGTAGGTTCACGTGATACAACATTTTTTATAATGACTGAGAATATTGAATAAAGATCATTTACCTATATCTTGATTTTTTGAATTGTAATAATAAAAACAATATATACTATATATAAAACTATAATACAAATGTACATAAAGGTTTAATAAGATAATCAAATCAGCTGAAAAGAAACAAAATTTTGATGTATTATAATCAAAAATTTCAATTTAGACATTTTAACCATTGATACTTATGATAGTTATTTATTATTTTATAAAACCATAAAAATAATTTCTTAACGGGTCAGGTCTATCAGGAGGAATTCACTAACAAGAAAAATTATTGATAATTTTCATAAAAAAGAAAAAAAATTTTTTTTTTTTTAATTCGAGTTGTTATCTGACAATATTAAATTAAATTATCAATTGGAAATGGCAACTATGCTATTACAAATGTAATTTCAAAATTTACAAGGATTACTTTTCAATAATCCCTTTAATAATAAAATTAATAAACTTTTAACAAGTAGAAAAAGAAAAAAAAACATATGTGTTTAAATATTCATTCCTCAGAAACTCCTTCTTTTGCTGCTCGATTACATTCTTCAATAACTTTTTTCAAATCCTCTTGTAACTCATAAAATGTCTTAATTTCTTCTTGACACTTTGAACTTTCACCAAACATATTAATAACTTTTTCTAATTTTCGTTCATGAACCATTGATGATCGAGCATTATGAATTTCTGTTAAAATTTCTTTCGCCTTTGCAACATATTGAATAAGTGATTCATCTATTTCTTCATAAATCTTTACCTGATGATTAAAGTGTGAATATAATTCACGATAACTATTCAGAGTTTCCACTCGGTATTTATTTTGTTGAGTCATTTTGTCACCCGCGGGTAAAATATTATCTTTATTATCTTTAGATATGGTTGTTATTATAGTAGATGTGGTCGTTGTCGCAGTAGATTTAGGCGTTATATCAGATGAGGTTGAAGTTGTCATGGTAGGCTTGGTTTTTACAACAGATGTGGTTTCCATAGTAGATGAATTAGTTTTTTGGTTTGCATTTGTAGTTTTAACACCACGAGTTGAATTTTTAGGTCTTCCTCTCCTACCTCGAGTAGGATTTGTTACGGATTGATCTTCTGAAGTGGGAATTATATTATTTGTTGTTGTTTTAGCTCCACGACCTCGATTACCTCGTCCACCACGAATTGTTTTACCTCCCCCACCACGAGTTGTTTTTCCTTCATATGATTGATGGGAATTCTCCGCTGGAATAATTGAAGTGTCTGAATCATGTTTTTGACTGGATTCACCAAGTTCAAAATTAACAGTTGAAAAATTAATAGGTAATTTTGGTTTTGGTGGATTTGGTCTTTCAGGTGCATCTGCTGGATATCCTAATTCATCTGCTACACTATTCATTTTTTGTACAACATTTGCAATTTGTGATGAATTATATGGTTTAAAATTATAAGGATCTAATTTTAACCACATTTCTCTTTTGAGTTTCCAAATTCCATTTCGTAATATTGCATTCTACAAAAAAAATCAAATGTTAAATCAAATATTAAATGGAATAAATTAATGAAATATATAAAATCTATTAATTTATTTACCTCATTTAATATCTGTTCCACATTTAATATTGAATCTCTAACTTTCATAGCAATTTTTTCAGTGTTAAGATCCTCAACTGCAATGAGATGAGTAACTCTTTTTAGAAGAGGAATTCCTGGTTCATTACTATTTCCAATTGAAACTTCCGGAGGTGGATGACCAGGTCTAATATATGTTACAACTTTTGATATATTGGCACTTGCATCATTTCTTTTTGTGGATTTTTTAACAACACTTTTTCCTTTTGGTTTTACAACATCAGGATCTGGTTGAAGGTCGGTAAGCATTACAACTCTATAAATAAATATGTGATAATTTAGCTATTAGAAATTTTTTTTTTTAAAATAAAACTATTTCATTAATAATAATAATAATAATAATAATAATAATAATATAATTTGTTTTTTAAAGAATTATTTACTTCTTCTTTTCCTTTTCCCTTTTTATTTCTTCATTTCGAATTTTAAGATTTCTTTTGGCACGATCAAGTTTAGCATTGGAATTAGTTTGATCAGTACTTTTTGCTTGATAAAGCATTTTTCCAATAATATCCGTTTGATCATTATTCTTTTCAAAAATAATTGAATTTTCTTTTGTAGTTTCTTTTTTAAAAGATATTATATCTTTTTTACCTAAACTAATGTGCTAAAACAGATCAATAAATATATAATTTAGTTCAAATTAATTAATTATTAATTATTTTAAATTATTAAAAAAGATTTTTAAAAAAAATATGTGAATAATTACAATTCCATTAGAAAATTTTATTTTCATGTTTTTATCTCCTGCCATAAGAATTTTTTTCAAAACAGATTGTGACATTTTCAATCCAATGCATTTTTTAAAGGGACTTCCACCCAAAATATATCTAGTAGGACGATTAACTTTTCCAAGTTCCATCTCTAACTCTTTTTCTAATTCTATTTCCATTTCGTCTACTTCAGGAGCAGCAACAGCGGTGGACGACGAAATCGTGTTATTTGTTTCATCCGCTAATTCTACTTTTCGACCACCTCTTGTTGTTTTTCCTCGTCCTTTGGCACGAATTACTGTTGCAGTCGTAATTTTTTTATGTACACCACCTTGCTTCGTCGTATGAAGTTCACCACCTCTGGTCGAAGATCCACCATTTCTAGAAGGTCCCCTTGTTCCGTTATTTTTTCCCATTATTATTAATTTTTTTTTTTATTATTATCTACTATTATTATTATTATTTTTAATTATTATTATTATTATTTTTTAAGTATTTTATTATTTTTATTATTTTATTATTTTTATTATTATTATTTTATTTTTATTATTTTTATAAAGAATAATGACAAAATTTAGCAAGGCGATAATCTTTTAAGATTTTCAGTCAGAGTACAATGCTAAATTAACCATTTTAACCCTAAATTAGTCATCACATGTTATATTCTTGTTATATCACGTTACGTATTCATAAGAATTCTAAACTAAATGATCCGACGTGGTCAACGACGTATTGGTTCTAAATGGTCAAATTTTCGCATCTAATCTACAAGGCGTGTGAATATCCATACTGTGATTATATTAGGAGTTTTGCTGCCCAAATGCTCACAATATTCTTCTTCGATACCTTACTAAAAAAAAAGCGTCGTCTTATGCAGGGTTTCTATTTCCAACTAATTTAGATAATGATAGGTTCTAATATAGGTTTTGAATTAAATTATGATTGAACATTCTATGGTGAACCCCTCTATAAATGCACCTTATGCCCCAGTCCCATCTACTAATAACACTTATAAATTTTACCTCTATAAATGCATTCCCTTTTATAAATGCACCCTAATTCTGATTCCTCGGGAGGTTCACTGTATATTGATTAAGAGGATTTAAGAATATTAATTAAATAGTTACATTTTAACATAGACTTTTTATTTATTTTTTTAATTATTAAAAAAATATTCTTCGGCGATCTGTGTTAGTGTCACCTAATTCTGATATAAAAAGATTTTAAGATTAAAAAATAAATGTATTCGAAATGACTGAAGATTCCAAGAAAATCCTTACATTAGTTCGTGAATTACGTGAATTAATAAAAAATGCGCAAGTGCAGTGGGGAATACCAATTAAAAAACCCGCGTTAACCAGCGATAAGTCACAAATTCTGGTTGCCAATGGTATTTTTTTATATTCATACATGTAATTTTATCAATATAAATAACATAATAAATAATAATAAATAAAAAAAAAATAATAATAATCATAATAAAATGATAATAATTCTTTACATTAAGCTGTTCACCCGCTTGGACCAGTTGATATTGGACTTCATACGGAATTTTCACGAAAAATAGAAGCAATACGTTCGATACTTACACATTTTCGAACTACAACATTACAAGAATTTTCACAAACAAATGTCTCTGGAACGGAACAATTAGTTAAAAAATATTTTAGCCTTCTTAAGGTAAATAATAATAATAATAATAATAATAATAATTTTATTATAAATTTATTTCAAGAATTTATTGAATTATTAAAATTATATATTTAAATAAGGATGAATCAAATCAAATGATTTTATTATCAGAAGTACAAGAAAATATTAAAATTTGCAAGAGTTTGGTATTGGATGCGTGTGAAAATAATCCCGAAACGTTTAAATTTTTGATTCCACAAATAATTAACTTTGGGAAACAATTAGGGTAAAAATCAATCAAAATTTCTAAATATTTCTAAGATATGTTAAAATAATATATAAAAATATTTGATATTTAGGTTGAGAATTTATGATAATATCAAACTTCATGGAACTTCTTTCACGATGATCGGACCAAGAATTGTGTTTGATGTAAGTTTGACGCGATTCTTTATAAATTATTTATTTATTTATTTATTTATTTGTAATTAATTAATTAATTAATTATTTTATTTATTTGTAATTATAATTAATTTAATAAAGATTAATTTTGATGAAACCGCTCACAAAATTGTTGTTAAAGTTTCTGGACTTCATCATAATGATAATGATAAAGATCTCGTGAGTCATTTTTTTTTGATGATTATGATTATTATTATTATTATTATTTCCTGTGTAAAATAAATAAATAAAATATTTTTTCATGATATTTCAAATTTGATGATATTTTATAATAGATTGATAATTTGTTGTCACAACAATTAAGGTTAGTTCGTTCTTTCTTTAAATTTTTAATTTGATATTATAAATTATTATCATTCTTCTTATTCTTATTAAAAATATTATTATTAATTATATTATTATTATTTATTATTATTTATTATTTTTATTATTAAACTTATTATATTCACCATATTCTTAAGTGATTTCAAAAAATTTGAATTATTTAAAAAAAATCTTAAAGTATTAGTTACTTTGGATAATTTGTCTAAAACAAATGTACATTCATCGGTGGATTGTTTTCTTTGCATGAAATGTATAACCAATGATATCAAATTAATATATGAAAGAGAATAGTAAGTTGACTTGTTGTTATCATTATTTCTTTTCTTTATTTCTCTTTCGAACATATTAATTTATACTAATATTATTTGGGCAGTTCAGCATCGGAAAATGATATTACTAAAATTCTATTAGATGGTCATGGAATTCCATCATTTAATATGGAAAAAGTTGGACCTTCTATAGCATATTGGGCTCCGCGATATCGAATTATAGAAACAGATTGGAATCTTGTCAGAGATGAATTTATGGGAAAAGGTCAACATTCTTATATATATATATTTTCTTACCATTGAACATTTCAAAATATAAAATATTCAATTTTATGAATTTGAATTTTTAGGTGTGAATTATCAATATCTAAGTTCTTTTCATTGTCTATGGATCACAATGGAAGAATCTAGATCTATTCAAATGTTTTTACCTCCTGAAAGAAATCAATATTTACTTAATGAGAATGATGATGAATTTGAATTATTGCAGAGGTTGGAATTATAAAATTATTTTATCATTAACTTATATTATCATATTTATTATTTATAATATTTTATTCTTCTTCTCTTTTCAGCTATGATATTATGCCAGATGAATTGGCAATGACATTACCTTTGCTACAAAATCCTTTAAAATTTTTACAACCTAAAGAAAATTCTTCCATATCAGCTAACTTACAATTTGTTTTATGGCTCGAACCACCTGTATATGTAACTGACACAGTGGCGAAAAACTTGGCAGGTAAAATGTTTCAATCATTTTTTATTGAATATTTTAATATAGTTTTTAATTTGGTAATAATATTTTATTTCTTTGTTGTTAGGATTTTTCTTCAACAGAACTGAGAAATATGATCCTCAAAGTTTATCGCTGGAACAACTTTTGGTAAATATATTTACTTCTCCTTTTATTTTATTTTATTTTATTTCCTTATTAATTTATTCAATTTTTTTTTACAGATAGAAGAAGCGGTTCCATCGATTAAATTTAGTGCTAACCGTGATATAAATTCTGATGTACGATGGGAAAAGGTAACTTCATAATTTATAAAATTTATCAAATGAATTCATTTTATATTTATTTTATTTATTTTTATATTTGTCGATTCTAGAAATTTGATGATTCATCTTATCTTCAAGTTTATTCTTATGATACCAAGTCTTTTACAAATGCTAAGAAAATTGTACGAATTCCTTTCTTTCATCCCTTTCAAATTTTTGGTTTTATAAAGGTTAGTTAATAAAATTATTATTATTTTTATTATTATTCATTACATTTGACACGTGTTACTAATATTTAATTTCTAAATTGTTTTAATCAAAATAGTTGTTACGTCAACAACTAATTTATAATGCACTTTTTCAAAGTTGTTTTAATTCTTCTACTTACAAACCTTTGTCCAAATCTAATCAACCATTTCAAACATCTTCTCTTGATATTCAATCAGATGAATCAGATGGTTTGTATTATTATTTATTAGTTTTTAAATTATTTTTTTTTTTTGTTATATTTATATATTCTTAATTTTATATATTTTATATTATAATTTATTTTTAGATTCTCAATTAAAGACCATAAAGATTCATGTTCAAACAACAGATCCACCGAATTCTTTATCTGTTACCTTTCAAGTACCTGAAATATCGGCTTCTATTTCTCTCCAAATCTCTAATATACAAGATTCACAACCATTTGTTCTGTCTCAAATACTTTGGAAAGAAGAAAAGGGAGGAGGAGAAGGAAACAAAGAATATGATCCTAATAATAATCAAATTAATAATCAAAATAATCACATCAAAATAAATGATAATTTATTAACTAAAGTAATACAAACATGTCATGATGTTCCAATGTTAATAAGATATTTATTAAAATCATTAGTAAACCCTAAAATTAAGAATACTGACAACAATAATAATACTGACAATAATAATAATACTGAAAATAATAATAATACTGACAACAATAATAATACTGATAATAATGATGGTAATGATAATAATAATAATAATAATAATAATAATAATAATAATAATAATAATATTGATAATAATAATAGTAATATTGATAATAATAATATTGATGATGATGTATTAATGAGAATTGAAGATGATGCTTTACTTGATGAATTTTTAAATAAAATGGACTCTTTTCCATAAATAAAAAATTTTCTAATCATGAACATTCATAAAACAAATTTTAATTAAAAATGGTTTTAATTACTTTTTATTCAAATTTATAATTAATATATATATATATATATATATGTGCTCAAAATATTTAAAATATACAACACTTCTAAGTTAATAAAAAAAATTAACATTAAGTTATTTAAGTTATTTAAAATTATAATAATTTTTTTTGAATGATTATTTGTATTTGTAATTAAATTAATAATGATGTGAATGAAAGAATGCAAAATTTTTTCTTTCTATATAAACATTCAAGAAAAAAAAAGGAAATCTATAAATAAATCAATAAATAAATTAAATAAATAAATTTATAATGAATGAATATAAAATTGATGGTCATTATTAATAAACATAAAATATAAAAACTAATAATAATGATGAATGGAAATAAATAAATTTACATAAAAAATCTACAAAACTATATGTTAAATAAATAAATATCTTGGTTATCAAGACAACAACAATGTAAAATTATGAATTATATTGAAGATTGTTTAACTAATAATAAAATAAAGTTAATGGTTTCTATTTTTTTTTTGTTTGAATATATATATTATGCAATTTTTTTTGGGAACATTGACGTGTCTTAATAAAAGTTGAATTTAAACATGATATTATCATAAAGCCCATTATTATTATTTACAGGAAAAGAAAACTCCCCTGTTTTAATTTTAATAATTTTAAAGAATTCAAAATAATTTATATGAATTATTTTAAAGAATTTGAATTATATTTGAGATGGGATGCAAAAAGAGGTGAAAATTTGAAAACTTTTGTGAATTAATTAATGTTCTTAGAAACACATAAACTTGCTTTTCTTGGCTATAAGTTGTTCCATTTGACGTTCCATTGCTGATCGTGCTTTTTCTGCTTTCTCTTTAGCTTTACGTTCTTCTTCTAATACACTTTCCATAACCTTCTTTTCTTCTTGTACCACTGATCTCGTTTGTTCAACTTGTTCTTGCGCATCATCCAACTGTATCCTTAAAGCTTTAATTTGTTCAACAAAATCATGTTTCTCTTTTTGTAATGCTGTTAATTGTTTTTTAGCTACTCGAAGATTTGTTTCATTATCGCTAAGTGTATTTTCTAATGTTTCCACAAGTTGTCGATTATGCGTGCTTTCTCCTTCCATTTTCGCTATTTTCTTTTGTAACTTTTGAATTTCTGATGCAAGTTCTGCATTTACATTATTTACTGTGGAATCTGATCTATTTCTTATCGGTGGTAAAGTTGAACGCAATGGTGATGTAGGACTTTGAGGTATTGCAGAAGGTGGTGGTGGTGGTGGTGGACGATTTGGTGGTGGAGTTGGTGGTGGATGATTCGGTGGTGGAGTTGGTGGAGCTTTTACAAGACTTCCGGCAATTGATCGAACACTATTTTTCCTAAGATCCGATGCAGAGGATAAAATTGATGATGTAGAATTTCGAGCTCCTGATTGAATTTCTGTTTCAATTGATCCACTAGAACGCTTTTCAAGTTCGGAAATTTTTTCTTGAAGTGATTTAATCATGATGCTTTGTTTAGTGATTGTACTTTCTTGACGTGCGAGTTTGGTTTGTTCTCGTGAACTTACACTATTAATACTACCCGTGCTACCACGATTATTTGAGGTCATAGATGATATGCTTGCAAGACTTGCATGCTTATGCTTATTAGCTTCATAAATTTCTTTAATTTCTAATTCAAGTTGATCATTGACTTCTAAAAGTTTTGCAATTTCTTTTTCCATTTCCTTTGATTCAGCCAATGAATCTTGTTTCAATTTAAAAAGCTCTTTTTCTAATTTAATGATTCGTTCATTTAACTCTGCAATCTGGGTTTCTGGTTTACCTGTTGCCATAGATTGCAATTGTTGCATTAAGAATTCAATCTTTTGATCAAGTTTTCCTCTCTCTTCAAAGAATGATTCATTAGCTTCTTCTAATGAATCTTTCTCAACTTCAAGTTCTTTTATTTTGTCCTTTAATTGCTTAACAGATTCACTCTCACGTGCATTTAAACGAGATATTTCATTTTCTAATAATTTGATTTTATCATTTAATACTCGTGTTTTATCTTCTGCTTCAGTAATTTTAAAATTCAAATCATTATTAGTTTGACGTAATTTCTCATTTGCTACTGCAAGTTTTGCAAGTGCAGGATTTGTTGATTCCGAAACGCGTTGATCAATTCCTCCCGAAGAACTTTTCTTGACTTCTTCTAAAGCTTTTTCAAGTTCTACAATTTTTATTTTTTGTTGTCTGGAAAGTTCATCTGCATCAGCAAATTTAGAGGCCGCTTCATTAAATTCATCCGCTAACGTTTCAAGATCTTTTTGAAGTTGGTCAACTTCTGCTTCGAGATCTTCGTTTCGTTGAGTTTGAGTTTTCTTTTCTAATTCAAGTTGTTTTGCTATTTTTTCTAATTCTTCAGCATAATCTCGTTGGACTTGAACTTGATTATGGGCTTTTCTGAGCTCATTATTTAAATATTCTACCATATCATCATCAATATTCTCATAACATTGAATAACGGAATCATGATGTGCGTCGTCAATCTCTGTTTGCAAACGATAACATTTTTCACTGAGAGTACAAATTTCTTCGTTTGCTTGTTGAAGTTTAATAATTTCTTGATCGTGACGTTCTTGAATATCATGAAGTTTCTTTTCTAAATTTTGGGCTTGCTGAATAAACTTGGCTTCAGATGCTTTAACTTTATTAAGTTCATCTTTAGATGCTCGAAGTTCCTCCGTGGTTGAATTAAACTCTAATTTTGATGCATCAGCAAGTTTGGCTTCAAGTTCTTTTATGCGGGCCACAGCTTCACTTTCAGATACTTTGGTCGATTGTAATTCAAATTGAGTGTTTTGTATAAGAGTTTCTAATTCAAAAACAAAGTTATCTTGATTACTTATTCCATTTTCTCTTTCTGTTAATGCGCTAAGAGTTTCTTGTAATTTAGACTCCAATTCATTAATCATATTGGTTCTTCTTTCATCTGATGCTTTGGCTTCTTTCAATTGTAATCTAACAAATGATAACTTTTCTTCAAGAATTTCAATAGTATCCTTATTCATTTTCGATGTACCTTTGGCCATGACAAGTTCGGTTTCTAAATTCATTAATGTAGATTCTAATCCTTTTACCGCATCTTTTTGGTTAGCTTCTCTTTTTTCAAGGGCTTCCATTAATTCAGTCACGCGTTGGTTCTTGTTATCACGTTCTTTCTCAACAATTATCATCTCAGATTCTAACTCAACAATAATCTCATTCTGAGCGACTAATTCAAGTTTCGTGTTTATTAATTCTTCTTGTAAAGCACCTATATTCTCATTTCCAGCCACTCCCGCAAGTTTGTAAGTTTCAACTTCAATTTCTAGAGTCTTGGCATGTCTTTGAGCTTCATCCCGCTGTTTTTGAGTATTACTCAATAAGGTAGATAGTTCTTCAAGTTCGGTTGAGGAAACATTAGTATTTTCTTTAGCAGATGCCAATTCTTGTCTCAAAGTTTTTAATTCATCTTCTAACGAAATCACAAGTTCTTTTTGAATGCTAAAACCTCCTTTCATTGTTTGAAGTTCCTTAACTGCAGCTTCTTTGGAATTTCTGATTTTACGAAGTTGAGATTGTAGTTGTTCAATGGTGGATTTTTGATCAGTTTCTAACTCTTTCAAAAATGCAACTTCCTCTTTTACTGTTTCGAAAATTTTTGCTTCCTTTTGAGCAGAAGCAAATTTAGATTCTAATTCTTGAACTGTCCTACGTAAATCAGTTTCCGAAGCTTTTAATCCCGCAATTTGATCACGTAAAACAGAGATGCTTGGATCTTCATCCTTAACAGCAAGTTCTAATCGATTTTCTAGAGTTTCAATTTGTTTACGTTGTTCACGCTCATGACTATGCAATCTTTCTATTTCTTCCTTCAATTGTATAATTTTCTCAGAGTCTTTGTTGGAAGATTCACTTAACTGAATTTCTAATTCTTGAACTTTTTTATTTTGTTCTTCTTCTTTTATCTTTAACACAGCAAGTTCACGTTTAAGATTTGTAGCTTGAGATCTTTCATCAGCTTTCTTGAGTTTTATTTCCAAATTTTCAATTGTACGTTTTTGCACAATTTCAGTCTCTCGAGCGATTGCTAAATCGGTTTGCAACTTCACGATATTTTCTTCAACTTTACCACCCTTTTCGAAAAGTCTGTTTTCCAAAACAGCAATTCTTTCTCTTTGCGCGATTTCTACAATGCGTAAATGTTCTAATTGTTCTTGAAGGTGTGATTCTTCTCGATCAGAATCTAATCTTGATTTAAGAACACGAAGCCTTTCCGATGCAACAGACTCTCGAGCTTTAACATCCTTAAGTTCGTTACGTAAAGCATTCAACTCAGCTTGAAGAACTTTGTTAACGTCTTCGCCATTTTCCAATTTATAAAGACGAGCTTTGAGTTTTTTAATTTCATTTTCTAAATCTTCTTCTTGTTTATGAACTTCCATGAGTTTTGTTCTAAAAGCTAATGCTTCGGCTTCCTTTTCTCTTAATCTTTGTTGAAGTATGGATTTATCTGCTAAATCTCTCTTAAGAATTTCAATTAATTCGTATTTATGACGTACATCCAATTTAAGAGCTTCAAGTTGTCCATGTAATGAAACGACAAGTTCATGTTCACCTTTTAAACTTTCAATGGTTTCTGATTTAATGGCAAGTTCTTCTTGTAACGATTTAAATTTCTCTTCCAAGGCTTCAATGGTTTTATGAGTTGGATCAATAAGATTGATATAGGAATTACGAGGATTAGAAACATGTTGCTGTTTCTGGGCTGCTTCTTTTTCTTTAGCTAATTGAGCTTCTACAAGTTTTATTTTTTCTTCTAATGCCTCTACTTGTTTATCGGCAACATTTAAATCAATTTCTTCGTCTTCGGAAATGGTATTCAATTTAGAATTTTTCTCCTCCGTTGCAAGATGATAAGCCTCTTTAGTTTCTTGAAGTTCTTCTTCAAGTTTCCGAATAGCGTCTTGTTGTTCAACTGATGGAAATAATAAAGCGGCAATTGTATGACTTTTGGATTCGATTTCGCTTTGAAGTTTGTCGGCTCGTTGCTGACGTTCTACCAACTCATCATTTTGGGAAATATCCCTAACTTCAAATTCAATATTGTTTTCATTTTCCTTTTCGTTTTGATATTGTCCAATTATTTCGAGATTCTTTTTTTGTTCTTCCTTAAGTTGTTCCACTTCTTCTCTCAGGCGATGAACGATTTCTAACTGATCTATTTCGCTGGTGGCAGCGGAATATCCGGATTCAGCATATGAATACTCGGAAGTCATAACTGACATGACTTCAATTTGAGCCAAAGCATCTCGTTTTTGTAATTCTTCTCGAAGTTCATCCACAATTTCAAGAGTTTCACGATGATTCTGCTCTAGACGAGCAAATTCTTGCTGAACAATTTTTAAACCTTCTGCTTTTTCTGAATGTAATGATTCTAATTGTTTAAGTTCAATTTGAAGTTTTTGAACCATAGCCATACTAGAAAGTTCTCGTTTTTCTGCACCTTGAATTTCGTCAGAGAGAGATTTCGCTTTACGATGAGAACTATTAATATGAACCATCAATGAATTTACATCTTGGATTTCATTATTTATATTATTATTTAAAGGAGTTGTTGGTATTGATTCATCAATTGTAATTCCGAATTGTGGAATTTTAACCTTGTCGAGTTGAGAATGAAGTTCAGTGATTTCTCCAAGACATGATTGATATTTCTCTTTAACTTCCGTAAATTCGGAGACAGTTTTTTCGTGAGTTTTTTGAAGTTCCGTAAGTTTGGATTCAAGATTTAATACTGTTGAAAAATCATTAGTTAACATTAAAGAACCAGAACTTGGTGGAGTTGAAAATGGAGTATCGATATCAGATGAAGATGAGGAAGAAGAAGAGGATCTATGTCGTTGATGAGGAATCTTGTACACATCCACTTTGAGTTTTTTCATATGTGCAATTTCTGTAACAAGTTCATCGACCTTTTTCTCAAGTTCGGCGATTCTACGATCTCTATCTTCAATTTGTGACATTAACAATGTTTGATCCTCTTCATCGAGAGATTTCTCATTTTTATACTTTGTTTCTAATTTTTGATAGGCATCCTCTCTTTCATGCAATGCCTTTTCGAGATTTTGCGTTGTTTCATTCATTATAGCTACTTTGTTTTCGCTTTTAGCCAGTCGCAATTCAAGTTTTTGAATTACTCCCTCGTTTTTCTCACTGTTTGATCTAAGCTTGGTAATTTTATTTCTAAGCTCTTCAATCGTTTCTTGATCCTTCTTTTGATCAACAGAATGTGAGTCAAGTTTAACTTCAAGGTCTTTGATATAATTTTTAGAAATTTCTTCGGTTTCAATAAGTTTAGCGATTTTATTTTTGAGATCGAGTACTACATCTTTGTTTTTAATATTAAGTTCTTCTGCTTCTTCAAGTCTTAATCCTTGATCTTGCATCAATTTTTCGGAATGAGGTAAAGAAGCTCGAGCAATTTTTAATTGATTCTCAAGTTCAGCTATGGATTTTTCGTATTCTGAAATTACAGGTCCAATGGTTTCCTGAAAGGTTTCTACAAAGACTGCTTTCTCGTCATAATTAGGTAAAAGATCTGTATTGTCCTGATACATTGATAATTCAGCTGAAGTTTTCGCGTATTTTTGTGAGAGCTCTGAGTAAGAACGTTGAAGTTCTGCTAATTGTTCTTCAAGTGCATCAATATCTTTGTCTTTATTTAGATGAATTTGAGTAGTTGGAGAACTTAAACCAGAGGTAATTATGCTTAATGGTGTAGATGATCTACGACTATTGCCAAACTCACTCGGGGTATTTCTTCCGGAATTAGTTATAATCCCAGTGGCATGTTTTAAAGCTTTAATTTCAGCCCTTAGTTTTAAGACCAAATGTTGTAAATGCTCTAAATCATGCCAACCGGCTTCTTCTTGATTAACAGTTGCAATATTCTTGATATTACGCGCACGATTTGCATATTTAAGTGTATTGACCGTTTCGCTAACATTATATTCTGCGGGGGAAACACAGGCAATCATTAAAGTTTGGGCATTACCGCCAAGAGAGTCTTGTAGTAATCGAGTGAGTTTAGAATCTCGATATGGAACATGCGTTATACTTTTAGTTTTGGTTGGATCGCCTAAAGCAGATATTACATTCCCCAAAGCAAGAAGCCCTGAATTGATTGAAATCCCTTCTTTTGCACGTTCTCCAATTGCCGAAGTACGTTTGAGCTAATAACGGTAATAATAGTAATAATATTATTAAATTGAGGATTTTTTTTTTTTTTTTAAAAAAAAAAAAAAATATAAAAATACTTTACCCTTTCGCTGCCAGCCAAATCCACGAAATGAAATTTGCTTGTCACAGAAACCCATTCCCCGTCATCGATACGTTTACTCATTCTGGATCCCGCTCTTGAGGGTGGAGGTGTAGGAGACATTGCTGTAGGGCTAATGGGTCCACTGTTATTCGCAGGCCTTTGTTGTGAAAGTGTAACAGAAAAGATTGCGTGTGATCGAGATGATTTCGCGTTCATTTCCGTTGCACCAACTTGGCGGTTTAGGGATCCATGAACCAAATGGCTAATTTTTTTTTTTTTAAGAAAAAATAATGAAATAAATATTATAATAACTAAAATTCGACTTTGATTTTTATATTTACCTCATAACTTCCTCAACACTATTAACTTTAATTTCTTGTAGTCCACTCCAAATGATATTTCCTTTTGCACCCTCTCTAATTGTAACTTGTGGCCTATTTTCTTCATCCCCTTCGGCCAGAAGATCAATTAAGTCTTCGTTGTATATTTCCACGAAAGAAACTTTCATGACATATTTACGATTTTTGTACTGTGCCGAATTTATATATGTGAATAGTGTTTCTAGCGAACGCGGGATTATTCCCCTTGATTCCGCTGGCAAAGATAAATTATCTGATGTTCCCATAGTATGAGTTTTACCAGAAGATGTTTGACCATATGCCAATATGGTAACGTTGAATCCTAATGGATTAAGTAAAAAATAAAAACAAATGTAAAATATAAATAATTAATTAGTAAATTTTAAAAATATAAACAAAAAAGTAATAATAAAATAATAATAAATAAAATAATAAACAAAAGAACGAAAAGTCCAAATTCCGTAGTTCACGTGACCACCGTATTTATTAAACCACGAAGTTTACCTTCTAAGAACTTATCCACCACATCTTTAATGGAATGTTCATATATTTCTTTTTGTGCAGTTTCTGTACCAAAAACATGGTCAAATGTGAAATTTAATTTCTTTTCGGCTTGAACAGTAACTTGATTGGGAGAGAATGGTGATAAAGAAAGAATGTTTTTTTGAAATCGTGATGGTAATTTTATCAAATCTTCTGCTGTAAGAGGCCTTATTCTAAGAACTAAAAATAAAATAAATAAATAAAAATAAGAAATTATACATTCGATAAATTCGATACATTCAATACATTCTTAGCGGAAGAGATAATATTACTGACCAACTTTTACTGATGTGCTTTCTGATATGGGATTGTTAGTCATATTTTAAATTTCGTTTTAAAGAACTAAATACGGGTAAAGTTTTGGTTTTATTTTTGAATTTTAAAGAAAGTAGTTTTGACAAATAAAATTTTTCAAGGAACCAGTCCGCGTAAAGGCCAAGAAAAAGAAAGTTATTTCAATCTTGATGTACACTATATTTGTAAATATATATGTATCTTTTTTTATACGTTTCAATAAAGAAAGAAATCTTAAAATATTACAGTATGTGAAGAAGTCGGTGAAGATTTTTATACGTAAGAAAAAAAAATAATAATAAAAGGAAAGTGAAAGAGACAAAAAGACGTTAATTTAGATTTTATTTGCGGTTGTAATCGACGGTGTTTGCTTCTGCTTTACTTTCTTGTTGGTATGACAAGAATTATCGTTGACAGATGGCGAACGAATGAATTTGAGTTAGTTAAGTAAAGGTTACTGAAAATAATAATGAATGATGATTAAGTTGGATATAGTTTGTGTCAAGGAGAGAAGAAGTTATTTTTTTTTTTGAAAATATTTCGATAATATTTTTGTAGTTAACATTTAAATTTTGGGGGTTACACATTAATAATAATAAAATAGTATAATGTTATATATTTTCGCATGGTAAGTGTAATTGTAAATGTGCATATTTATTTGTATATAGTTACCGGTCATATATTAAATGCATATTTCAAGTCTTTTTGTGGAATTTGTTTAGCTTACTTTTCATAACCGATTGTCTTGGACGTTCTTTTAACTATAATAAACATTTGATTAATTAACTATTTCTATTAATTTAACTTATTTTCCATTAATCAACAATGGTTATAAGCAATAAAATATATTGGTGTTCGATGATGTACCAATCATCCAAAAATATTTCAAATATTACGAATAAAATTGTTCCCGCAATTTAAAAATTAAAATGTGTATTACATAATTCGTCGATTATTTTATTTTGATTAATTAAGTTTAAATTCAAAACGAAAATTTATAATTCATACTTTATTTGATCAAGAATGAACACAATGGATACTAATTTATTTAATTTATAAGAAAAAATAGAATATAAAAATACAAATTGAACGTATATATTCCTTAATATTATGTACTACGAAATATTTTGGCGCGAAGAAACCTGTGAACACTTAATGCAAAATAAACATCTCATATACGGATAAAATCGACTTTGTGGAAAAATTTCGCATGAACATAGTCAAAACAACGGATTATCTCTTGATTTATACGCATAATATGATATGATATACAATTTAAAAAAAAGAATTATAGATCCCGCAAAAAAATTTCATTGCATGGTTGAAAACTTTAAAAAGAAGTTCAAAGAAGTTGTGTTAGAATCACAATAATAGATCCGGTAAACTTCGATAAGCCTGAAAAAGTATATTATTAATGCTTACTAAATAATTTGAAAAAAATTGCTTATGAAGAAAATATGTATAAAAATATAAAAATAAAACAAATAAATAAATATATACATATCAAAATCAGTATTATTAGATGTATTAGAACATTACTAAATTATTATTATTATTGAATTCGGTCATACAGTAATATAATAGAATTAATAACTTAATAAAAATTAATAAAAATTAATAAAATTGAAAGATAAACAAATTTTAGATATATCTTATTGGTTTCGAAGAACTCCATAATTGCGTGCGTGATAGAATTAAATTATTTACTCTTATCAACAAAAAGATAACGGCGAAATATCAAATATCGCGCACGCGACCAATTTAATAATGTTCAACTTATTTAATAGAACAATGTGTATATAAACAATAAAAGATTATTATCATTGACAGTTTCAACATTTTTACTAAACATTCAATAAAAATTGGTTAGATCTAAACGCATTTAAACACGAAAATTCTAAAAAAAAAAAAGAATTTATGCAAAGTGTGCATAAATTCTTGGAATTATCCTTTTTTGATTTATTATGTGATTGGTCAAGAACTTAAATTATGTAACACTTTAAGCAAATAATTAACGTGGCCACATGAAAAACTCTGCTTAACCAAACAAAAAAGATTTTCCTAAAAATATTTCCTCTTTGCTGACATCAATATAATACAACATTAAAAACATTAAAAAAAAGGAAAATATGTCTGATATGGAATCTGAGAATATCTGGAATATCGGGAATATCGAGAATATCTTTGAAGACCCCAAAGATATTGAGAATACCAAAAATATTGAGAATATCACAAAAAAATCAAAAAATCAAACTACTAATAATTTTTCATCTACAAAAAAATCAAAAAAGAAAACTAATGATAATTTTTCATCAAAAAAGAAAACTAACGATAGTTTTTCATCTATCGATGATAATTGTCCAGAATGTCTCCAACCTCAAACAGGAAATAAATGGTGTCATCCATGCAATTCTAAACATTTTCAGGATGAATTTCCTAATTGGACCAGTGGAAACAAAGAAATTGATGAATTTATTCAAGAAACACAATTGAATGCTCTAGGAAGATCTAATTTTATTGAATGGGTTGATTATAAGAAATTTTTTAATGTTCAATACTTGGCACGAGGTGGATTTGGAGTTGTTTACAAGGCCAATTGGTTAAAAGGTCCAATTGTTGAATGGAATGTGAAAACGAAATCTTGGACAAGAGAAATTGTCGGATCAGATAAATATGTGGTAGCATTGAAATCTTTGAATAATTCTAAAAGTATTACAAAAGATTTCCTTGATGAGGTGAAAACTTGTTTATATTGTTCTGGAAATTATTTAATTATTCGTTGTCTTGGCATAACGAAACATAGTGAAACAGGAAATTATATGATGATAATGGATTATGGTTATGGTGGAAATCTGCGTAAATATTTAGGTCAAAATTTTACACTATTTGATTGGTATAAAAAATTATCATTAGCAAAAGATATTGCTGCAGGTTTACAATTTATTCACAAGCGAGGATGTGTTCATCGGGATTTTCATAGTGGTAATATAGTTTATAATGGTTCATGGCCATGTATTACAGATCTTGGACTTTGTCGACCTGCTGATAAACAACTAGATATAGATGAAATATATGGTGTACTTTCATATTTAGCACCAGAAGTAATTCGAGGTCAACCCTATACTTCAGCAAGTGATGTATATAGTCTTGGAGTCATTATGTGGGAAATATCATGTGTAGGATTACCATTTGGAAATAGACCACATGACATAAATTTAGCGATAGATATTTGTAAAGGAGAACGTCCAATATTTAAAGATAATATTCCAAAATGTTATGTAGAATTAGTTAATCGTTGTTGGGAATCAGACCCAAAAGATCGTCCACAAGCCAACGAGGTTCTAGAAACATTAGAAAAATGGTTTGTAGAATTTCGAGATAGTTATTATAATAATTCAAATTTATCTGAAATTGTTAAACAGTTTAGAGAAGCTGATAAGATTGACGATGAAAAGGTTAAAACTAAAGAAATTGAACAAGAAATTGAAAAAAATATGATTCCAGAAATATCTGCTCATCCTGCTGCCATTTATACAAGTAGAATATTCAAATTAAGTGAATTTTCGAATTCTACTAATAATAGTTTTTTTTCGAAGAAAAATTATGAAGTCACGTCTCGTGAGATAAATTATGATGCTTGTAAGTTTTTTAACTTGTACTTTCAATTTGCCTTTATAAATATTAATTATTTAAATCTATTATTTTTTTTTTTTAGTTATTCTCCCTTCAGGTATTTGATTTATAATTATTTCTTATTAATTACACTGATTTCTTTAATTTTTTTCGATTTTTTAAACTTTTTTTTCAGATTTGGAATAACTAAATCGTCCAGTTAGCATAAAACCTACTATATTATCTCTATTATTATTAAAGCAAATATTGGCAAATTAAGTTATTAAACTATTTACGTGTTGCATTATGGTTGATATGATTGGCTAATTACTAATATGATCTACAATACCCGGGTATTTTGACTAAAGGAGCGGAGTCCGGAATGCGTACCCCTCTTTTGAGAGACGTAACCTTTAATTATTTACTTAACTTGGTATAGTTTACGTATTTTTTGAGGGGCTGCAAGCAGAGTATCATTTTTTTATTCCAAAAAAAAAAAAAAACTGTCACACTTTAAAAATCTTTTAAAATGTAAAGCGAAAATAATAACGTCATTAAATTATGTCTCATGTCTCATTTCAAGAATACTAAAAGAAAATCATTCAAATAATGGATTATTACAAAAACAAATAATTACATTATTTTTCTTTCATTTATGGTAGAAATCAAAAATATTTAATTTATTTATAAAAAATGTTTAAATAAGAATTAATAGAATGATAATACTTCTAATGCCAAAAAAAAAAAAGTACTTCAGATAAATTATCGTAAATCTTCTATTCCTAATTCTTTTTTAGCTTGAAGTAGGATATTAGTATGAACTGGTGCCAATTTTGAAATTTGATCGTAATCTTTACAAGCTGTTGCAAAAGCAGATGCATCAAATGTATGTTTAGCATTAATCAAGTTCTAATGTGATAAAGGAATAGAATTAGAATCTAATAATAATAATAATATAGATATTAAATATATATAAGAATTCATTCTTACGTGAATAAAAGAACATTCTCGACTTTCTGCAAACGAAGGATATTGCTCAGCAAATTCTCCTAATCTTTTTTCAAGTCTAACCCAATCCCCTAATCCAATCATACATAAACATTGCCAAAAAACATGATCTTTGACTTTAAAACAAAGTAATGAATCATTTTCCGAAAATGCGGTTATAATATCAAATAATGCTATTGCTTGTTCATACTGTCCAATTTCTACGGATAATTCTGCTTGTGATTTAAGTGAAAATATATAACGACTATATATATATATATTCGAGAATTAATTAAAGGTAAGAATGTAAATTATATAAATTATTCAAAAATGCAAAATAAAATGTTTTACCTGTCACCCTCTAATTCATAAAGGTGTGCAGCTTTTCGATAATTCTATAAAGGTTTAATCAAAAAAAGAAATTAATTATTTTATAAACTATTTATTAATAACGATTAAAATTATATTTAATATTATACTAACAGCTATCGCCTTCTCCAAGTCTCTATTAGGATTAATAATCTTTTTATGTTGTTCAGCAAGCATTTCATACGTTCTAGCAGCACGAATATTTTGTCTAATATTTGATTCATAAATTATGGCTGCCTTTTCTAAAACGTTGAGTGCCTTATCTATTATACAAATGTAAATATATAAATTTAACATATATATAGAGGAATAGAAAAGATTTAGAGGTTGACAAAATGTATAATCTATTTATTTACCTATTCGATTTGTCTGTTGAAGAGCTTTATATGCATTTTCATAACAAATTGCAGCTTCCAAAAGGTTTGAATCATCATTAACTTTTTTGAATCGTTCTGCTGCTGATAAAAATGAACTTGCAGCTGCGTTATCTTTTTATTATCAAAAAAAAATAATAATAATAATAATTAATTTTTAGTCATTTTAATTAATTCCAACAAAAGAGTAAATATATATCTATCTATTTATATCCAAATTGTAATTTTTGAGAGGAAAAAAAATTGATAAAAATTGATAAAAATTGATGATAATTTACAATCTTTTTTTCCTTTTGCTTTTATGGCAGTTTCTTTATCATTGTATGCCAATCCTTCTAAAACTTGCATCTCAGTAGCTTCATTTGATTGATTTCTAATTCTAAAAAGGTGTCCACTGTTTTTATTTCTAGGTGAGACAACTTCTATCTTATTTAATAAATACCATTTATCATAAAATCCTAAATAAGTAGCAGATCCATCTCTTAATTTAACAATAGAAAAACAATAATAATCGATGTGATCAAATTCGGGAACAGTTGGTTGACCAACGAGTAACTTGTTGAAAAATTTGAAAAGTTCTTTAGAAGAATTTGAAACTGAATTATCCTTAGTTTCTTCTTTGGTCAACATATAATTCCTAAAAGATTCGGCAAGTGGATTCTTTTTATGAGCATAATAAACGAAAATTCCTATAAAAATTAAGAAAATCATGTTTTTGGTGATTTTATTGATAAGTGTAGGAAAGAGTCGAAACAATTTGGAATCGAAAAATAAGGATAAAAAAAAATAAATTTATAGTGATTAAACTAAAACACGTGCATGACAATGAATCATCATATGTTTATTGCAGAAAGAAAATCAAAATATATAAATAAGTAGTCGATCTTATTACAACTTTTATCAAGAAAACTTAAACTTTTATTGATTGCTTAGTTGAAAATGTATGCAACATAAAGTTTAATGGTGCTTGTTCTGGAATTATAATAATAATATTTAATAATTTATGATTGATTAATCTAAATATATGCTGAATCTATGTGATGTACTATTTTTGTTTCTATTCAAAGCCTCTTTTATAGCCAGCCATCCAAATAATATGAGGCACATGAATATTATAGTGAATACTTCGAAAGCTCGATTTCCGAGGTGCCGTGCCATCAGAAAATTACTATAACATATATTCCCCAATTTCATTGGACGACACAACTCGTGTGAATCAGGTGCTTGCTTTCGACGTTGAAATTAACAAGACAAAACTGGTATACCGACTTAAATGGTTTGAGACCCGCAGAAGAGCATTGTGTTTGAACGCCACTTGTTTAGTTGTATTCTAGTTTAGCATAAATTATTTTACTAATAACCTCTATGTATTAGAAACGCTAGTGTGCAAATTATTATCTTTATACACAAATAATTTTAATAATTTTTTATTATGCAGGGTCCTTTATTAAGCGTGATTATATGAGTACGAATGAGGTCATCTATATAAAATGTGATTTCTCCTGTAGAACTCAACCATATTTGTGACATGGCAAAATCGTCCAATGAACTTCTAATGATGAAATATTTGAAATTGAATTTGAAATTGGTTTTAGTAGTTGCGATTCAGAAATGTCCTATACAAAATATTCTACCCAAGAAACGACGAAATGGTGTAACTGACCATCCATTCTTTTATGTTAGCCGGTCCTTGGATATATATATCTTAGGAGTCTGTGTTGAAAAACCTATTATAGATCCTTTTAAATGATTTATACTTGTAAATGATCACGCTCACCTTGAACGAGTGGCACGACTTTTTAAAGCCTTGTACTTGGGAATTAATAGGTTAGGAGATTATTATACATAAATCGCTAGATATATATATATCTCCTGACTTTCCATGTCCATATACGCAACAAAATGAAATTGTAAAATTAACTTATACAGAAAAAAATTCAAAACAAGCTTCTTTGGAGAACTATAACAATGATGGATAAAATACTGTTATTAAATTTACAAACAATTATAAATCAAAGGGCACATGAACTAATGAACTATGCAGTGAGATTGGAAAGGTACCAGAATTATTTTATATTGATAGAGAGATGGTATATAGATTTTATACGGTAATGATGGATATTATATTGATGTTAATCAACTTTTTAATTGTAAATCACTTGAATGAATTAATAATAAAATACACTGAAGAAGCTATTAACAGATTAGATTGCGTTGAGAATGATATTGTCTTTTGGTGACCTCCGTAATTCTAATATTTTGGTTACCAAGGAATGTTGATAAATTTTGATTGGGCCGGTGAAGATAATATTGGAAAGAATCCATCTTTCATGAATCATAGTATAGCATGGCCATCTGAAGCTGAGGATAGCTTAAGTTGAATTGAAAACATGATAAATGCTTGTTGAATTTCTTGAAATCACAACACCTGAACATATAAAAATTGATGAATTATAGTCCTAAAGATTAAGATGCAAAATAATAATTATAGCCAAATAATGCGTACCTGATTTTCAGGAACCGGGATTTTTCTCTTTGGGGATTCAAAAATGAGCCCATTTATTGTTCCAGATGTCCCGCCACTTATAGTTCCAATACCTTGGTCAACGAATGTCGGATTGTGGAGATGAATTTGTTTCTTGACGCGCTCCGCCTCCCAGTTTCGTGCAATTTTGCATTCGGGTTTAGGATCCTAACATATAAAAGAATCTGTTATTTGAATATCTATAACCCCATAATTTCCTTAACCCCATTTAACTGTTGGATCAGCTTAAGAACCTTGAACATCAAACAACCTCGAGGAATTGTTTGAGCTCCAACAGGGCCGGTACTGAGTCAGCTTAAGAACCTTGAACAACAGTGGACCTCAAGGAGCCCCCCTGTGTCTCAATACCGCCGATGACAAAAAACCTCAAGGAATCCTTTGCCATCCATTTTCCACCTAAAAAAACCCAGTACTCGCCTTTCTATATCGATCGAGCAAAACTTGGGCTTTTTCACTCCTGAGTCCTTTAGATATAGTTTCAAGACATAAAAGATAATATGATATATTCATATCGAATTCATGGAACTGTCTCTTCACATTCGTTCAAGAATCTCAAAATATTCCATTCGGAACATGGACGTTCGTAGTATTGTTTCGACATAGCAAACTCGCGAATTTCTATTACATTTATTCCGTCATATGTATCACGTGACTATGGATTATCATTATAGGTATGACGATAAACTGTACGAAACGCAAAATAGCGTTCAGTTTACTTATAGAATAATTTCAGTATTTATATCAATGAATTTTTTTTTATTTCAGTTATTAATAATCAATAATATTAATCACATCCACTTTTTCCACACAATAGCTAAACTCTTACACGATTATCTGTTAAATGAAATTTTTTACTGATGTGTATAATAATTACTCATTTTTTTTTGTTTATCTAATGATCTAATAATTAAAGTATATTAGATACTATTTAAAAAAATATTTCTTTATTAAATTTATTTATTATTTAATTATTATGCTTTATTTTCTTGTAAAAAAATATTATTACAGGGATTATAATATCCTATAACCGGATGTAGATTTATATTATTATTGGTTAAAATCAGATACTAATCATGTGTATGCTAATCATATGTAATACATTAAAAAATTTTTTTTTCTTTATTTCTAGGATTCATCCTTATTTTTAGAATCTATCCTTATTTTAAGGATCCATCCGGGGTTCATCCTTAAATTTTAAGGATAAGGGTTTATAATTCGGATTTGATTGAATGAATCCAGATTGAATTTGGATAGTTTTTTAAATTAGGATTGCAACACTAACGGGTATAAATCTTTTTTTGTGTTAGTATGTACATGTATATAGTAAATCAATCGTACAGTCGCAGTAAAATTGGTAAAATTAGTGTTCCAAGTTGATATTAGCCGGCTTAGTCGGTCGATTTTTTGTTTATACGGATCAGCCCGACGAAGAAAAAAAGTGAAAAACACGAAAATTACAAGAAACATATGTCTAAACATATCTTGATGCATCCATTAGGCGAAGTATTAGCCAGTGGAGGATAGTTTGGTCGACATCTGATAGATGAGTTTCCCCTATTTATATCTTCAGCAAAAAAAAATATCTTGGTGCATTAATAAAAAATGTCGGGGAAACAATTTTAAATAAAATATCTACTTAATTAATTTCGGATAATCATGTGATGGACTTTGATGATATAGAACCGTTAATCTTAATTAAAATCATATATTTCTCCAATTTATTTTCCTATTTTTCAAAAATATATTAGATTATAATAAAACAGTTATTATGTATACCTACATTTTTCTTACATATGTCTTATACTTGTAATTAAATATAGTAAAAATATCGGTAATATATAATTTAACATGACATTCCTCCGATTATTATGTGTAATCTAAAATTTATTAAATAAAATATGATACTTTCTATTTTATTGGAACAACCGATATATACTTCTTTAAACTTTTTTAAATATGATATTCTATTTATCGGAATAACTGACAGATACATCTTTGGTTTTTTTTTTGCCCTACTTTAAACTTTCCGAAACAAACCTGCTTAAAATATTATGAACTGGTATAATACCAATCCCTGTTTAATTCATAAAATTCAGATTTTCATAATTTGATATTGCACGATTTTTTCATCATTTTACAATGAAATCTTATGATTTTCTGTGGATCAAACCACCAAGGCCCTGTCAGTTATTTATAGTAGCGTCTTACGCTAATTCTATTCAATAAAATTTCTGTGCGTAGAAAACTGCCGTGTATAACGAGTTTTTATTGTCTTCTGAACTGTGATCGATGTCGGATCTACGAGAAAAAGTAAAAGATCTATAATTTTATTACTTGGTAGGGATGGACAATTTTTCTAAATATATCTGAATTAAATGCAATTTTTTAATGGTTTAACATACATAAATATGGAATAAATCACGAAATTTTCTGATTGGATACTGAAAAATATTATAAAATGATAAATTGAAAATTTTTTCAACCATTAGTTTAGTAGAGTAGTTAATATGTCGCCTAACGAAGGTGCCACATTGCTTCCAATAATTGACCTCGATTTATATTTAAATTTAAGAGATGACTCAACTCATCCTTTATTAATTAAAGAATGTCAAAAAGCTGTTAACGCATTAAAAGAATATGGATTATTAATAGTAAAAGACTCCAGAGTTACTGAAGAAGATAATTATCAATTTTTAAATTTAATGGAAGATTATTATGCACAACCTACAGAAATCAAATTAAAAGATGCGAGACCAGAAATTGGATATAATGTAGGAATTACTCCGGAATATATCGAAACACCTAGATGCCAGAGAGATCCTAAATGTGAATCAATAATTACTAATATGCCAGAAGAAATTCGACCCAAGATATCTACCGGACCAGATTCAAAATGGAGATACTTTTGGCCTATAGGATCAACACCTAAAGAAACCAAATTTCCCAAATTTTATAATGGACCAATTATTCCCGAAAAATTTGAAAATGTTTGGGAAGAAGTAATGAATAAATGGGGGAATCAAATGCATCAAGCTATTAAAGGTATAGCGGAAATGATTGCAATAGGATTTGGATTACCTAGAAATACTTTAACAGATCTTACTCAAGATGGACCACATATTTTAGCACCTACCGGGAGTGACTTAAATATTTATGGAAAACTTAATACAATTTTAGCGGGATTTCATTATGATTTAGATTTTTTAACTATTCATGGTAAAAGTAGATATCCAGGATTAAATATTTGGCCAAGAGATAGATCAAGTAAAATTCCAGTCCAAGTTCCTAATGGATGTTTATTAGTTCAAGCGGGTAAACAACTTGAATGGGTAACAGCAGGAGAAATTTTGGCAGGGTATCATGAAGTAATTGTTACAGAAGCTACACTTAAAGCAATTGAAGAAGCTAAGAGGAATAAACCAGATAGACCTTTGTGGAGAGTTTCATCAACTTTCTTTTTTCATATTGCTAGTGATAATAAGTTAAAAACTTTAGAACCATTTAAACCTAATTCCGAAGTTTATCCTGCCATTTATGCGGGGGATCAAGTTAGAAATGAATATGAATTTATTGACTTAATGAAGTAATATAATATTACAAATATTATGAAATTCATATATACAAATATAGTTGATAGTATTTCCGAATGTAACAAATAAGTCCCGGAAAATTTTTTCAATTTAAATATAAAGTATCAATTAGAATGTATTAAATAAATAAAATATTAAATAAAAATATTGATCGAAAATCTCTAAACAACAACAACAACAACAACAACATCATCATCATCATGTCACAGATATGATAAGAGATGATTATTATTATGGTTGTCAATATTGAATATCACGTGAATTGGAATTTAGCCCCTTTTATTTATTATTATTGAATGAGCCACTTTTTTTTGGGAATGATAAATTTAGAATAACTAAAATAAATTAAATAAATTAGTAATATAATTGGGAGAATAGCATTAATAATGTATTATCTATAAAAGTACATAATAACACATTGCATAAAAAAAAATTGACCGAGATTGATTCTTCATTATCATCATTATCATTATCATTCATCTCCTCTTCCTCTTTTTTTCCTTTTTTTCATTTTCTATCTTTAATATTTTTTTTAACTTTAATCTAATCTAATAAATCAAATCAAATCTAATCTTGAAAATATCAGGGATATTAAGGGACACATTGTGTAAGAAATTAATTTTATTTCTTGATAAAAAAAAATTTTTTTAAAAAAAAAAAAAAATAAATATATATCAAAATAAAATATATATTCGAAAAAATAACCATCATAACAACTATATTATAGAAAGTAAACATAAAACATAAAAAGAAAGAAAAGAAAAATGCAAGAAACTAATAACGGTAGTTTGCTTGCCAAACGACTTGGTGTTGACATATTTGCGGCATCTGCAGCAGCTTTCGGTGTTTCACCATTTATTGCAATTGTTGATAGGTAAATTCTTATTATTAAATTTCACATGATTTGAATGACATAATTAATGATATCGATCATTGAATTAGTTATTAAGTTTCTTTTACATCATTGATTATTTTAACCTTAATTTTTTATTTAGATCAATTATAGAAAATGCTTCAGGTAAAGAAAAATTAGGCAGAGCTTTAAAACAAGGCTTTGTTAACCTTTTCACTCGTCCTTTTACTTTCATCCGAAGTCCTTCATTCTATCTCGTATTTGGAGTTTATGCGACAACTTATTCAACTGCCAATACTATTGATACTGTATGCGCATATACAAAGCAAGATAATCAAACACCAAAATTTCTTGGTACAACAATTGCCAATATGACCACATGCATTTATAAAGATCGAGCATTTACTAGAATGTTTGGTTTGATTGCACCAAAAGGTTTGCCATGGAGTTCTTATGGATACTTTGCAGCTCGTGATGCATTAACTATTGCAGCAAGTTTTAATATACCTCCAACATTAGCTAAAGAATTTCAGGATCGTAAAATTATACTTGATAATGAAACTTCTCAAAATGTAGCTCAATTAATATGTCCAGCCGCTGTACAATTTATAAGTTGTGCTTTACATTTATTAGGTTTAGATATATATAATAGACCTGGAGAATCTATGTCATCAAGATTCCAATTTTTACAAAGAACTTATTTAAAAACTACCATTACTCGTATAGCAAGAATTGGTCCAGCATTTGGAATTGGTGGTGTAGGAAATAGAGTAATTAGAGAACGTGTTAATGAAATGGTAGATCAAACAAATTTAACTATTAATGCTGCAAAAATTCCCACAACCAATCCCGCAACTAGTTCTAATACTTCAGTTAATCAATAATAATAATAATAATAATAATAATATATTAATATATATATATTATATATATTTTTATATATTAAATTTTTGGTGATATTTAAAAATATATACACACACACATATATATAGAAGAAGATATATAGATTGTTTCTTTATTTCCCCTCAATTTTCTCTCATAACATTTTCATTTTCTTATATATTTCAATAAATAAATTACTCATAAATTTTTTTTTTAAGTGATCCCATTTTTCTTATTTTTTGATTGTATTTTAAATATTTTAAATTGTAATATTTTATAAATTTATTTATAACCCAACACTCTATCACTCTATCACTCTATCACTAATTCAATTTTTTTATTAAATTAAAAATATTATTTATTTTTTTTTTTATTAAATATTAAATGAATAAAATAAATTTATTCCTCTTTTTCTTTTTTAAGTAAAACTTCTGACCAATTTTTTTCATCCTATATTTTATTATTTATTATTATTTTTATTATTATAATTAATATTTTCATTATCATTAATTTATATATATTATATATATTATAAGATATATTAAATTAAATTAAATTAAATATTTTCAATTAATCAGAAAAAAATGAAAAATGATAAAAAAAAATAATTTTTAATTTTCTTACCCGATTTCCAAAGAAAATTCCTTTATTTTTACCCGTCCATTCATATACACTCATGGCTGTTCCTATTCCAAGGCAAGCTCCCAATGCTAATGGGTATGAATGAGCTTGAAAAAGTTATTTTAATTTAGATCAAAGAAAAATTTAATTTAATTAATTAATTTCAAAAAAGAAATAAAAATAATTAAATCAAATTAAGAAGAAATATTAAGAAGAAATACCTCTTATACCAGCTATTAATCCTGCTGCACATCCTGCACATGCTCCATTAATCCAATCATCAGTTTTACGAATATTTGCAACCACTGATTCGGTTCCTGCAAATATTCCTCCTATTAAAGCTTTTAAAAAAAAAGTATATTTTATGATAATTTGTGTTGAAATTTTTGAATATTGTATCGATTGAAATTTGAATTTAATGACAATCCTCTTATTTTTTTTACTTCTCCCGTTTATTATAATTATATTATTATTATTGATTCTTATTATTATTATAAAACATTTTGTTACTATGTTAATAGAATTCTATTTTATTTTTTCGGTCCATTTTCTATTTTTCGATTTTCTATTTTCTATTTTATACTCTTTTTTGTTCATTCACTCATTTACAAAAAAAAACCTTACCATAACCACTGATAGAACTTCCAGTTCTAGTGAAAACACCCATTGCTCCATGATTATGCTGACTAATACTATTTTGTACTGCTGATACTACAAACCCAATGGCTCCAAATCCTGCTGCATTTTTAAGTGTTTTAAGAACTACTTCTTGTTCTACATATACATCATTAACGATATTTGGTTTTTCAACTGTTGACATTTTTCGAAAAAAAAAAAAAAAAAATTCAAATCAAATAAAATTATATTATACATTTTTTTTATATATAAATAATGACCATTTTAAAAAAACATAGATTGTACTACGAGATTATTGCTAAATATCGACCCTAAATGGAAAGAATTAGGTATCTTTAAAAACAATTAAAAATATCACATCTGGAAGTTAACTTTCTCCAATGAATTTCTTTACATATAGATTTCGGAAAAAAACTAGATTTTCTTTTGGTTTATAGCATTATTGTATTATTGAATTATTAAATTATTGTAATTATTGAGTTCGATCTTTTGAGAGGTCGAAATCTATGATTGGAGAAATTCTTTTTGAATTCTTTTAATTCCCTTGTATCTCTTTGAAAAAATTGTATACATTTAAAATATTTAAAAACCCAAGAAAAATTATAGTAAAGATTAATTGTTTAAAGACTTAAATAATATATAATTGTAATAAAATAAAATAACATTGAAAGAGAATTAAATCATGATCGATATTATATATTGAAATAACGAAAAAAAAAAAAAAGTGTACAAAGGTGTTTTTTTTTCTCATTCAATTCTTTTAAAATCTAAGTTTAGTGAAGAACCATTTATTCTTTCCGGCCTTATATCTTTCTTTTAAAGATTTTCTCACAGTTTTCTTCGCTGTTTGTCTTTGAGCAGGTTCTTTGAAGGTTTCGAGTGTAACCACTTGTTTTAAGTCTTCTAATTCGAAATTATATCTGGTAGGCATTAGGTGATTATAGTTTATGGTCTTGATGAAAGGCTTGATTCGTGATCTTTTTGCGATACGTTTAGGTCCCATTCGTTTGGTAACTTTTCTTGGATATCTTTCAATCCCTATGACGATCGCATGACCATATGGTCGTTCCTTCGTACCGTCATCTACATTCTTTGAAATTACAACTTTCCTACCAGCGTATCGACCTGAGGTGACAATTGCTACCTTTCCAGGTTTCAAAAATTTGACCATCTTTGAAGTTATGTTGAGATGGTAAGGATGGATGGAAATTAATTTTTTTTTTTTTGCACGGGAATTTTTTAAAATAACATTTTAGTGTTCACATTGGTTCATTTCTATTGGTTATCAAATCATAAATTGAAAAAAAAAGAATGATCTAATAAGTTACATTTGTTTTTCTTGAAAAAGTGAATCAGAGTGAATAGATCATGTAAATATTTTTTAAAAAATTGCAGAGGTTAACATTTTTGAAATATTATGGCCATTAGCTTGTAGAAGTTAACATTTTTGAAAATATTTATAAATCAAAATTTGGATTTATAAATTAGAAAATCTATAAAATAATGTAGAACTTGTTATAAATCAGAATTCTATCTGTTCTATTCTTTTCATTTGACCAGTGAGGTTTATAATTTGAAAATAAAATTTACAATCAAAAATATTAACCTTTATAAGTTAATAGTTATAATATTTCAAAAACATTAACCTCTACAAATTAAATATCATAATATTTTAAATCCTTAATTTCACTGGAGGTTTTTCTGTCTTAAAAAAAAAATTTTCTGATGAATTTTATATTTGATTTATCAATTAATTTTGCTATTTGACTAAATACTTTATAGCAGATTTGAATATTTTTCAAATTCAAGTTTTGAGTTCAAATAAATTGGAAACTTAAAAAAATAAACTAGTTGGATTTAATACTATAGAGAGAAAACTCCTTGTATTATCTTCTCTTCTATGATAAATTTTTATTATTTATTAATAAATTAAAAAAATGGAGAAACTTGCAATTTATATTGATTCTTAGAGACCTGTCATTAAAACTGATATCCATAATTATAAATTTTAAATCATTACCTGTATCATTAAAATTTCACAATTTTGCAAACCTGTAATTATTTACAAATTCAAAATTATATAATTGCAAAAAATATTGTGAACTTGTAGAAACATAACAAATTTGTAATCCTATATCTTAATTGTTTATTTTTAAAATTTCAAAATTATAAACATGTGCAATTTGTTATTAAAAAATAATTTTTAATAGTTGAAATATCACAGATTGTATTGAATACAAATTGGATTTAGATACTCAATATATGTTGAAATATGAGATTTTGACTTGTGTTATCTCCCTGGTGAATCTTGAAAATTAATCAAATGTTATCTAAGATACTCTTTATAAAAATTGACAAATTAATAATACGATAGGAAATTGTGATAAGAATTATTTCTTCCTTATAACAAAGAATCCTCTTTTTCCAATCATGTTGAATTTGTAATTTTTTCATCATATTTATTAAGTTGTAAGCCTTTCAAAAATCTGGGTTTTTGAGATGTGAATTTTTTTATTATATAATAATTATTTAAATATATGAGAACAACCGCTACACTATCTATAATTCCATTGATAATGATTTTTTATATGATCACAAATTAGGATCAGAGGTTATTTGCACTTTAATAAAGTCATTTTAACATAATAGCAATAATAATATAATGATTATGATCCAAACACAAAACAACGTTTTGTTTTGTTGGAGAATGACGATTACTCACATGTTCGTGAGCCAATCGTTGCATAACGATAATGTGAAATATGAAACACGTAATATATACAAAAACAATTTACTACTTCAATGCAAGCATATGTCATCTGCCTAAACTGTGCATAATAAGTTATTTGAGGAAGCTGGGAAAGTCGTACCGAATGCAAACTGCGGTAATTACAGTATATAAGAACCGAGTTATTTAATGCTAATATCTTAGTTTTCTCCTTCTTTCTATCTCCGATAACTCCATGTTTCCAAGCGAGTCTACATATACCAAACTTAATCAAGAACACTCAGACCATTCGATAGATGAAGATATTATATCTATCGGATCGGTTGAGGAGTTTCTAGAGTCAATAGAATTACAAACTTCTCAATTCTTAAAAAATAAACCAGACGACGAAAATACTTCTTTAACTTCGCCGAGGGGACAAAATACGTTAAGTCCTCCTACCCATACCTCCCTATTAAATATGCCTCACGTAAAAAGTCCTTCTCAGGCTTCTAAGTACAAAATAGAGGTCCCTATAGAGCTCAATTCGCCGGTTAGTTTTCTTTTTGTCACAAATAATAATAATAATAATAATAATAATAATAATAAATAATAATAATGATAATGATAATAATAATAATAATAATAATAAATAATTTAATAAAAATTTATTAAATTTAAATAATAATAAAATTTATTAAATTTAGCAACCAGCGAGTATATACTTAGAAACTCCGCCACCTATACCGCAACAACAGGCTAACAATACTCTCAGGGAAGGATTGCTTCCCAGTAATCCAGTAAGTTTTATTCTTTATATATTTAATATTAGATAAAATAATGTAAAATAATAAATATCGTTTTATATATTAAGATCCCCCCTCCTTTGTCGTCTGGTATAAAAAGACGAAAATTCAAAGATCCGTTATTTGCCGTATTATACATTATGGGATTTCTCGGAATGCTATTTATAGGCATAGAATTACTATTCACTACTAATGTGAGAATAATTGATTTTTCAAATAAATTGGATATTATTAAGATTCCAAGTTTTTTTTTTTTTTTTTTAATTTTGTTAATATGATTTATTTTATTTTAACTATTGTTTAAAAATTAGTCGTCTATATTGGATCATTATCCCAAAAGTTCAATATTTTCCACGATCAAAGACTGTGCTGGTAAAAAAAAGAATTACTATTAGTATGAAATAAGTTATATATATAAAAATATATTAATTTAAAAGTTAATTAATTCTATTTTTTTTTTTAGGATTAATTATCTTTACTATATTCTTTTCTACAATCGCTGGAATCTTATGGATTGCATCACTTCGACTATTTGTTAAGATTATAATATATGGTATCACCATTGGTGTCCCACTTTGTTGTACCACCTTGTTTGTTTGGGCGTTAAATCAATCACTTACGCGCGAATCGAAAGTTGCGCAGGATTATTGGTAAAATTTGTTAAATTATTTATTCATTTATTTTGGTATATTTATTGGATTTATTGATGTTTATTTAAAATTTATATAGGTTGCTTGGGCTATCATTTATTCCTTTGTGTATATCATTCTCATTTGTTATTCTTATTTATGCGCAACGAGATAAAATAAAGAAAACGATCAAAATTGTTTCGGTTCGTATCAACCTTGTGTTTACAATAAAATCTTGCATTAAAATCTCCCATTAAAATCTTCTTCCTTTTTTTTTTTTCTTTCACGCAGTTGGCATGCGATATTATTAATGATAATCCTCATACTTTAATAATCTCTTTGATGCTCTCAGCTGTACAAGTCATATTTTCGATTGTATGGTTATTCCTATTTTGTCATGTATTTCTCGTTGGCGACGTTTATCAAGGTTTATATCTATTATTATTTCATATATTTTATAATATTTTATGATTTATGATTTTGAACTTTTTATTAACGAGTCTATTAAAAAAGCCACTTGGGAATTCAATGCCGATGCCTATCTCTGGGGTTTATATTTAATTTTTATGTGGTTGTGGACTTCAAATATTATTCGTAACGTCCAAAAGTATGTTTAGATTCATTACTTAAAATATTTGAAATATTTGAAATCCTTAAAATGTTTTTATTGATTACTTATCTATTCATCTCTATTTATTGTTACTTTATTTTGTATCCTTTACATTTTAATTAGAGTCATGTTGGCTGGGGTCGTTTCGGAATGGTATTTTTATAGGTAAACATTTAAAATTCCGTTTATCTTTTTCTTTTTTTTTTTTTTAATGGATATTAATAATATTTATTATTAAAAACATATATCTTTAGACATGAACCTAATTATGGTCCACCCGAAGAAATTTCAATGCTTTCCCTAAAGAGAGCTACCACGATTTCATTTGGTACCGTGTGCCTCGGATCATTGCTTGAATCACTAATAAAATTATTGCGATTTATCAATAATCAAATATTAAAGAAGTATTTTCAAGATAATAATTACAATTGCTTATACTTTAGTGCAAGTTATTGTCTAACGTGTTTAGATCACATAATCGAAAACATAAATAATTATATTTTAGTTTATGCTGGTATAACTTGTGAATCATTTTGGGATTCTGCATTAATTACAACTAAATTATTTTCAAGAAATCTTATTTTTGGTTTAATCAATGGTAAATATTATTATTATTCTTCTTCTTTTAATTTTTATAATATTATTTATTTTTAACATATTTTTAATTTTTATAAATTAATATAAATTTTTTTTTTTTTTTTAGATTTTGTTACTCAACTCGTCGTAAGAATAGGATCAATCGTAATTGGATTACTATGTGGGTTCGCATCCTTAAACTATGCATCACATTATTTAAATTCTCCTTATGGATATGTGGTCGGCTTAATCACAGGAATAATTCCTTTCCGAATCGTCAAATTTTATGCTGATTTCATAATGGATACGATCGATGCATCGTTCATATGTTATGCTATCGATTTAGACGTTAATAAAATACACAGTAATGAAGTTCACGAATCTTTTTCAAATTTCCAAATTCAATAATTAGAAATAATTACAGATAAATGGATGATAAGCCAATAAGATAATAAGATACAACATTGTAAACTCAAGAGAATTGCATTTTATATAATTTCATGTACAGTATTATTGATTTGATTATAAATTAGTTTTTTTTTTTTTTTTTTGCAGAAAAATAATAATAAAATAATCATGTAAATAAACTTTAAATCTTACAATTTCCAAACAATTTATTTATTTATTTATAAGTCATTTATTTATAATTCATTTATGAATTTAATCAACAAGACCTCGCGTAACCCAATCTTTCATTGCAGAAGAGCAATGTTGGATTTGTAGTGCTTCTAAAATTTGTTCAGTTAAATGATTTTACTATATTTATATTTTAATTTGTTTATATAAGTTCCCTTAACCTGTAAAATTCAATGAGGGCAAGATATTCTGACCAGATTTTCTTACATAAGCTTTCATAAACCATAACAAAATTAAATACTGTCCAACCTCGGAAAAATAAAGAATTTGACGGCAAATGTTAATCTTTTACATAATAATTAAACTATAAGTTATGGTGTGAACGTGTTAAACAGTAAATTTTTCATTTTATTATTTAAGGTCATCCAGCAAAAGAAAAGGCGAATTAATAGATGATTTATTAATCCGGAATAATTTTTTCGTATGAGATTGTATCTGCGGGGATTACACAACACTAATAATGAGACATTTCATTGATTGATAATACTTTATTTAATATGAAACACTCTTTCTACAGATAAAAGTCATACAAGTATAAAATATTTTTATCATAAATGCAGGATAATTTATAAGTTTTTTAATCAATTTAATAATATTTAAAACATTAAATCTATAAATCTATATATATATGCAAAGTAAATTATTTCCCTTTTCTAAAAAAAAATGAGATAGATAAGTTCGTATGATTACATCCGCGCTAACAGGAATTGAATCTTCCATTATTATTATCATTAAGATTTTTTTGTGCATAATGGTTCAAATAACCAAAATTGGATATTTAAATAATGATCCTTAACCTAATTAAACAACTGACCCAAAGCAAAAAATATTTCTGTATTTCACCTTTTAATTTTGCCCATGATCACTGATTCAAAAAATATATGAGATGCCTATTATAGAGATTCATCTATTGAATATCTAATAAATCTAACAGGTATCCGAAATATAAACCCAACAATTAATATAATAGCCCAACATTACTTTGAAACATCTAATATATGCAAATCTCACACATATCTCATTATATTAAGATGAGATGAAAGGTTTCTCCTAAACTTAATCTTCTAAACCAAATCATTAAGGTGGATACTTTTATCAAATTTAATCTCTCAAATGTGAATAGGTAAAAAGTTATAACTGATCCATAATCTCATATGCATTAATAAACCTGCTACCGACATTTATATAATACAAAGAATATTTGGTATAATCTTCACAATTAGAAATTTTTCAAAGAACTACAACAAAAATAGTTTTATTATCATCGAAGCCACGTGTAACGGGTGGGTATACCAGCATTTTTGATTTGGTAACTTTGTTATTTCACATGATGAGTTAGTAAATTAAAAAAAAAAAAAAAAGAATCCATAATTAATAATTAGCATAATATTTTTTAACTGGTTAATAATAACATATAAAATCATAATATTATTGAGTGTAATTAGCATTAAAAACAATCAAAAGTATTAATAATAAAAAACTAATATTATTTTATACAGTTAAAAAAAATTATTACTGTATCCAAACAACCAAATATATCAATTATAATATCAATTATAATATCAATTATAATATCAAGTTCTATTAAAGTCTATTTAAAAGTTTGTGTTAAGAAATTATTAATTGATTCTAATCTAACATAATAAAATAATAATAAAATGTAATGTATAATTAAATATAATTAAATATAATTAAAATATAGTCTTAAATATAGTCTTAAATATTTATTAATAATATATAATAATAATATATATTATTAATTCACCAAGGATTCCATTCATCTTCCCATACGTCATCATTTTTATCATTTTTTGATCGCACCTTTTCATTTTTTCTTCGAGTAGTTGTACTACTTGATCGTATATTGGAATTATTAGAAGTAGGAGAATTACTTCTACTATTTGTGGTTTGATATTGATATTGATTCATCGTATCAGAAAAGAAATTATTATCAATATCATCATTATAATTATTATTGTCTGATATTGTTCCATAATTAGATCGAGAAAATGCTGATGCATTCGAAGAAATATTGGTTATGGTTGACATCCCACGTGATGCTGTATCAGTTACCTAATAGATAAAAAAATCAATAATATATTTTAATATTAAATAATAATAATAATAATTTAATATTAAAATAATAATAAAAATTTAATATTAAAATAATAATAAAAATTTAAAATTTAAATTAAATAATTTAATATTAAAATAATAATAATAATTTAATATCAAAATAATAATAATAATAAACATACCGTTTTACCAATACCTGCCACATAACCTGAGATTTGTTGTGTAAATTCTGGATCCCTAACTTTTTCTGCTGTTGGTTTTATTACATGTTCATTAACAGTTTGTCCTAATGATTCTGCTCCTTGTGCTGCCAATTTCGCTCCTTCTAATACATGATATCCCAAAAAGTTAAATCCTTTCGTTAAAGCTCCAACAACTGAAGTATTCATTAAATCATCCAAATCAGGAATAGTTGATGATGATGATGATGTTATTGTTGTTGTTGTTGATGAATTTGATCTATCTTTAAATGCTGGATTACCAAAACCTGTATATTTCCCTCCCTGACTTGGTGGTAGATTTTCTGTTCTTGTCTCATTAACACGTCCAAGATTTGTAAAATATGTTTCATTACGCGTCTTATCAGATGATGAAAAACTATTATTATTATTTGAAAGATTCGAGATTGGTTCATTCGATTGATATGATTGATATGAATTATTGGATGTTGATTGAATTGATTGAAACGATTGAATTGATGAACGTTTGTTATTTGAACTATTATTCGAGCGATCAGATTTTCTACCAGATGATGATGATGATGATGATTTTGATGGCGTCCATTTTTTACCTTCACATGTAGCTGTTAACTTTATTATTATTATTATTATTATTATTATTAAATTATTATCACATATCACATTTAATTATTCCATTATTAATATATATGGATATAATGAACATAAAATAATTTACCTTTTCGCGATATGCTGATGCAAAACTACTATGATATTTATCTCGTAAAGACATTTCTGGGTAATAATCAGGAGAAACTTCATAAAATTCTCTCCAAACGGTATTTCCACCAAGCTAAAATAATAAAAAAATAAAAAATAAAAATCTTTGAATTAGAGATAAAATGTTTCCTCCCATAAACTAAATGGTTAATAACGAACTAAATGTTATCTAAATATTATATTTCCAAAAAACAAATTGATTTTTTTTTTTTCAACTTACTTTCATCTTTTTTATTTGATCATCATACCATTTGTCCATTGTGATAGAACGAACAAAACTGTATAAATAAACAAATTAAATTCTAATTATCAACCTACGCACTAATTAAATAATGGTTTTCTATTTTTAACAATCAACCAACCTGACATGAACTCCGAAAGACCGATGAATACCGGAACATTCTAAACAAATAAAGATACCAAAGGAGACCGAAGCCCATTGGGGGTTCGGTGATCCACAATCCACACAATTCTATTAAATAAAAATAAATTATGAATAAAGAAAATAAAAATGAAGAAATAATAAAAATTAGAGAAAATAATAAAAGTTAATAATAACAATAATGAAAAGTAAAAGAAAATATAGATTGCTTACTTTGTTACCATCTTGTCTTTGTATATCAAACAATACTTGCTTATATTCGGCTGCCATCATCAGTTTCTAATAATTTTCTAACAGTTTTCTAACACTTGTTTCAAAAATGTGGGTTTTAACTTAACCTAGACCCGGGGTTCTAGAATTCTAGGGTTCAGTTCTTTTTATTCTAGATTTGTGACACGGATGCATTTAGTCCCTTCCTGATTTTAGTTTCACACCACAAATACGTAAAGGATATCAGAGCATAAGAAAATCTTTTGAATTTATAATCAAAAAAGAAATTGTGGGTGAATTGTTATGTTTTTATATTCTTTTAGGTGCAAGGTGTAAAAATTATATTGTAAACTATAAATCTTGAATTTTTTTTTTTAATGTGTCAAAATTATCAAGCCGAAGCCTGTGTGACAGAACATTTTTGTATAATCCGAGTTTTTTTATGCATTGTCTTTGGTGATGCTAACTTTGATTATAAAGCTAGAAAACCAGATCTTTCAAATGGTCTTGGAATATATATTAGTAGAAAATTACTCCTAATCTGGTTCAGAATAAAATATTAGCACATGAGCCTAATAGGGGGTTTAATAAAATCATCTTGGATGGCAATAACTTGACGAATCTTGGTGTTACAAGGATGATTTAATGACTATTGTGAGGCTTGAAATAAGAACTATCAAAAACATATTAGTAGAAAATCACTCCCGCTGTGCAAAAATGATCAGAAGTCATTTTTTAATGCAATGCCTTTGAATATTTGATGATAGAAAGATGATTTAACTTCTATTATAAAGCCTGATACTAGAACTTTTGAATAGTATCACAAGAAAATTGCTCTTTATTATGAAAAAGAGACATTAGTTTGCATGTTTTTTTGATATAAACATGATTTATATAATTTTAAACATATCCAAAATTTGCAACTATAAATGTTGGTAAAACTAAATCCTTGGGTTGAATCTAATTTCACTCACTATCATCACTGTACCCACAATTATGAATTGCAATTATTATTATAATTAAAATCTGCAATTAACAATTATGCAACTTGTCATCATTTTTTCTATAAAAAACTATTATTATGATATGTTAGGCAATTTTGAAGAACTTATATAGTATAAACAGGTTGGTTCTTCAAATGCAAAATTCCTAAATTCATTAATCAAATTACTATTAGATACCATATTTGATATGTGGTTTATTTTTAATTATTTAAGCACTAACTTTTAATGTATTTTTATAAAACTCAAAATGGAAGTAAATACTTATAATACTTATGAAAACTGGTGATATTGTGAAACTGGTGAAGATCAGATTTGCATTATTGATATTTGGTGAAATAGTTTCTCCATTTCCACCAATAATATCAATGTCACTAGTTTCTCTTTGGCGCACCAGTTTAACCAGTTTCAGCATCATCAGGTGTTGTAAGTTGCAGTCATGTGCTATGGTAGCTTTAGATTGAGTGGTCTCGTAGTTCTTCTTTGTCGATTGTTTGAAGGATGTAACTTAAATGGTGCTTCGTGGTGATGCAAAACTCATGTGTAACTTTACTTCATTTGGTTAATTGAACAAGTAGTTTCTTTATTGAAATATTTAAAAAAAAAAATACTAAAATCAATAACCTTCTAAGAAGCTTATGTGTTTAGTCCAGATAAGAGCCTTGGAAAATAAAAAGCCAGTTACAAGTCATTTTCTATATCCAAGTATCGTCATGACTTATAACCTTTCACTGAAAACCTGAAGAAGCGGATGTATTAAAAAAAAAAGTAAATGACAAGATCGAATTCCCTTCAATGCTATATTTTACACGTCTGGTCTATACGATTTGAAAATAAATCAGATAAAAAGGATAAAAAGGGAATATACTCAATAGTTTTGGAAGAACTGTTTAATAAATGAAACTCGATATAATTTTTGTTTTCGCGAACACGAAAATTTCCACGCAATCTGGTCTGGTCATACATATTATTTAATTGTTCTAAATATTTACTATTTAATTTAAATTTAGAAATTTGGAAACCTAAAACTAAATAAAAATTATACCTATATATGGTAATCAATTAGACTCACGTAATTGCGCACGGAATTTCGAGAAGCTTGATAAATACGTGTGCTTTTACGAATTATATTCGTCATGGTCTCATGATATTTTTTTTTTTTTTCAGATTTATAATATAAAAAAGGCTATTAGCCTTTGTTGCCTTTTGTTTCTTTATTTGGAAGATTCATTGCATATAAAAATTCTCACATTTTTCTTCCCAACAAATCTTATTTTTCTTTTATTATTTTTTATTGTTTATTTTTTTCTTAACTTCTCTAACTTCTTTGTATATACATATTATTTCGGTTGCTCTAAATTATTAATAATATTATTAAACAAAAAAAAAAAAAAAACTAAATGGATACAGTAGTCAACTTCAAAGCTTTCTGTAACACTGACCCAAAAATCCTTCGCCGTATTATTTTCCCCAAAGTTGGTGATATTTCTTATTCAAATCTTCAATCCAAGGTATATTATATTTTTTTTTGTTTTTTTTATTTCTAGGAACATATACGGAAAATCAGAATGGCGCAGTTATCAATGAATATTCATTTGCTCCCTTTTTTTTTTAGCTATCGCAATTGTTTAATATTAAAGACTTTAAAATTCGTTATATTGACGAAGAGGAAGACCTAATTGCCATCGATAATGATCTTGATTTACATGAAGCTATTAAACATGTTGGTGGCTTGACAAATAATGAGCGACTTGTTATTAAATTGAGTTTAGAAAAACTACCTTCTACAACTTCTACAACAATCAATAACGACCAATCTGAACAAGATCCACAAGAAGGTATTATATTTTTCTATTTTTTTTTTTATTTTTATTTTTTTAAAAATATTTTTAAATATTTATTTCCCATACATACGCAGATTCTGCGCCGCAACAATCATCCATTGAAACTGCGCAAACGCCCAATAATCAAGATCACGATGATAGAAATTCTCGAGACGAATTTGCCTTTGAGAATGTTCTTAATACTAGCATCAAAATGGTACATAACTTTGTTTCTCAACTTAGCTCAGCAATTGAAAGAGATTTATCAAATTTGAACTTAAGTATTCCTCGGCAGCTTGGCGATAGTCCCAGAGAAACGTTAAATTCGCAAACGCAAACTGAAAATAATCAAACACCATCTAATCCTGAACAACAATCTTCTTCAGGTACTTTCTCTTTAATATTTTACATTTTAAACGTAACGATGATTCATTATTTAAAATACAACCAAATTTTATAATTTAAATTTAAACTGAATTTGTTCTTTTGTATTAATAAATAGAACCCATGGAACATCCTGGAGTAATCTGTGATAATTGCCATAAAAGAGTTCGTGGAATGAGATGGAAATGTATAACATGTCCAAACTATGATCTTTGCCAAGTGTGCAAAACGAATAAACCTAATGTTCATAGTCATGAATTCCGTCCCATTCCTTATCCTATCAATTCTAGTAATAATTCTCGTACCGGATTAAGAGGTTAGCTCACAGATATATGTAAATTTTATACATTTTATATATTGCAAATTTTCTTATTTTCTTTTTTTTTACATAATTATTACAGCTGTAAAAAATATGCATTCAGCAACTTGCGATTATTGTGAATCAGTAATCATTGGTATTCGCCATAAGTGTATCAATTGTCCTGATTTTGATTTATGCAACTCTTGTATATGTACGAATATATAATTTCTTTTGTTTCCATGTTTTATATATCATTGTTATCTACTTTGATAATTATTAATTTGTCGGTATATATTTTAGCATTTTCTTCTACACAACATCCAAATCATACATTTGTTCCAATTCACCGTCCTGGTGATCCAGATATTAAGATACCTGGTATATATTTTTTTAAATTACTTTTTATTGATAATTTTTTTCTTATTAATTATTATTATTATTATTTTTTTTTTTTAAAAAAATAATGACTTTCTTTATTCTATTCTATTTATTTTTTCTAGATGCTGCATTCCACCCTGGTATACGGTGCGATGGTTGTGGAAAGTCAATTAACGGCGTTAGATTTAAGGTATTTTCAAAAATTTCAACGGTTCTTGATTATTTCTTTTTATTTTTACTTATTTTGACAATCATTATAATTTGTATAAATAAATTATATAAATTTCTATAGTGTGGAAACTGTGCTGATTTTGATTTCTGTGGGAACTGTGAAGCGTCACCCAATAATAAACATGATCCCAATCATGTTTTTATCAAATTTAAGAGACCTGTTCCTTCACCGATCTCTTCTACCAGACCTTTACTTCAAAATTTCTATTCTCGCCCTGAACCTAAAAATTATCAAAAAGAAAATAGACAACCAAAGTCACAAAAGCCACTTAATAAAGAAAACACCACGGAACCTTCTCCCAGAAAATCTAGTTGTTTTATCCCTATTGTGAGACCAACTACTGGTGTTGAACAATCAATGTAAGTACCAAATATGCATTGTTTAGTATTTCACCTGATTCATGCTAATTTATTTCATTCTTCAACAGCGATCCTAATTTCAGTAGTGCACCTATTAACCTTTATGGGCCACCTAGAACATCAACTGTTTCATTAAATTCATTAAATTCGTCAAGTTCTTCCGTTACCCGGGTCGAAGAGCCTCAAACTCCTGCCACTAATACTATAAACTCCACAGATGTTCCTCTCATCCCCATAAAAGTTCAAGCTTCACCAATCATTACCGCTCCTATTCCCAAAGAAGTTTCGCCTCCACCAGTCACTACTGCTACAACTGTTTCTTCCATTCCCAAAGAAGTTCCATCTTCACAAGCTAGTACTAATTCTTCCATCCTCATAGAAACTTTTCCTTCTGAAGTTAAACAAAAACCAATTATTGAACCAGCCTTAAACGCTCGGTTCGTTGATGATATAAATATTCCTGATGGTACCGTTCTTGAACCTCTAACCCAATTCCATAAAATCTGGAAAATGGTAAACAACGGTGATATTAATGTAAGGAATTCATTATTTATACGTTATACCATCAGTCTTGAAATTATTTTTTTCATTGAAATTTTTTTTTTTTCAATGAATATTATTATAGTGGCCAGAAGATACCATTTTAGTACACGTTGGTGGACCACGAATGGTTAAGGAAGGAATACTTGGCAGAAAAGATATTGAATTTCAAGTTGGTCCCGTTGCAGTTGGCGAAACTATTAACATCACAGCCGATTTGCAAGCTCCTTTAGAACCTGGCAAACATGTTTCGTGAGTATTTTATTTACTAAATTTAGATTATTCCAAGTTTTTACCATAAATTTATGTTTTATATTAAATTATTTTACAGATATTGGTGTTTGGACGATGGCAATGGAAATAAATTCGGTCATCGTGTCTGGTGTGATATAACCGTTGAAGCCGAAGATTCAACTACTGCCAACATGTCTGCTTCTTCTATGATCTTCCCTGTGATGAATTTTGATCATAAATCAGTATCTGCACAATCTGAAAAATCGTCTATATCTCGCTCAATTGCTTCCTCCGAGATTGAACGAATTAAGACTGAAATTCCTCTCGATGTTCACGAAGAATCCGATTCCCCTACTTCTACTACTTCTACTACTTCTACTATTGCCGATTTTCTCTCAAATAGAACTGATATAGATGATAATTCCGTTATCTCGGGACAATATGATTCCGATGAAGAATCTGATGCTATGTCTACTACTTCAAGTGAAGATTCCGCACAGGATTTCATAGTTGTTGAGAAAGATTCAGATGATGAAACGGATCTTCGTCAATCTCAACATTCATTAATGGGTGGTCGTAATGTTCTTAAATATTGAGGTGAGACCTGTGATTTTCGAACAGGAGAAATCTTTAATAATTTCTTCAAACGAAGATTCTAATTTATCATCTGTTAATATTTCTAAAGACGAAATTCAGGAATTTCCAATTATCTGAAAGGGTACATTTCGAATTTTAAATTTATATAATTTAAAATTTTTTTATTTAACTTATATATTTGTTCAATTACTTGGTCGCAATCTTTTGAGATTTACATAATGGAAAAATAAATGATGTAATTGAAGAGCTGTTTAACTTCTAAATTTTAAGTTTTCTTAACTCGTGCTCTTTTTTTATATAATTATTGAATAATTTATATTTTACAAATATATATTGATTTTTTATTGTATTTCTTTTTTTTGTAATTCTATTTGCATTTTGAAATAAATTGCGCCGATTTTGTATGTTCAAATATTAGATTAAAATAAATAAATATCATTATTTTAATTATTTTATTTACTTTATTATAAATAACTAATGTTTTTAAATTCTTTACAAAATGGATATTAATCTAAATGATTTTAATATGAATTTAAAAGTTAACCATGTAATTCATGTAAATTGAACTTGTTTTATCATATAAAAATAATTTTTTCCAACTCACCATAATTCAAGATTGGTTGAAGCCATTTTTCGGTGTCTTTGAGATCCTTACCCAGACGTTCAGTATAATCTTGGACCTACATAAATTTCGAAAATTGAGAATTAATAAAGTTATAAATAAATTATCTTTATTTAAATTTACCTGATCTTTTTCAATTTTTCCTACTGCGAAATATTTGGACTCTGGATTCGCGAATACCAAAGCTAAAAAAATAAAATAAAGGAATAATAATAATGAGCCATAAAAAGTGTGTAAAGGGTATGAATAGATTTAATATAATAATGAACATACCAGAAACGCTGGCAGCAGGTAACATCGCTAATCCTTCGGTTAATTCAATTCCAATTTCTTCATGAATATTCATCAAGTTCCACATCGTTGTTTTTTCTCTATGATCAGGTTGTGAAGGATATGCCGGTGCTGGCCGGATTCCTTGATATTTAACACTTAATAAATCCTCTAATTCCAAATTTTCTTCTTTACTATAACCCCATATATCTTTTCTAATATCTTCATGTAAGCATTCCGCAAATGCCTCAACAAATCGATCCGCCAATGCTTTTGTCATAATGATATTATAATCATCATGGTCATCTTGGAATTTTTTACATAATTCTTCTGCTCCAAATATGCCAACCGCAAATAATCCTAGATAATCTGATATTCCAGTATCTTTGGGAGCTATAAAATCCGAAAGACAATAATATAGTTCACCAGGTTCTTTTTGAGCTTGTTGCCTAAATTTTTTAAAATATTGTATAATTAAAGAAATGTAATGTCACATGAAAAATTTAACAAAATCAAAAATAAATAAAAATATAATTACCTCAATCCTAAAAATGTTGCTGTTACTTTAGATCGTGATTCATCTTCATAAACCTAAAAAGTGAGAACGAAATGTTTTAGAATGTTTTTAATTTTGTTTTAAATAATCGAAAAGTTCAAACCCTATAATTTAAAATTGAAAATAATATTTACCTGAATATCATCACCAACACTATTAGCTGTATATATAATTTTTAATTAGAAAAAAAATGTGAATGAAATAAATGATTATAACCCACTAATAATAAAAAATATATAAAATATATAATAATATGAGAGGCGAATTATACCAGGATAAATTCCAACTATGCCCTTAGGGACAAAAAGTTTATTTTTGATAATTTTTTCTATAAGATTCTGTGCTTCGTCATACACTTTTTTTGCTTCGGCACCTAAAGATTATAAAATTAAAAGGTAAGGAATATGATATTTAATTATTTTAATTATTTAGAAATCGATTTTTTTTTTTTGGCGTCGTAAAAATACTTACCAACATGTTCATCATTAAAGATCTTTGGAAATCCTCGGTTAGGATATCTTCCTCTTAATTGCCTAAAATTATTAAATTCATGAATTCATAAATTCATAAGGCACGTAAATTTTTAATATAAAAAATTCCAGTACTAATTAAACCAATTGTCATACCAAACTTGGAAGAATGGATTCCAATCAATATATTTTGAAATTCTTTTTAAATCATAATTTTCAAGTAATTTCTTTCCAATAATTGTCGGTTTAACTGGAGGAGGTTGAGCTGTCCAATTAATCTTAAAAGATTGTTCTCGTGAAGCTTTTATCGACAAATAATGACGATCTTGTAATGAAGCGAAATGATCTTCACAGATTTCTTGATATTCCTCTGCAATATCTTCCCAAAATTCTTCTTTTGAATTTTCATCCAAAAGATTAGATACTACAACTACGCTTTTGGATGCGTCCAAAACATGAATTGTAGGTTGACTATACTTTGGAGCAATTTTTACAGCTGTATGTGTTTTAGATGTGGTTGCACCTCCTATCAACAATGGAATCTAGTATAATTTGATTAAAAATAATGAATAAAAATTTATTATAGAAAAAGGAAAAAAAAAAATAAAAAGTTTTTTAACCCTTTTCCATTACTTCTCTGCTTACTACTTCTAAACACTTTTTCTAACCTTAATTCTTTAAAAATAATTATTTGATTACAGTGTAAAAACGTACTTTTAAACCACGTCTTTCCATTTCTTTCGCTACATGAATCATTTCATCTAATGAAGGAGTGATTAAACCTGATAATCCAATTATATCAGCATTTTCTTGAAGAGCTGAGTCGATAATTTTTTCACATGGAGTCATGACACCTAAATCAATGACCTTGAAAATAAATAATGATAATAATTAATTATTTTTCTATATAAATCAATAATTTAATAATAAAAATAATAATAATAATAATAATAATAATAATCACCTTATAATTATTACAACCAAGCACGACACCTACGATATTTTTACCAATATCATGAACATCCCCTTTTACAGTAGCCAAAATTACCGTTCCTGCATGTTGTGGTTCATCATTTTCACCTTCACCCCCAGCTTCTAAAAATTTTGCTTGACGTTCCGCTTCCATGAAAGGAATTAAATGTGCTACTGCTTTTTTCATTACACTTTTAACATAAAGAAAATGTTTCGAAACGTGATTTGAAAATAAACAATTTTTTATTGATAAACTCCAAATTATATAATTACCGTGCAGATTTGATGACTTGTGGTAAGAACATTTTCCCTGTATATTTAAATAAAATAATATATTTTAAACAATATATTTAATTAAAGTATTTTAAACAATATATTAAATAATAAGTAATAATTAAAATAAAAAACTATTTTACAATACCTGAACCAAATAAATCACCAACAGTACTCATGCCACTCATCAAAGGTCCTTCAATGACTTCTAATGGTTTCGGATACTTTTTTTTAAACAAAAAAAAAGATAGAATAATTTTGGATAATTTTGGATAATTTTGGATAATCTTGGAATTTAAAAATCGAACATTCTAACTCAACTTACCACTTTACGTGCTTCCTCAGTATCTTCTATGATATATTTTACAATACCCTTTACCAATGCATAACTAATTCTTGTTTTTACATCATTTTTTCTCCATTCTTCTTCTGTCTCTTCTTTTTTCTGATCTTTACCATGTTTTTGAGCATATGCTAAAATTTTTTCAGTAACATCCGGATCTCGATTCCATATTGCATCTTCACATAATTGTAGTAGATCCTTAGGAATATCATCATAAATTGTTAAAAATCCTGCATTCACGATTCCCATATCCATACCTAAAAAGTATTAAAAACAAAAGATTATTGTTATTTGTTATCATTAAAACATCGTGCTAAAAAAAATAAAAGAAAAAACATCATACCCGCTTTAATGGCATGATATAAGAATACACTATGCATAGCTTCTCTAACTTTATCCATTCCACGAAATGAAAATGATAAGTTAGAGACACCACCACTGACCTATAATTACATAAGTAACTTACAAGATTTAAAAATAATATCTTTTTATATATATATATATTTATTTATTTGTTTATTTTAATAATTTACCTTTACACCAGGTAAATTTTCTTTTATCCATTTAGTTGCTTCTATAAATTCTACTCCATAATTGTTATGTTCTTCCATACCAGTACAAATTGTTAAAATATTGGGATCTAAAAAATTTTCATAGAAAAATTTGATTTAGTGATTTTATATAAAATTGCTTAATTAATAGTTAAACTTTATATTTTATAGATAAACGAATATTTACCAAAAATAATGTCGTTAGGATTAAATCCCACTTTTTCCGTTAGAATTTTATATGTTCTTGCACATATTTCAATTTTACGATCCCTTACATCAGCTTGACCTGTTTCATCAAACTTTATATATATATATATAAAGAACAGAAATATTAATTGATAATATTAAAAATATATTGAATTTTACAATATTAAATAAAATTTTATTTTTGAATTTAAATTCATGAAATTGATAATCGGTTTTAATAAAACTTACAGCCATACAAACAACTGCCGCACCAAATCTTTTAATAATTTTTGCTTTTTTAATAAAGTCAGCTTCCCCTTCTTTCAAACTAATACTGTTTACAATACATTTCCCTTGTGCACATTTTAATCCCGCTAAAATAACCTCAAAATTTGAAGAATCGACCATTATTGGGACCTTTTATATAATAATGTTAATATATATATATATATATATAATATTAATATATGATTTTTTAATATATAATAACAAATAACAATTATTCGAAAAGAAAAGATAATTTACCCTTGATATATCTGGATCTGTCCCAATTAAATTTAAAAATTTGATCATGGCAGCTTTTCCATCCAACATTCCTTCATCCATATTAATATCAACAATTTGAGCACCATTTTCAACTTGAGCTCTTGCTATTGCCATCGCTTCTTCATATTCTCCTTTTAATACATGACGTGCAAATTTTCGAGATCCTGCTACATTACATCTTTCTCCCACATTTACGAAATTAGATTCTTTATTAATTTTCAAAACTTCTAAACCTGAAATATACATACTATCTAAACTCAAATCTGGTGGTGGAATTCGAGGTTTATACTCAGAACATGCATCAACAATTGCTTTAATATGAGCTGGCGTGGTACCACAACAACCACCCAAAATGTTGACTAAACCGTCTCTAGCAAATTCCTTAACTTTATTTGCCATCAATTCAGGAGTTTCATCATATTCTCCAAATGTATTTGGCAATCCCGCATTTGGATAACAAATTACAGGAGAATTTGTAAAATTTGCAATATTAAAAATGAATGGTCGCATTAAATCAGCTCCCAATGCACAATTTAATCCAATAGCTGAAGGTGACGAATGACCAATACTAATTAAAAAAGCTTCACCAGTTTGACCACTGAGAGTACGACCGGATTGATCAACAATAGTACCGGAAATAAAAATTGGAACTTTTTTATAACCTTGATCTTCAAAAAGACTATCTATTGCAAAAAGTGCTGCCTGTAAAAAAAAAAACAACAACAATATTTGAGAATCAATAATTGAAATTTTTCTAAAATTTTGTTATACATAATATATGTGTGTGATACTTACTTTAGCGTTCAATGTATCAAAAATTGTTTCAACTAACAAAATATCAGCTCCACCATCTAATAAACCTTTAGTTTGTTCAGTATATGCCTCTACTAATTCATCAAATGTCACATTTCTAAATGCGGGATTTTCCACGGAAGGAGAAATTGAACAGGTTCTATTTGTTGGACCAATGGCACCCAAAACAAATCTTGGTTTGGATGGATTTCTTTTTGTAACCTGATTAATGAATTGATTAATATTTAATAAATTGATTAATTAAATTGTCAAACATGAATAAAATGTCAAAAAACATTGATTTATAAAAAATTACCTCAATACAAGCTTCTTTGGCCAATCTAGCGGATTCTTTATTTAATTCATAAGCATACTTTTCAGCAGAATAATCACCTTGACTAATGCTAGTACTACTAAAAGTATTTGTTTCTATAAAATCCGAACCAGCTTCTAAATATGAAATATGAATTTTCTTAATATGTTCAGGTTGCGTCAATACCAAAATATCATTATTTCCTTTGAGATCTTTTGGATGTTCCTTAAATCTTTCTCCTCTAAAATCTTGTTCGGTAAATCGTAAACCTTGTATAACAGTACCCATAGCACCATCAAGGAACATTATCCTTTGGGATAATTGTTCTTTGAGGTACTCATGAAGGTCCGGAATTCCATAAGTAGGGTCAAATGAAGTCATATCGTTTGTTGAATTTTTATCATCAATTACTTGACGAGTATAATTAATTCTTCGAGTATCACTATCAATTATTCTTTGAAGAAGCCAAATTATCGATTCAACGATTATTACGGCAATCGTAAGTATAGTTGTAAATATACCAGTGAATAAAACTGTAATAATATAATCAATCATAATTTTTATTTATATTTATAATTATAAAAAAAAATCTAAGATAAAGTTTTGTTTTGGTTACAAAATCTTGTAACATCTTTCGTGCATTATCATTATAAATAATTATAAATAATCTTCATTTAGTATGAATGGCTTGTTTTAGTATAAAATTGGAAAGTTAACATGAGCAATTAAACTTAAAAAATAAAATTAGTTAATAAAAATTGGGGTTAATTAAATAAAAATAAAAATAGTTAGATAATGAATCATAAGATTAAAAATGAATAAAATAAAATTTTACATTATAACGAAATGGCAAATAATCTTGGCAGAATTTCGAGATCTCCGTTAACGAAGGTATATACTCCTTCCCCCATTTCTAAAGATTCAAAGGAAGATAATAATAATTGTTTTGAAAAAAAAAAATAAAATAAAATTAGCATCCTTTAGAATTTTTATTTGGAACCTGGCGAGGACATGGAAAAGGGGAATTTGCAGGAATTGATGATTTTACTTATAATGAAGAAATAACCATTTATCCTGACGAAGCGAAAAGAGGATGGTTATATTATAGGTATATTTGCTTTGTATTCTTTACAATTTAATTTAATTTTTAATTTTAATTTTAATTTTTAATTTTTAATTTTTAATTTTAATTTTTGTTTAATTTATTTTCGGGAAACAAATTACAACAATTACCATTGATTATCACCAATAGACAGAAAACAACAAATCCTGCAAAAAACAATGCAAATTTTCATAGTGAAGTTGGATATATTAGAATGCCAGGAATGAAAGATAAAGTTGAATTAGTTTTAGCACAACCAACTGGTAAATAAAATAAATTTATATATAAATGAATGCATATAAATAATTCATATATTTTTTTGTTGTATAAGGAATTGCATCAGTTGAGGAAGGTAAACTTGAAGGTACTAGCGTATATCTACAATCAAAAGGTATAGTCCGAACCGCGTCCGCAAAGGTTTGTTTTTTTTTTTTTTTAGCATTAACTTTAAGTTAATCAATTACAAATTCTGTTTACATATTTTGTTTGTTTTAATTTAGGCACCTCATGTTACGGAATATTCGAGGTAATTTTATAATTTATTTCTAATTTTGTATTTATGACGTTTTAATTTATTTATTTATTATTTATTTATTTATTTATTTATTTGTTTGTTTGTTTGTTTGTTTGTTTGTTAATTTATTTATTTGTAATGTTGTAATTACAGAACTTGGACAGTTGATTCTCAAAATGAAGAAATGACTTATGTGTTTAAGATGGCTACAGAAAAGAAAGAGGAAGATAAAGATAAAGATAAACCAATGATGGCACATCATCTTTCAGCTACTTTAAAAAGGATTTCAAAAGATCCCATTAATGAATAATTCAAATGTAATAAAATATATTTATAATAATAATAATAAGTTATTAATTAATTTATTAATTTATTTCTTTACCAAGATACATCCATATATTAAATATATTATAAATTATGCACTTCCATAATAAGTGTGATATACATCAAATAAATTTTTACCTCTGGCTTTAGCAATTTGTTCAGGTAATCTTTGTGATTCCAAAGCTAAAAATGTACATTTTATAACATTCATCCCATTACGTGATCCATAAATCTTACATGCAATATCTTGCATCCCGATACATTTACAAATTTCATGTATGTAATGATTTGTCTTTATTCCAAATCCTGGAAAAAAAAAAGAATGAATATAAATTAAATATATCTCTATAAATTTAATTCTATAAATTTAATTCTATAATTTAATTCTATAAATTTAATTCTATAATTTAATTCTATAAATTTAATTCTATAATTTAATTCTATAAATTTAATCAGATAATTTAAATAACTTACCTGGTGGTCTGGCCCAAAATTTTATTACAGTTCCATGAAATTTATATTCAATATCATGATAAATTGTTCTATCATCATATCTTTCAATATATCTTAAATTCTTAATAGCTTTATTTGTAGCTTTTTTAATAGCTGTTGGTGCTTCATCATGTTTTCCTTCTCCAAATCCTGCTACCCCATTTCCATTCCCTACTACCACCAATGCATACATGGTAGTATTTCTTCCTTTACGTGTCATATTTTTAACTTGTTTAATAACTAATGCTTTCTTTTGTAAATCCCGAATTTCATTAGGTGTTAAACCTGTAATGCTTGATAAAAGATCTGAATCATCACTTTCGGTTTCGGGTGAAATTATTGTTACTGATGGACGTGTAGTAGGAAATGGTGGATCTATAATTGGTCCAGTTGTGGCATCAAATACATCAAGTAATGGATCAATTTTTGATAAATCGGGAAGTTCCGTTACCTCAAGATCTGGAAAACGAGGTCGAAGTGGTCGATCATATTTATTTGATGTATATTTAATTTTGGGAAATTTATAATTTTCTCGACTTTGTTGTTGTGATTCATTGAGTTTATTATCTTTATTATCTCTATTAGTATTATTATTATCTCTATTATTATTATTATTATTATTATTAAATTTATTATTATTATTATTAAATTTTTTATTATTATTATCTTTATTATTATTATTATCTTTATTATTATTATTATTATTATTTGAAGTGAAGAAATTTGGTGTGGTCGTCGAAATTCTACATTTTTGATGATAAAAAATGGTATCTAAATTTGAAAAAATAATAATTTTACAAATTTATAAATTTGATCATTTTTTTTTAAAAAAAAAAAATTTAATTCTAATCTTTGTTAAATATACCATTAAAAATGAGTTTTTTCTTTATCGGTAATCTAGTTAATATTTCTATATACGTTTTCGCGATTTTCATGGTTTAATACTTGTTTTAACTTTTTTTTTTTTTAAAAAAACTATCGCTCGAGAAATTGATAAAAGATCTCGAGTTATGTATATATGTTTATATATATTTGATTGGCTAAATTAAGGAAAGCCACTATTTTTAGAACGTAACATCACATCAAAATGTAACATCGGGAATTTTTCTTGCATTAACTTATAATAGAAAAAAATTCGAATTTTGTGATGACCTCACTACGCGCTGCAGATTTAATTTCTAGTATATCTTTTGATACTGAATTATATCAAACACGAATTCTTCCCGTAATTAATGCAAGCATAATGGCGGTTTCGAAACCAAGGTTCTTTACCACAACTAAGAAAGGTTAGTTTTATTTATTTATGAACTTTCTTAAAAGTTTCTCATTAATAATAAACTTTTATTTAAAGTATCGAATATATATAAGTTTAATTTTATCCAATTAGCTATTCTTTCTTTAATAAATATATGCCTTACATACATCGCTCACTCATCTTAACTAAATTCATATAGGTGAAAATTATGAACTCCGCGCGGATCTTAACAGTGAATATCGTGACCGACGGAAAGATGCCATCAAAAAAGTTATCGCAAATATGACAGTAGGAAAAGATGTTTCGGGTTTATTCCCAGATGTTCTGAAAAATATGCAAACCGATGATTTGGAACAAAAAAAATTGGTATATTTGTATTTGATGAATTATGCCAAGACACAACCTGAATTAGTTATTTTGGCCGTAAATACTTTTGTTAAGGTAAAAAAAAAAAAATTATTTTTTTCTATAGAATTTGATTAATTGAAGATTAATAGAAAGTTATTGGGAGAGTTAATAGAGAATTTAATGTAATGTAAAGATATAATGAGGATCAATGAATTATATATAAATTAAAATATAATAAATTAATTTTAATAAAATCTTAGGATACAGATGATACGAATCCACTTATTCGAGCACTTGCAATTCGAACTATGGGATGTATTCGTGTCGAGAAAATTATAGATTATTTATGTGAACCATTAAGAAAATGTCTAAAAGTAAGAATTTTTAATAATATTTATAATTTATAATATTTTAAAATTTAAAAATTATTATTTTTCATTATTATTTATTATTATTATTTTTTTTATTTAAATTAATAAAATAATATTTTTGTTTTTAGGATGATAATCCTTATGTTCGTAAAACTGCCGCAATTTGTGTTGCAAAATTATATGATTTGAATCCAGATTTAGCTATAGAAAATGGATTTGTTTCGATTTTACAGGATATGGTATCGGATTCAAATCCAATGGTAATAAAAAAAAATTCTTTTTTTTTTTTTATTTTTATTTTATTTCATTAATTTATTATTTTTATTTTATTGTTTCTTTTTAAATATATATTTCACTTATTGTTATTTCTTTATATATAGGTAGTAGCCAATGCAGTTACAGCACTGGCAGAAATACATGAAGCTTCATCTACCAAAGATATATTTGTAATCAATACACCTACCCTTACGAAACTTTTGGTAGCACTTAATGAATGCACTGAGTAAAGTTTTTTTTTTTTTTTTTGATGAAATTATTATCATTTTTTTTTGTCTTTAAAATTGACAAAACTGAAGACTTCATTTCTAATTAAATTTCTTAAATTAATAATAATAATAATAATAATAATAATAATAATAGATGGGGTAGGATATCTATTCTTACAGCTTTAGCAGAATATAAACCCGTTGATTACAAAGAAGCTGAACATGCAATTGAACGTGTTATTCCACAATTTCAACATGCAAATGGAAGCGTGGTTTTATCTGCAATCAAGGTTATTAATAACAAATTATTTGGTTAAATTTGTTTATTTAAATTTTAAAATTAAATTTTTTATTGAAATTTTTAAAATTAAATATTTGATAAATTAGGTGGTAATGATATATATGAGAGTTATTAGAAATGAGGAATTAACAAAACAATTAGTTAGAAAATTGGCACCTCCACTTGGTAATTATTTATAATTATTACAATTATTATAATTATAATTATTTGTTTCTTTTATATTATTTTTAGAATTCTAACCTTTCCCATCATATATTCATTTTTATTTATTTTTTTTTTATATACATTATTTTTTTTATATTTATTTCCTTATAAATTATTTTTATATGTTATTTAAAATTTAGTTACTTTATTGTCTTCTGCACCCGAAGTTCAATATGTCGCATTGAGAAATATTAATATTATATTACAAAAAAGATCTGATATTTTACAAAATGAAATGAGAGTTTTCTTTTGTAAATATAATGATCCTCCTTACGTAAAAATGGAAAAATTAGAAATTATGATTAAATTAGCTAACGAAAAGAACGTGGATCAATTATTATCTGAATTAAAAGAGTAAATATACAATTTTTGTTATTTATTTATTTCAATCTTTCTTTTTGTTGAATGAAAATAATCTTTATTATGATTCCATTATCCTTTATTCCGTTATTATTATTGTTGTTTAGATATGCTTCAGAAGTTGATGTTGACTTTGTTAGAAAATCTGTTCGCGCTATTGGACAATGTGCTATCAAAATTGACGAAGCTTCTGAAAGATGTATTAATGTTCTATTGGATTTAATTGATACAAAAGTAAATTATGTAGTGCAAGAAGCTATAGTTGTCATAAAGGTAAATTTAATTAATTTGATTATTTATATTTATATATATATATATATATATTTTTTAATTTTTAATTTTTAAATTAATTTTAATTTTTCATAGGACATATTTCGAAAATATCCACATAAATATGAAGGAATAATTCCAGTTTTATGTCAGAATTTGGATGCCTTAGATGAACCTGAAGCTAAGGCATCACTTATTTGGATTATTGGAGAATATGCTGAAAGAATAGAGAATGCAGATGAATTAATCGTTAGTTTTTTGGATACATTTAGGGACGAAAATTCTCAGGTGAATAAAATTAAATTTGATAAAAGATTATATTTCTTATTTTTATATTATTAATAATTTGATTAAATATTAATATTATTAAAAAAAAAACTAAAAAAACTTGATTTTTATTTTTTTTTTTTTTTAAATAAAAGGTTGAATTACAATTAGTCACCGCTACAGTTAAATTATTTCTCAAAAAGCCTCAATCCACAAAAAATATTGTTCAACGTGTACTTCAGTATGCAACGACTGAATGTGATAATCCTGACATTCGTGATCGAGCATACATTTATTGGAGATTATTATCCACTGATCCGCAGGCTGCCAAGGTATAAAAACTTGGCCTTATATTTATTATATTATATCAACTCAAAATCAAAGAACAATTTCGGGTTTTTGCTATAATCCCTAATCATTTATTTAGGCTGTCGTATTATCCGAAAAACCTCCAATATCCGTACAAAGTAATAACATTTCAGGTTCTTTACTTGAAGATTTGATTAGCAACATTTCAACTCTGGCAAGTGTTTATCATAAACCTCCAGAAACTTTCCTAGGGAAAGGTCGTTTTGGTGCTGATGCCGTTCAACGAAGAGCTATCGAGTATGTTATATTAATAATTTATATTAATTATTATTATTGTCGTTGTTGTTGTTACAAATTCATTTAAAAATTCATTTTCATTATAACTTTATTATAACCTTATTATAACTTTATTATAACCTTTGTAACAGAGAACAAGAAGAGGCATCGCGAGAATCTCCAATTCAAGCCCAAACAAAATCCAATATTGAAAACTTGTTGGATCTTGATTTTAGTGATCCTTCAGCTCCCACAACATCATTTACTTCCCCTATTACTACAACTTCCAGTTCTTTTGCTCCCACTGCTAATGTGGATGATTTATTGGATTTATTTAGTGGAAGCAGCATAACAACCTCTCCAGGTCAAAGTTCTTCCACTCATCAAAATAATAGTTTATCAAATGATTTAGTAAGCCTATTTTAAAAAAAAAAATAGATTTATATTTTGATCAATATATATATATTTATATATTGGTCAAGAAAGAATAATTTATTGTCTCCCCAAAAAGGAGGGGAAATTATATTATATTCATATATATATTTTTTTTTATAATTTTGGCATTGATTAAAAAAAAAACACAATTTCATAGAATGTTTTTGGGATAATTTATAAAATATATGTAACAATAATTTATTATTATTATTAAATAAAAATAATTCCAAATTAAATAGAGAAATAAGAATTTATATTTTTTATTATTTCTAATTAAATATATAATTTCTTATCTGTAATTTTTCGTGATTACAAATATATTTAGATTCATTGTCTTAAATGTACAAAAATTCTTTTTAATTATTATTACATAGAATATAATATAATTTCTAAAAACTGACTGAATCAATCATTGTTCCCAATGCCATTACAATATTATTTGACATAACTTCTTCCACACTTTCTTCTAAATGTCGTTTAGGATCTTGTTTACCTACATGACGAGTTTTCAATTGATCACTTGTCATTGTCGATTCCTCTTGTACTGATTTATTATAAGCCTCAGCTAAAGAAAGCATATGCTACAAGGGGATAAAAAAAAAATTAATTAATTAATGAGATAAATTCTATAAAGAAAAATATTTTCAAATACACAATTTATGTACCTTAACGGATTTTTCGTTATTTTCGGTATGTTCGGTGAAATTTGGTAACGTTAATCCATGAGTCCAATTTTTCTTATGTAAATTTAGTAACATTTTTTGTTCTAACTCATTTTTTCGATAATTGATCGCGATGGAATAATAATGACGATTCAATCCATGTATTAACGCCTAAAAAATCATCAATAAAAAAATTTATCAGAAATATAAAATAATAATAATAATAATAATTAATAATATTAATAATAATAATAATAATAATAAATTATTTACCTGAATACTTGGTTTGTTAAGATGTCCAATATTTGATGTGGTTTGTCGTGGTTCTTGACCAAGCATTAACATTTGAGGATTAATCAAACGAAATGCATCAATAACAACTTTTCCTTTAACAGACTGAATGGGATCAACTACTACTGCTACAGCTCTTTGATTCAATGCTTCGAAACTCTAATAAGATAAATATATTTAATACAATTTAATTCAAATATTATATAAATAATAATAATAATATATTCTTTCATTACCTGTTGAGTATTAATATCAACGCTAGACAACCAACATCCAAATCCGGGGTGAGAATGATACCAACCGACCACCATTTCTGGACTAATTAAAAAAATTATTACTCAATTATTCACTAGAAATTATTTAAATCTTTCTTTTTTTTTTTGCATAATCTTTACCGTCCAGTTTGTCTCAACATATCCAACATCTTGGTTTGGAATACGGGATCAACTGCTTCCACAGATACGCCCGTACCACTTTGAGGCATTGCAAATACATCTATTACTCTAACTGTATAATCGTCTACGAATTCTCCTAACATTAATCCCATAACTTCCATGGGTACTCCAGCACGACCTAAATCATTTAACAATCATAAATTAAATGAAACTTAAACTTAAATTTATGAAATATTTTTTTTATTTAATTCTCACCATGTTTTAACATCTATGTTACCAAAAATTGGGATCAAGAAATTTTATTAATAAAAAGATTTTGAAATCCACATTTCGAACATTTCGAAAAAAAAGTATCAACCTTAAGCAACGCTAATGAAGAAATGTAAACCATTTCCGCGTTATCAACAGTTGGCGTGTCCAGGCCAGCTGTTTGGCCCGCTGCCGCCGCGCCAAAAAGTCGTTGGAGTCTGTCCATTATCTTCAAAAGGCTTTAAAACTTATCAAAAAACTTTTAGAAAATGAAAAATGCCTATATCGATATTGTTGATTGCGTAATGCGTAATGCGTAATTCGTAATGCGTAATTTATATAAAATTAGAGATCATCCTAACAGCCAATCAAAAAAAAAATAAAAAAAATAATGGCTTTTCCAAATTTACGAAGAATTTTTTCATCATTTCGAACACCTGAAGAAGAAAGACAAATTTCTCGGTCAGCTTTTTTTAAATTTGTGGGATTTGTTCTTTCTTGCATGGCAATCACGATGTTAGCGAACCGGAATAGAATGAAAGCTATTAATCATTAATTTAACTTTAACTTTTTTGTTTCGTTAATTTGTTGTTAAAGGTCAAGAAAAATTATCTCTTTATCATTAAATCTTTCTATATCCTAAAATTATTACAGATATCTAATATTCTGTTTTTATTTTAATATATTTTAAATTGTCCAACATGAAATAATTCAAATGATTCAATCAGATGGTTTTATGCTAAAAGATAATAAGTGTTCATAAAAAAATAAATTACAGAGAAAATGTTATATGTTTTTAGTTATATCCTGAAAATACAACAAATGGTCTTAAAGCGAGCCAACAGGTGTAATTGAGTAATTTAATCTAATCTTCATCGACCTCATCATAATCTATTATTAAATAAATTAAATAAACAATTAAAAATTAAATGATTATAAAAAAAAAAAAAGACTGCAAATAAACAAACCAATACCTATGCTTGATTTATTTGATTTAACACGAGTCGCGCGACGACCCGTAGGATTAAAAATGCCTCTAGATGCTCTTGACTTTCGGGATTCCTTCTCATCATCAGGAATAATGTTGTCAACATCCATAGCATTTAATTCTGCATCAAGTTCTCTTTTTGCTCGAATCCTCTTACATTTTTCAAGTGTAGGTGGGTCTAAAAGTAAAAAAGAAAATGAAATGAAAATGATTAATAAAGTTTTTTTTTTTTTTGTAATAGAAGTGAATAAGTTTTAATGATACCTCTCATTCCTAAATCTTTAAGAATTTTTCTTAATTTAGCTATTTGACTTGTGATCGAATCACAATCTGCCAATTCTCTTGACCTAATGGGTTAATTATAATAGTTATTAGTTTGTCTCGATATACATTGTGTGTGATATACATTGTGAAATAAACTACCAGACTTTGCGTACTCCACATTGTACAATGAATGATTTCAGTTCCTTAATAACCGCTTCGTCATTGGTCTGTATAAAAAAAACGCGAGAATAGTTTGAATGTTATAAAATTATTTTTCCATTATTAATAGAAATAGAAATAGAAATAAAACAAATTGTATACAGATTCAACAGTAGCGTTTTTGGCTTTTCCGGCCTTTCGACTCTTTTGATTCTTTTTCGGTGATTCATCTTCAATCTCACTTAAGCTATCTTCTTTAGAGTTTGCGCGTTCATCCGATATTTTTTTTACTTTTTTAGTCATCCGCTTCTTTTTCGGTGGTTCATCCTCAACTTCACTTAAACTATCTTCATTAGAATTTGTTCGTTCATCAGATATCTTATTAACTTTCTTAGTTGTTCGCTTCTTCTTCGGTGGTTCATCTTCAACCTCACTTAAACTATCTTCATTAGAATTCGCGCGTTCATCAGATATCTTATTAACTTTTTTAGTTGTTCGCTTCTTCTTCGGTGGTTCATCTTCAACCTCATTTAAACTATTTTCATTAGAATTTGCGCGTTCATCAGATATCTTATTTACTTTCTTAGTTATTCGCTTCTTCTTCGGTGGTTCATCCTCAACTTCACTTAAACTATCCTCATTAGAATTTGCGCGTTCATCCGATATCTTTTTTACTTTTTTAGTCATTCGCTTCTTTTTCGGTGATTCATCTTCAACTTCACTTAAATCATCTTCATTAGAATTTTCGCGTTCATCTGATATTTTTTTTACTTTTTTAGTTATTCGCTTCTTTTTCGGTGGTTCATCTTCAACTTCATTTAAACTATTTTCATTAGAATTTTCACGTTCATCTGATATTTTTTTAACTTTTTTAGTTATTCGCTTCTTTTTCGGTGGTTCATCTTCAACCTCACTTAAACTATTTTCATTAGAATTTTCGCGTTTATCCGATATCTTTTTTACTTTTTTAGTTATTCGCTTCTTTTTCGGTGGTTCATCCTTAACTTCACTTAAACTACCTTCATTAGAATTTGCGCGTTCATCTGATATTATAATATTCTTTTGTCTTTTTTTATTAATTCGTTTCTTTTTCGGTGGTTCATCCTCAACTTCACTTAACTCTTCACTTGGACTTTTATCTGCCTTTAGTTTGGTTAACTCGGATTCTGAGTCAGACACTTCCTCTTCATTATCATTTATCAAACTTTCATCGGTATTCAATGAAGTTTCCATAGTCGATTCTTTTGATCCTTCAGGCATTTTCGCAAATTTTTATAACGCAAGAAAGAAAATTAAAAATAAAGGAAAATTTTTATGTAAACGAATGCGTAAATTTTCGCGAACCTGCTGACTATCAAACATGTGATAATCCAAAGAAGGAACTGGACTTGTTTAGCTGTTACACGATAATTTTTAAGTTTAGATTAAGGTTGTATACAATAAGTTGGTCAATTTTTTCCAATTTTTAACTGATCTATAATATAGGAATTACCATTTGGTACAGTGATTCTTTTGTATTTGATTAGTGTTCCTTGTTATCTTTCATGTTTTCTGTTTACCATATCTGAAATCTCAAAAGGGAAAATAAATAATTATATCAAATTCATTGTGATAAATTTCATTTTACAATTTTTTAATCTTTTGTTGCATGTGAGACACTAGTCAAATACAAAAAAATCACTGTACCAAATGGTGATTCCTATATTATAAATCAGTTAAAAATTGGAATTCCTATATTATAGACCAGCTAAAAATAAACTGTCCTATTGTATCCTATATTATAAATCAGTTAAAATTAGAATTCCTTTTCAGTATGCTTATTCTTTTGTGTTTGACTTATGGAGAAGACTTTGTCAATATGCAGTGCTTTCTTCTTTTTTTTTGTTTCAACATTGAAAAGTCAGTTTATCATTTTTTGATATAAGATTATCTATGTGTCTACATAAATAAAAGATATATCCTATATTATATTCTTCTATCTTGTTTACACTTTTGTTAGAGAATACTATATGAATGGAGTATACACAATGTCACTTTAGAAGTTTTGGAATAACAAAATCACATATTAATTCTTAGCCCTAACATCTCTAGAGTCTTAAAATGGATATCAACTTTGCTATAACATTAGATTTATATTTTGTATATCACTCAAATGATATGAGATTTATATTTGCCTTGTCATTTTTGATATATTTTTGTTAGATTTTTTTTATACTATTCCACTTACCATTGAAATCTAATGAAATTTAGTTAAATAATATATTTGTTTTATGCTTTTTATATTTTTTTTGTAAACTAATTATTAAATCTAACAAAATAAATTTACAAAATTCTATATATTAGTGAGATAATTAGAACAGAAAAAATATATATTATCTTTTATTTATAAATTCTTTAGAATACTTTTTAAGATAGTAAATAAATTTAACAAAATCTAATAATAAATTTAACAAAATAAGTTTAACAAAATTTAATATATTGATAAGATAATTAGAATAAAAAAAATATATATATTATTTTAAGTTTATAAATTTTTCTGTTTATATTTTTACTATATAGGGAATTGGAACAAAAAATAAATTTATTGGTGAAAAACAATTATTAAATCTAATAAAAGTCTAATAATTTTAATATTAAAAATATATTATCCTAAACTTAATATCAAAAAATATATTAAAAATTGTTTTTAAAATTAACTTAATATTAAAAATCATTTTTATTTAGAACTTCTAGAATAATAAAAACCTATATACTTTAAAATGCCTTGAATTATTTTAATTAAGTTTATAATATACTATTTTTTAAAGCTTTAACATGTAATCTGTAATAAGATTAAAATATATAATATAAAAGATATTTTTCACAATTACTACAAAGAATATGTTTTTTAACTTTCTAATAAACTAATACCTTTAAGCTGAATATAAGGTTTAGAACAAGTTTTTCTAGAATTATAAATATAGAAATATAAATACTTACCAATTATTTTTGAATATAGAATATGAAATAATTATTTAAAAAAAAGATTTTGTATAAGTAAAATATAACGTAATTATTAAAGATACTATATTACATAAAATATCAGATACTTATTTAAAAATATATCAAATAATTTAATATAAAAATAACTAATTATAATTCAATTGGTAAGAATTTTAAAAATTATAATAAAATTTGATATAGTTAAATTGAGTTAAAATTTAATTTGTATAATTGAATTGAACTAAAATTTAGTTGGTATAATTAATTAAGCCAGAATTTAGTCAAAACAAAATTAATTAACCAGGACACAATTAATTGAGCCAGGTTAGAATGAATTGAGTCAATCATTTTTAACTAAAATCCTTTCACAATAATATCAGAAAATTTTTATTTGCAAATATATGTAGATTTTTTTTTTTTTTTTTAAAGTTTCGATGAGGCTTTGCCTCAAATTTATTAACTAAAAAAAGAGAAAGTCTCTTACATTATTATTATATAATATAAGATATACAACTTATTCTAGTAACTATTGAAAAGATGAGACTCAAACTAATTCAAATTGTCTATCCTAAGATTAACATGAAACATGCTTGTAACCCACTAACAAATATATGTAGATATATTTGTAATTAATAAAAACTGAATATATGTAAATATATTTACAAATATACAGATATATTTAGTGTAATATATGAATTAATGCAAATAAATGTGAATTAATATAATTTATACAGATAAATGTATAAGTAATCAAATATATCTAAATATATTTGTCTTCAAAAATTTCCTGATAAATAAATTTATCCCGTAATATTTTCTTAAAAGTCTTTAATAAATAATTTAAGTTAAGTTAATCTTAGTAATTCTTGTAAAATTATAAAAAATTATTTAAGTAATTTAAGATATTCATTTGAGAATATTTATTATTTTTCAAATCCTTGTCTACAAGTTAATGTAATAATATAATTTAATTTAATTTTATTAGATTTCAATAACAAGTTGAATATACATGTTTCCAAAATTAAAAATCTAAAACCTGACCTCAAAATTGAATTACGAAATTCAAAATTAATTCTAAAATTATTATAAAAGACGAAAATATTTATAAGGGATCAAAATTATTATGGAGAATAAAATAATAGTGTAATCCTAAAATTATCACGGGAAATAAAATTTAGTATTATTTTAACATTTCGACAGGAACAAAATAGTTGTGAAATCCCAAAATTATAAATCTATAGATTTTTTTTTTTTAAAAAAAATAAAGTTTAGAGATTATGTAGGCAATCATAAAATAGTGTGAATTGATGTAAATAAGCTTTTTCTTTCTTTATTATTATTATTTTTTTAATAAAATAATTCACTTATCTTTCTACCTCTTAATTTACCTTTTTACCTCTTCTTAACTTACCTTTCTACTTCTTCTTAACTTACCTTTCTATCTCTTCTTAACTTACTTTTCTTTGAGATTATACTCTTGATTTTGTAAAATAACATAAGTAGATTTTTTATTTCCTTTTTTCATTATTTTTTTAATAAATATATTTACTTACCTTTTCTACCTCTTTTTAACTTACCTTTCTTTTAAATTATACTCTTGAACTCATGAAATGGTACAGGTGATCGTGAAATGGTATGAATAAACTTTTTCTTTCTTTATCATTATTATTTTTTTTAATAAAATAAATTCACTTACCTTTCTACCTCTTAACTTACCTTTCTATCTCTTCTTAACTTA